CCTTACATCTAAGCAGACCTTTGCACCTATTACATCTAAGTAGACCTTTGCACCCATTACATCTAAGCAGACCTTTGCACCTATTACATCTAAGTAGACCTTTGCACCTATTACATCTAAGTAGACCTTTGCACCCCTTACATCTAAGCAGACCTTTGCACCTATTACATCTAAGTAGACCTTTGCACCCATTACATCTAAGCAGACCTTTGCACCTATTACATCTAAGCAGACCTTTGCACCCATTACATCTAAGCAGACCTTTGCACCCATTACATCTAAGCAGACCTTTGCACCTATTACATCTAAGTAGACCTTTGCACCCATTACATCTAAGCAGACCTTTGCATCCATTACATCTAAGCAGACCTTTGCACCCCTTACATCAAAGCAGACCTTTGCACGAATTACATCTAAGCAGACCTTCGCCGAGTGCTCACCACCTATTGTCGCGTGGCTCACTTCCGGTGATCTAAATATAGACTTGTTAATTACACAGAGACTAATTAACCTTTCACTGCTGAAAAGGAAATAAGACTTAATTCTTACAATGACTCGAGCATTTGTGGTTTTCTTTGTTTGTTTCTTTGGTTTTATTTTTTTATTTTTTTTTGAGGGGGAATTTAGACATGCGAGTTATGTTCGGAGATTATGTAATAACAAGCTTAATTAAAGTGACCCAGATTTTGACGCGAGTCAAAACCTGGCAGTTAGCCACCAAGTGACCTACAACATTCTCTCAAGTGGACCATGTCATTCAACTTTGACCCGACGGGTTAAAGGTCGCTGCTACTCGTTAAGTGCCAAAATGTCCGTGTGAGAAAGGACAGGAAGTATAAAAACAAAAACGGACAAAGTTTATTCCAAATCAATATTCGAAATAAATACTTTGTGCAATGTGTGCAGCCATGTTGTGCAGCGTGAAGACGAAGGTGGCGTAAACCGCAGTGTGGTCACGCACACGCGAGAGTTGTGCAGCGATTGTGCAGATGTGTGATCGATCCCTGAACACGTTGGCCTTCGATCTCCAACCACGATGGACGCAGCCATCAGGAGAAGTTGCGGCTATTATTGAGCCCGTCTGAACGTAGCACATGCAGCCTGATGTCCACCTAGCATCAAACGGGCATAGGTCCGCCTAAATCACGCTAAATATTTATCTGGCTAATGTTTATTTCTGACGCTTGGGGGAGGGGAGGATTTGAAACTTCCGACATTGGTTGGGGGGGGGGGGGGGGGGGGTTAATATTTCCGAAGAGGGGAAAATGGTTAAAGTATAGGCCTATATAAAAACAATTCTATTTAATCCGGGGGGCGGGGTGGTGGGCGTGGTCGGTGCAATGCTCCCCCAGAAATGCCTAAAAAATACTCTGTACAGTACATGGCCCTTGTGTCTGCTAGCAATGTAAGTTGGTGCTAACCACTTGACCAGTCTCGACGAAAACACATTGAACCGTAATACTGCATGTACCCTTTCATTGATTAGTACAAATGGCTTATCAAACATACCGATAAACCAAACCCAACCAGGACCCATAAGGTGGTATATGTTTCACAACCCGCGAAGGATGCCTAACAATCCCTCCTGCTATCCGCTAACAGTAGAACCAACATCGTATAAACTAGATGCTTTCTAGTATAGAATACAATAATTTGATGAATTAATTAAACAAAAAAAATGGACAGAGCACTTAAATGCTTTCTTGGATTGCCTGCAAATTTTGGTGAGAAAAATGGCAGAGTTGTGGTTTTTTGAGTGACCTACTTTTAGAAGTTGTGGTTTTTTGCGTGACCTAATTAAGTCTAAACGACAAATTACTTCAACCTATTTGAAGCTTTGCTCGCCATACAGTCACTTGTACACGCACACGTCCACACACGGTGAGTGCCGAGTTACATAACTCGTACATCTCTAACGGTTATGGTGCTTCAGACATTAAAAACAAAGTGCTTTTTAATAATCTGAAGTGGCATTTGGAGCCACGTCCCGGAAGTAATCAAAAGTGTAACACTTCACCAAATAAATGTTAGGCTCTTTGGGATTTTTTTTTGAAAATGCCGTGATACTAGTGTTTTCTAAAAAAAAATTAATTGTCAAAAGAACTGCGCATTTAAATATGATACGAAACAATTACATTGCATGGTGTATGCAACCCAGAAAAATGGACATCTTGAAGTTGTGTGAATACTAATACCGATAAGGGATCGTACAAAGATATATTTCACGAAACAGAAGAGAGAAACTCCACATAAAACATTAAACAACCATATAATGACAAGACCTCTTCTTAAGTATGAATTGTATTTTCTTAGTTATATAAGAAAAAATAGGTCTAAAATGTTTACCGGCAAGGCAAAGCAGAACAGGCTTTATTACTATTACGTGTCATCATGTTGTTGCCCACATCAAACGAGACGCATTTATCCAAGGGTCCGAACTCGGGACTATAGAAGTTGACAATCATTCGCTCTCCCAACTGAACACGTCATCCCTCGGGCTTAATTTATTAATATTGAGGGTTTTTTTTTCTCTGCTTCTGCAGTGAGAGTTAAGATTGGGGCATGGGTTAGAAGAAAAAAAAAGGACACGCTATGTCGGGAAAGATAGAAGACGTAATGAAAGAAGTGTCTTCTGTTGCAGAGCGCCCATTCAGTCCCCCGCCTGTAATCAATATCGGTGAGATTAGTTAACTAATCACCAAATCACCCACAAGTACTAGCGATTAGTTAATGTATTGATTACCAGCGCATTCGGCTTAAACAATCCAGAAATTTTTTATATTAATTTTGTAAAAATTAAAAAAAAAACTATCAAAGAGCGAATACAACCAATCAACAAGTAGGGAGGGCCATGCCGGATAATACAGAGGTTTTTTAAAAACATGCACCGATTTTATATACAAATCAAATAAATACGAGTAACAGCAGGAGTGAAGGGAAACTAAAGAACACAGACTATTGTTTCAAATCAAAAGCCAACACGGCAAATGACTAACACGGCCAAAAATCAGGCCACATGAGACGAACGCTTGTCCTTACAATGGGGCGACACTGGGATGATTGTAGTCGTTGAACAGCTAGTGTGAAATGAAGACAATATTTCAAAGAAAAGCGTAACATTCCCCGCCTTTCACTGTCATAGAAGAAAATAGCTGTACAATGGTTTGTGTGGACCATAATATGTTGGCTTAATGGTAGAATGTAGGACATGTGCCTTCTATTGAACTATGTTAACTATGTATTTGGTAGAATGTAGGCCCAATGTGCACCTATTGAACTATGTATATGGTAGAATGTAGGCCCAATGTGCACCTATTGAACTATGTATATGGTAGAATGTAGGCCCAATATTTTAAGAGGCAAGCTGAATACCCAGAATGGTTTCGTATCTAGTTTTAGACTAGTCTAGACTAGTATACACCTCCAGAAAAAATGTCCCAATAAAAGACACCCCCCCCCCCAACTTTTTCATCAAATTTAAAAGCACTAGACATTTTACACAGAATCATAAAACACAGTGGGATGGCATGGCCTAGAGATAGAGCACTAGACTGCTAACCTAAAAGTCTCTAGTTGGAATCTGGTTTCAAGTCAGCAGAATATCACTGAGTCCGTCCAGCTCTGATGGGTACCTAAATCATGTTAGGCAAGGAAAGGCTGGTGGGCACAGTACTGACCACACTATCCCTGAGGTCACAGAAACAGGGGAACTCTTATTCACTAGCCCCATGGACCGTCAAGTTCAAAAAGGGAACTTAACATTAAAACACAGCTATCTATATTTTAACCAACAGAGATACCCTTAAAATTCAGACACAGAAAATTAAGCTCCTGAAACTAACATTTAACACATTTACTAAGCTGGTATAAATAAAACATAAATCAACAAAAAAATCTAAGAACCACAGTTTTAGAAACTTATCTCCCTTTACATCAGTGAGTTACTTCCCCTAACTGTAAATTATGCATCAACATAATGAGACAGGTGCTTTCCCTTCTTCAGTGGAATGACAGAAAAAAAGTTTCCACCAACTCTATGAGTGATCACCTGTGGCACCGTCAAACTAATTAACCAGCTCCGCACCGTCAAACTAATTAACCAGCTCTGGTGGATCATTCCTTGAGTGCAGCCCTAAAGCAGCCTCAAGTACACAGCACTAAGTGGAACTTCCAACTGACACTTCTCTAACCATTAAACTTCATGCCCTTCAGGTAATCTTAAAATAATGAACACAAATCCATAAACATGCGTTCTCTTTTCAGTTAGCCAGGCTCACATAAAAGTGGGGCTGGTGTCTATAGCAACACTTTCACCATAGGGTTTAGATTGTGGTAGTTCAACACAAAAAAAACAACAAATAGGAGTTGTACAAATAAGTAAACAAAACCGGTTGAATAATCATAGGATTTGGTCTAGAGTTCAGATTGTGAGTGAAGATCTTTACATGTATTACAAATACACAAATACGAGCAATATAAAGCAAACAACAAACCGAATCTAACCTTATGTTTGCAATGATATTTATATAATTTAAACAAGGGGTCATCCATTTATGACGTCCACACATTATTTGGATTTTGGACCCCCCCCCCCCCCGTCCACAAAAATGTACTTAATTCCCCTTTAAAAGTACACAAATGGATGACCCCCAAGTAGTGTATACGATAATAATGTATATTAATCAACTATAAACAGAATTGAATAAGAAGTAATAATGTATAAATAGATGGTGTAAAATTCGTCATCTTTTCCAATTCATGCTTTAAGACACAATGAGGCATATGAAGTAGAGTTCATCTGTTTCAATGATTTCTACAAACAACACTATAAAAAGTATGCCCAGTTGCCTTTCTTACTTTCCCTAACACCCGTTATTAAATTGTAAAAAAAAAAAACTTGATGAAAAAGTAAAGACAGTGTCATAGTATAGTTAAAAATGGGGCTGAATTGAAAAAGATGTGATGTTTTATAAATGATAATGATTAGACTGAGAACCTACCGGGTAAGTCCCTCTCAATCCTGTACTCATCAGCAAAATACCACTTGCAGTTGTCAATGGACCCGTCCTGAACTCCACCTTCACACTGAAGCCACATGCCACAGTCACAGTCGCCACACTTGCACACACCAGAGCCAGGGACCTGATTATGATACTTCACCCAGTTGGGTGTAGCGAACGCAACAATGATGGCCACGGTGGTGATTAGAACACATATGATGGCCGTGATGAGAACACAGGAGGCCATACTTGCAAACACACTTGCTTCAGTAAATATCCAACAAGAATCTAACACACTGCCAGTTAACTAAAAAATGGGGAGTTCCCAGCTATCACAAGCTTGGTATTACTTGCAATTTGCACCAAATTTAATTAAGCTCAGCTTATTCCCACTTTTAGGTAATCCAAGGAGTTACCGGAACAAACTACCTAGAAATAGAAAGAATAGAACAAGGTACAATAATAGTTAACCTTATAATATTCATATTAAATCCAAATTTTGAATACAGCCATATTCATCAGAGGTACAGCCAGTGGGGAGTAAGAGTAGCTGTCCCTTAAAAAAACTGATTAAAATTTAAAATGATTTTCAATTTTTCAAAACAATTATTACTTTAAATTAAATGGGAGACCAGTTGAATCTGTGAGCAACATTGCAGTGAAATGCTAGTGCCTTTGTATGCAGTCTACACACAACCTACAAACCTGGCTATGCCCCTGAAGCAAATTTTTTTTTTTATTTGTTAGGGTTATCTCTAAATAATGACATGATTTTTAAAGATTATTTTTACCCTTCCTCCTCTCTCCATATCACAAAATGTCAGACATCTTTCTAAAATAACATCTCACTCTCCCAACACCCCCACCCCATCCTCAAAAATTATACGATCACAATATCTTTACAAAAATTTTCACAGACCTCAGTCAACAAGTATATTATGGATCAAAGATTTTTTTTTAAATTGTTATTTATTAAAAACTGTTAACTTACTGCTAAAGCTTAGTTTTAAACACTAGCCTACTTTTAACAAATTCATAAGTGTATTTTCACACTTTCTAATCACCCCCACCCCCTCCGGGCATATTGTGCTTCAGACATTTATCATTTATGGGTTAGCCTACCCCTTAGTTTTATAAAATGCAAACATTTTCTGAATCCCCTTGTTGTACAAGGTCAGCATCCTTCAATTTCCACAAAGACAAAAATTTTTTAGTTAGTTTTAGGTGGGTTTTTTTTTTTAAACTGAATTACTGGTGATTTAAATAATATTTTTAACAACTTATGACAATTTATTTAGTAAAGTCAACTAATAGTTAATACTAGATCTATAATTCTATAATCTATATATATAGGCCCTAATTCTCTTCTTGGAGAAGCTAGAAAACACAGAGCTGTAAGAGCGCTCCCTACCACCCCACCCCTACATGGTCTGGTGAGCTTTGGTTCACGCTAAATGTTTACAATCATAGAGCCGGGTTTAGTGACGGCTATTAGGGGCAGATAATTTAGTTTGAAACAATTTTAAACTTAGGGGAGGTAACTAAGAGGAGGCTGCTTTCACAGGGGGGTGTAGGGTAGGGGGAAAGGAGGGTGGGGTAGTATTGTCCTTAACAACCTACTGATAGTGTTTTAAAGCAAATATTTTCAGTTGCAGTATTGGTACAGTCGAATTCACAAATTATGAATTACTGAAAAGTAGAAAATAAAACAACTAAAATAGCGGCATATGATACGCCGCAGGTTGGCTCGTATACTAAAATTCTATAACTAACTTTTTACTTTAGACCAGGGGTCTCCAAACTACGGCCCGCGGGCCGGATGCGGCCCGCTAGGTCCTCTCATCCGGCCCGCGGAGATCTTTTTGTCCACGGAAAAAACTTTGTTGGAGGTGGCTGAGGAACTTTGCTCAGAAAAATGAAAGACATGCTTGGAACTAACTGGCCCCCGAACTGAAATTTGATAGTTAATGCGGCCCTCGGACTGAAAAAATTGGAGACCCCTGCTTTAGACCACTGGCTAGACTTACTTATTAACTTAATCTTATTAAATTCTTAAGACTAGATTGAGATAGAATCTAGACTAGAACTACAACCAGATATTCTCATAGGCCTCAGGCAATTATTCTTCTTTGATTAAATTAAAATAGATATTTCTCTAGATCTAGGCCTATTTATTATAATTTAATTTAATTTAAATGAATTAGGCATAACATAAGAAAAATAACAGTTTTTAGTTTTTATAAGTGTCCACAGTCGTCCCCCCCCCCCCCAGTTGACTTGAATCCTAGTTTGAGTTTTTTGTTGTTGTTTTTTTTTAAATCAAGCCCACCCAAGCCGGTAGAATATTAAAATATAACTTACTTAAAGGTTCAACGTACAGAGACATACAATGTTTAACAATAATAAAACAAAACAGAATAGATCCAGCTATCACTATCCACAACTTCCTGCATCTAGATCTACGAGCAACACAACATTTCGTTTAAATCAACCTACATCCACTTCCTGTTTCATAAACTCGGACACCACCTACTAAAAATGTTTCCCCGCATAAGCCTCGTTTCGGAAGTCGTCAGTCCGCGGCGCGAGTGAGACGAAAGTGAAAATGTGTCTTGCCTTGCCTAACTAAAATGGTTATCTTTTTAAAAATAAGCATTTCTCAGCGGCGTAACCGAATAGTTTGGCGCTACTTTACTACTTAGTAGGAGTTGGGTTTGAGAGGGAAATAGTCATATTGTCTTTTTTCCCCAATTCCCATGAATAAAAAGGGGACCTGGACTCACTGTTGCCGTTATAAATATGATTTATTTTTTTCTTAGGTCTACGTTTATTTTATGGCGTTAAGCATATTGCCTCCATTTTTACCTTGTTTCAACAATATATTTAGCATGCTGTTTCACTTTCTTGCGCCCATTCAATTATCATTGCACATAGTCACAAAAGTGTGACTCCCTCTCCCTCCTTTAGGTCAGTGACTTTAAGGACGACCCATGTAAAAATGTTGATTTTCATTAATGCTATATGGGGCAGCGGTCGATTGAAAATGTCACATTTTTTTAGACTATGGCCTACGACTTTTGTCTCGAATAGCCCTACATTTGACACCATTAGAATTTTACGCTTTATTTGATTTGTCACGCTTCTATGCAGTCTATTAACCTTTACCCTCGATCGTCATATGTGGACACATAAAACCAGATGCTAAAATTTCCGGGGGTCGGACTTTGGTAAAAGTATATATTTTCTATATAAATTCTATTTCGTTGGGGTGGGGGGGGGTGGACATTTTTTTGGGGATGCCTGGAAGAAACTCTGCCCCTGATATGACATCACCAAATTTATAACGAAAATAAGATACAAAACATGAACTACACTTCAACTCCCCCCCCCCCCCCCCCGCGTCATAAAAGTCAAAAGTCTCCACCCCCCTTAGGTTTATGACATCATTTACGCCTGTAGACCACCATTTGTTCTTGATTCGATTTTCTTTTGAATGAAAGAAGTTGAATGATTTCATTTTCCCATAAAAATAATTTATCTTTTAACTTCCTGGCACGATAAAACTTGTGTAGCTGCTAACGGTATGGACAGTGGCGTAGCCAAGCAGGGTTTCTTTCAGGGTTTTTGGGATATGGAGGGGGTTCTTTGAAAGAAAAGTATATATTTTCTATATAAATTCTATTTTGTTCGGGGTGGGGGGGGGGGGGAGGAGAGATGACTAGAAGAAACTCTGATGTATCTATGTTTGAGAATTTTAAAACAAATAATGATTATAAATTATAAGGTTTGTTCCGATAAACTTACCTGTTTGTTTATGATTATGTTTTTTATTTATTTCCGGTGTAAACTAAAATGGCGGCCACCAAGCGCTTCCAAGAGCTAAGCAAAAGAAAACATGAAATCGAAAGTAACATAAAACAGTTTATGGACCTCCTAGAATCAGTATGACAATTTTTAGAAATAGAATAATTAAAGCATTTGATAAAAATACTAAAATATATTTAAATTATGATATATCGTAGATTTCTAGACCTTTTTTTTAAAGTTGCTGTTTCTTTCTGACACACTCACACTGTCGGCACTGTCTGTACTATGTGACACAGCAACTTTTTAAACTTTTAATTCAGTTCACTCAGTATTCTGACACCCACCAGCACTCAGCAGTTGACACAAAGTCTGAGTAGATCTAGTTGAGTTACAATATTGAATATACAACACAGTGACGAACAATAGTGACATAGACTTTTCGGTAAAATCACGATATAGCGTCGGTTATTATTCCGGAACTATACAGCAGTAAAAAACAGTAAAACCATGGCGTAGTCTGTCGAGCCGGTCCGAAAACCACCGGAAATACTGTAAACCATCATTTATTTGCCGCCATATTATTTTTAGTACATAGGGTAAAGGAGGGCGTTAAGAGCCGTGTGGTATTAAGCCCCAATCAACACCCCACCCCCATAAAACCCCCAATAACACTGCTAATCTACTTCTGAGGTAACAACCACTGCTGTTCTTTGATAACAGAGAAGCAGAGGATTCATTTTATGTAATTTATGACCCACTTGGTCCAATAGGGAGAGGATGAGACAGGATTTAATCCCACTGCTCTTTCCCTAAAATTTCTCATCTCCATAAAACCATTTTGTGAACTTTTTTTCCAAATAGACATAACTTGGGAAACTTTACTTTGTAATAAACCAAATGAGTTTTTCAAGCCCATTCTTTGTTCCTGTATTAGAGCATTGGTTGTTGTACATTTTAACACTATTTTTATAGCTATGGCTAGAATAGTTTTATTTTGGTGAATTTTTTTTGCACAGTGATTATTGGTGCCAAAACAAAATGGCCGACATTTGTCCCATTTTACCATGCTATAAAGTTTTTATCATTATCAGAGTAAAACTTGACTGATCATAACCATAATGGTTTTATTTGTTAGATAATAACTAAATCTACATGAATACATTAATTTTGTCCACTAGCTTGCCTGTTTAGAAAAGTTATAACAGATACTGTTATGTGGCTCTTGAAACCCTAAGTGCAAGTTTCTCATTTATTAGACCACTGAATATGACACTGGTATAGGAATAGTTAACACAAAATGTATTAATTGTTAACAGACTTGTGTCTAAATGATAGAAATACAATTCTAACCTGCTAAAAAGTAAAAATTCAGCCATCTGATGTTAGCAAGGTAATTTTTAAAATGGTACATGTACTTATTACCCCTAAGGGGCAATACAGCCGACCCAGCCCCCACCTGTTTCTAACCAACCATAAAACTTCTAATCTCTTTGTAGGTAACAGGAATAAATGCTCTTAGGTCTCAGCCAATCTGGGGTGGTATGTTATATAATTTATGACCCTCATGGTCCAGCAGGGAAGTAAACAGACACATTAATACCACTGCTCCCCCCCCCCTTACAATTTCTTACCCCCATGATACCCAGCCCCCACCAGTTTCTGGCCCACTATAAAACTTCATCTCTTTGTAGGAAAACTGGATTACAATTACAGATCTCAGACAATCTGGGGTGGCATGTTATGTAATATATGACCTTCATGGTCTAGCAGGGTGGAGACCAAAGAGGAATCAGTACCACTGCTCTCCCCTCACATTTTCTCACCTCCATGATAGCCAGACCCCCACCTGTATCTAATCCACCATAAAACTTCATCTCTTTGTAGGTAACATGGACTAAGTTCTTAGATCTCAGCCAACCAGAGATAGCATCTCCTTATGTAATGTATGGCCCTCAGGGTCCAGCAAGGAGAACAAAGGGGAAACCAGTACCACTGCTCTCCCCTCACAATTTCTCACCCCCATGATACCCAGCCCCCACCTGTATCTAACCCACCATAAAACTTATCTCTTTGTAGGTAGCATGGACTTAGTTCTTAGATCTCAGCCAACCAGAGATAGCATCTCCTTATGTAATTTATGGCCCTCAGGGTCCAGCAAGGAGAACAAAGGGGAAACCAGTACAACTGCTCTCCCCTCAACATTTCTCACCTCCATGTCATGTTATGTAATGTATAGCCCACATGGCTTATCAGGGGAAAGCATTAAGGCAGATTAGTTAGTACCACCCCTTTTTACATACAAGAATGTCAACTCTGGACAGCTACACACTAGTATACTAGCTACACACTAGGCATACTAATGTGCCTACTGTAAACTACTAGACTTTAGGGCTTAGGCCCTATGTACACCTGCAATTGTATCAATTGTAGACTGGGCCCATTGGGGCCCTAGTGATGGCTAGTATCAGTTAAAGTGTGTGTACACAGCATTAACTATTTTGTGGTTAGAAATTAATTATTTTTATTGCAGAGTTAGTCTAAACTGGGAGATAATACTTATTGCCCCATTGCCCGGCTCCTTTCACCCCAAATGCTGATTTTGGGGGTATGACAATAAATGTTCAATTAAACCCATTTAAAGTATATTTAATACACTTTGTTATTATTTTTATATTCTGTAAGATATGTTAGAATAATTTTGCCATATTTTCAATACTAAAAAATTCTTAGATTAGTAGAAATCTTTAAAAATGTACAGGTGCTAAAAAGTGTGGCTCTTAACGCCCTCCTTTACCCTAATGTTTAAAAATGTGCAAGGATTGATTTTAGTTGCATTTTAAATACTGTTTTGCTAATTATTTTGTATTTCTAATTATTTTAAGTGTATGTGCTAATTATTGCTGCTACTAAACATTATTCTAGTTATTCTTACTACTTTTAACTTTAGTTAATCTAGCCTAATCGTCTTATTTACTAACAGAACTATAGCTGGTTGTCGCAAATCTTCTGCAGGTTTTTCTTTAAAAAAACATTAATTACTACACTCGACTTTATTATTAATATTTAGATTTACTAATTGTTGCTAATTTTTTGTCAGTTAAACATTAAATTGACTTTATTTTTCTTTCACCGGTCAAATAAAGTATGGTTTACAGTAACGAATGTTACCGAAACTCAACGAACATTACCCAATAATTTCCGACGCTATATCGTGATTTTACCGACTTTTCACTAACGGGTCGTCCATAAATGACGTCAGTGACGGATGGAAGGGAGGTAAAAATCGTCCAAAAAAGCATGACGTCATTTATGGATGACCCCTAAAACTACAATTAGATCTACGGTAAAACTCCATTTTAGTGTATTTTATTCCCCTTGTTTTAAATTAAACGAAGTGTCTACTCGGAAGAAGATTTTTCTCCCCAACGTCTCCACTTAGTCGGCAAAAGATAGCTCTGCGCATGCGCAGTGACCTATGGCTAGGGTTAGGGCTAGAATGAGGGTTAGGGGTAGGATTAGGGTTAGGGATAGGGTTAAGGATAGGATTAGGGTTGGTGTTAGGGTTCTGCGGTTGTAAACACATGCATGCGCAGTACCATCGAAAACATCGCAGCTAAGGCAAGTCGTAGTTTCTCTCCATTGTGCATGCGTATCGCATGCGTATCTTATTCCGGCTAAAATCGGCCTAAACTAAATTAGGGGCCACGGCACAGCAAACTTTTCCATTAGGCCTACATTATTTACAACCATATTATATCACTCTTATGTTAAAGTCATGGCTAGCCATGAATCGGTTTGACATTTTTAACCGGTTATGAGTTGCTAACTAGTGATCAACCAAATAGGAGACACATGGTTTTTTTTTTTTTTTTTGTTGTGATTTGAGCGCAGGTCTTATAAAAAAATGGCTCACAATATTTGATTTCTTTTTTCTTAGACCGATAAACCTAATAATGCTTCACCTTTTTGCTTGTTTTTGTACCTACTCAGTTGATAGATAGTTTAAAAGTTCTATTGATTTTAATTAAACCAACTTTTAAATTTAGCCTTTATTCTCCAAACCAAATTTTAAAATGCTTTTCTGGCAGATATAGCTCATTCCACACATAGCTTGTTTTTATAATGCAAAAACTCTCCATTTAGCTCGTGGTAAACATTTTTAAAAGTAGTTCTAAGAAGGTCGCTGGAACTATGATGAAAAATCATTGGAAGTAATGCGTCCGGTGTGGACGCCATATTCATATTGTTAGCAATACTATATTAGTGTGAGTGTGCGAGACCCATGCACCACTAATTCTTGTACTACAAGACTTGCAGTTGTCATCAGTTTTCTTATTGATTAGTCACTTAATAAGTGTCACAACTTGGAAAAGTTGGTGAGATACCTCTGATCATTTTTTTGTTAATTTAGCCTTCACAGCGGCTGTAAAAGAATGTTTAAAAAAACTGTAAACAAGAAAAAAATTCTGAAATTTAATATTTTCAATCTAGATATTATAAAAGTTGCAAATGCAGAGAATGTGGAAATCTTTCTTTGCAGTTAAGGCAAAGATGTAAAGCTACATTCCTATTTATTTAGCCTTCATCAAGCCAAAATTTTAACCTGAAGTTTCACTTTAATAAGACAAACTTTGATTGATACAGTGATCATATTTCTGAAAACCCCACTTTGTATTAATTTGAAGACAAAACTTTGCCAGTAAATATTTTAAATAAAATCAGGCTATTGTTTTTAAAACCACATGATATAGTTATGGCATGTTTATTTACACTTTCAATGGAAAAAAAAAACAAATTATTTTTGGCTTTTTAAAAAAGCTTGTTTAGCTTCAGAAACTACTAAAACCATCAAATGTGTCCAGTCTTTAGTGAAGGTGGGCAAAAACCACAAAATCAAGATTTTATAACCACATCTATTTTAAAATACTACACACAATTTTTTTAACACTAATTATCATTATTTAGCAAAAAAGTGTTGGCCTGAATGAACCATTGGTGGACGCAGAAGGTTTTCCAAGGTCAGACATTGATGTGTACTCATGTCGCCATGCCAGACACCAGATTTCCTGTGAGTAATATGTTGTATGGTCACCCTCATAAACTGTATTAGTTATTCCGCCTAATAACAAGATTGGCACTTTTTAAGCTTCACTGATGCATTAACCAATCAGCTTGAAGAAAAAATGTTTAATTTTATAGACATTTATTTTTACCAAATAGTTAAATTCTACAATGATAGTGATATTTGTATAATAATTATAATGTTAGCGATTATATATTTTCAGGCCTTCAAAACGATCATATTTCAATCATGAAAGAAATTGAGGAAGAATTAATAAATATCCACCAAACAGCTCGTGCCAATAAAGCGGGCGAGTCTCTCAACACATGCACAATCACATCAGGAGATGAAATCATGGAAACAGAACGTATTCCATTTGCTTTGATTGACAGGGTGGACCAGGGCTCACCAGCTGCTCATGGGGTATGAGTTATTGTTAAAATAGGTGCTGTCCTGTAATGTAATTGTGCCATCCAAGTCTTTATAAATGCTGTCTTTTATACTGACTAGGATTTTCTAAATCTGTTGGATTATATAACTTTGTGGAAGATTAATTTTAATCTATAAATTTTAATAAATAATTTTTTAAAGCTGTACCCCCTTTGATCAAAGGGTTGGACATAGGGTGTAATGCGAAATACTGCTGTTATTGTAGGGTGTGTTGTGTGCATCGTTTTTACAAACGGATGAATATAATACTTTTGTTTTTACACTGTTTAAAATCTTTATTAGGGACTAGAAGTGGGGGATCAGTTGATAGAATTCGGATCAGTCATGTCTGAGAACTTTACCAATATGCAGTCAGTGGCTACAGTTGTACAGCATTCCAAAGATGTAAGTAATTCAGTTTGTACGGAACAGGTTTTTATTTACCTAAGGCAGTCAGTTGCTACAGATGTACAGCATGTAAGTAATTCAGTGTGTACGGAACAGGTTTTTATTTGCCTAGGGCAGTCAGTGGCTACAGTTGTACAGCATTCCAAAGATGTAAGTGATTCAGTGTGTACGGAACAGGTTTTTATTTACCTAAGGCAGTCAGTGGCTACAGTTGTACAGCATTCCAAAGATGTAAGTGATTCAGTGTGTACAGAACAGGTTTTTATTTGCCTAGGGCAGTCAGTTGCTACAGGTGTACAGCATTCCAAAGATGTGAGTAATTCAGTGTGTACAGAACAGGTTTTTATTTGCCTAGGGCAGTCAGTTGCTACAGGTGTACAGCATTCCAAAGATGTGAGTAATTCACTGTGTACGGAACAGGTTTTTATTTGCCATCCAGGACTCTGCTGCCCTTTTTCAGTACAATACCATATTTAAACACAATATTTACATGTTCAGCATTTGTCACCTGCGGTTGGTTACAATATAGTTCTATTTAAGCTCAATCATATATATTTAAAACACAATATTATAACATTTTTCTGCCATTGAAAATTGGTAGCAGTCTACTGCATGACTGGTTATAGCTAGAAATTTATTTAAATAACATTTCTTTCATAAAGCTAGGTACATATTTAAGTGTCATAAATTGGCAAGTCATCTTTTTCCAGGGATGTGACTTTTCCGAATTTTAGCGGAAATCCGATTTTTCCGTTTCAGTTGCGATTTTCCTCCGCTGATTTAATTTTCGCCGAATTTTTCCGCCGACTTTCAGTTTTTGTCGATATTTTACGAAGTTTTAAAAATTAGGAAAAAAAATGGAAATGTCTTCTACGGAAATGGCCGACATGCTCATTCCACTTATTCGTATTTAAATTCAAATCGAAAACTACTGTACTTAGGTCAAACGGACACTCGAATATGCGCATTTCTTTTCGATTGGTCGATTGCGCTAGGTCTGACGGTGCTAGATCAAGATTAAATGTAGATTAAGATTCGGAATTTCGGCGGATTTTCGAATTTTTCAAAGCACACTTTTTTTAGTCCAAATTTTCCGCTGATCTTTTCAGTTAACTATTTATCAAAAACACGGGAAAAGGTAATCTAAAATAATGCAGTTATTCAAATGAAACTTATACAATGTATAATATACATCTCTTAAGCCTGGTAATCTAGCTATCGATATAGCCTAATTTACCTATCGGTATTTTAACCCGCCTAAATCTAGAGTTTCTCTCTGATTCTATTTTATTTCGCAATCTCAAGTTAATATTGAAATCCTCGCAAAAGGTGACTATGAGAGCTAGACTAACCCGCCCACCCTCGTAGCAACGGTGGCTCTTGTGACCTCACCTTGACCCCAAGTACGTGTTCGGTACTGCTTGTGGAAAAAAAATGACGTCACAGTCAATTTCAAATAGCTGTTCCTGCAATATGCTTCGTAGGCCTACAGATAAAAAAAAAAAACTCAACGTGACTACGACCGTGTCTTGTTTGTGGAAGAAAAAATACGTTCAGACTGTTTTTAAATTTTTAATAAGGGGTCTTCCATAAATTACGTCACATTAGTAATAAATATAGTGTAACGTCATATTTTTGTACTTTAAAAAACGTAATGTTAGAAACAACTGCATTTTAGCCGCTATTAGAAAACTGTTGTAAAACATTGTAATAGAAATTGAATAAAATACCATTTGTTGGTCGACCTCAGTCAATATTTTAGAAAAAAAAATCGATGTTTAAAAAAAATAATCAAATTAATTTCGAGGAAGGGGGGGGGGGGGATTTGTTGGCTGAGGTGTGACGTCATTATGGGGGGGGGGGGAGTCTGGCTTTTGTATGAGAGAGGGGAGGTAAATATCGTCCCAAAAAAACGTGGAAGACCCCTAACAATTTACATTTATTCAAAAAAAAAACATAAATATGGAATAATGGATGTGGCTTGGCTATCAAAATGATTAACTTAGTTTCACACGTCAGACCCTTTCTAATTTTAGCTAACCTGGTCCATTTCATTTTTCCATCACATGAACCTAAAACTTTCAAATTATAACTAATTTTAATCTAGGCTCTTATTACAGTTGAAGACAAATATTTTTACCAATCCAATCTTTAAAAGAATATATATTAGGCATTAGGCCCCCTATTTAAAAATTGAAAACAGGAGTACATCTAGAATGTACACTAGATTAGTACAGTTTAAATTAACTTAATGGTAAAATAAAACTTAATTGCTACTTTTGTTACATTGTAATTTTTAAAAAGTTGTTTATAAGGTAAACATTAAATTGCAATTAGACAAGACTTTCAATGTTATTTTAGAGTAACATAAACTTCTTGTATTAAAAATATTAACTTCATTAAACAATTAATTAGTACAGTAACGGTATCAAGCTGCTTAACCGCGATAAAAAGTAGATAAAACATACTGAGTTATTATCCGAAGTAAATTTCCTAATTTTTTTTCCTGGTCTGGTCACATCCCTGTTTTTCACCCCTTCATTATTCACTAGTAAATGTCTTTTTCTGTACTTATTAAAAACCTATCACACACATATAGGCCTCTTACATGATTTTTTTGTATATCACATATAACTTTTTTTTTTAGAAACCACTGAGAGTTGTTTTACAGCGGAATGGTCGTGTTTTTAATGTAAATATCACACCATCAACATGGAGTGGTCCTGGATTGTTAGGGTAAGTTAGATGTTTTAATATTTTTGGTTCAGAGTATACTAGGAAGCAGTTTTATTAGTAAGGAAGGTTGAGGCCAATTTGGATAATTGAGAAAAGTAATGATTGTAGTTTTCAACTTCATTTTATTTTGTTTTTGTAAAAATGATGTTTATAGGTATAATCATGTACATTATTTCTGAATTTTTTTGTTTAGAATTAAGCAATGGTTATTTTGAATACTTGATAAATTTAAAAGTTTAAAAATTATTTTTTTAATAATGTTTATTTTTTAAATCCACAGGTGCAATATTAAGCCATTGAATAAGTGAAACGGTCATTGTAAGCTATGTTGGTGATTTAATCTTTAGGTTTCTGTTGGGTGCACTGATAATAATAAAAAGATTTCAGTCAACTTTCAAGTCATGGGGAGGTATCTGTTTTTAAAGCACTTGAGTCATCACTTAGCTCACCGCTAAAGAGTGGACAAATGCTAGCTAGTGACTTTTTTAAATGAGAATTGTTTTGAACGATTTCATATGAGTTTAATTATTTAGCATTTTTTTAATTATTGTCTTAATGTACATGAATCTAAAGATTGACATTTTATCTTTTATATATTGTTCATTTCTCCTGATAAACTTACAACACATGTAGTTTTGCCTAGAAATATCTATTACCTGTGTAGATGTGGTTGGTAGTATTTACAGGATACTCTGGGCAAATTTAGTACACGTAGAATATACTTCAAAGTTTTCTGTAACACCTACTTAAAAGTACTAGAGACTAAGCTAATTTAGTACACTTAAAATGTACTAAATTGTTTCTGTAAACCCCTGACTCCCACTCCATGGTTGGCATCAGATGGTTGCCATGTTAATAGATAAACGGGTTGCCATTTTATTTGATAAAAATGTTGCATGTTTGTTATGGTTAACCCACAAAATGAGAGAAAAGTGACCACATGGTATTGTTTTGTACATACATTTTTAAAAAAATAAAATCCTGTTTAAGCTGTTTTGCCTGTTGTTTTTTTTTTAAAATCTTTTACAGTATGTGCATTAAAATAGTTTATATTTCCAGTTTGGCAAGGCGAAAAGATGATGCATTTTCAACCACAACACTTTTTTTTTAATTTTAAAATATTCACATAATTTTTAAAAATAAGACTAAAGCATTATACAGGAAAATCGTCAGTTTATTACGTATGAGTCAGAGTATGAAATTAAAGAGCTTAATAATTGACAAATAATTAACAAAAATTATATTAAACCCAGAAAAATATTTTTAAAAAAAACAACCCACTATTATTATCACTTTAATGAAAGCCTGTCTCAACAACAGAAGCATTTTAATTAGTTTTAATTTTACTCATATTGACAGCAACATGTTTTTCATAAATTATTTAACATAAACAAAAATTATAGTGATAAAAAAAACAAAAATGTAAAAAAAAATTATTATTTCTCTTTTTTGCTGATATCTTCCAAATTTAATTACCAGAGAGGCGTTAGTTTCTACAAATAAATAAATGGAAAATACTAAGTACGAGCGCATCAAATTAAGAAAAATCTTGGGAGCATTTTTGCGCATAGGACTGTAAAGGGTTCAAATACTTCTTAGCATTGCAAATCCAATAAATAATGAACATTTATTGAGTTACTAATTATAAAAACACCGGATATTTTTTTTTTGTAACTTATTTGTTACAAATGCGAGTTAATAATTAGTACAAACATACTAGCACTGGTTAACACATTTTACATGCCATTTAGCTAGTGTACTCTTGTTAATATAATACTGATTTTGATACTCGACAGTTATTTAAAATATTTTCAATAAAAAAAATTCATTACAAATAAGAAAATAGAATCTATAGGCATAAAATCCTCAAAATTAACAAAAGCTTAATGTAAATAATTTATTCTTGATGTCCAAATGTAAAATTTTTGACATCATTTAAACAAGAAACTTGAATTTGTTCAACACTGGCTGGCGCACCTGTAAAAGATGTATGTGATGCAGTTGGTGGGGGAAAGAAATGGCAATAAAAGGGAAATAACTTCAGTACTAAAGGATCAAAAACATTCTAGAGATGTTGATGTTCAGAGTAGAATAAGTTGACGGTGTCAAATTTAATTTGTATTGTTCTAATTAATATTTGGTTGGTAAATTTTGTGACAACAAAAGATATACCAAAGTAATTGAACAAAATATTGATAGATTACTACAGGGATTCTTGCTAAGACCTTTAAATTTTGAATTGTATGGCTTATCATTCAATCATATCAAAGCCACATAAAAAAGTTTTCATGTTTGAGACTAATGTTAACTTTTTGTTACACAATGTCATAAAGTCAACCCCCTATGTAGTGTAGACTTTATTTAGAACAAATTACTAATTAGTGGGGAAAAAAAAACCCATAAAAACCTTCATAATAATAAGCTTTTAGATGCACAGAAAATAAGAAAATAAATCTTGTTTTCTTTAATAAAAGCTTTGGTTGCCCATACATGTAAGAGATCTCAAGAGAAACCAATGCTTTTATTAAAGAAAGAAAGCTTTTTTTCTTATTTTCAGTGCATTTAAAAGGCTTTCATTATAAAAGTTTTTATATATATTTCATTTAAAATGTAAGAAAACACATTTTTAGAAGCCTCTGTGTCCAAACTATAAAGCTGATGCTTGTGACTTAGTAGAACACCCATGAGTCCACCCAGTTCAAACGGGTACCTAACTCATGTTAGGGAAAGTAAAGGTGGCTGGGCAAAGTGCTGACCCTTCATTAGAAACTATCAACTCTACTTCATTTGCCCAATGGATCGCTAGATCTAAAGAGGATTTTTACTTTATGTGACTTACTGAACTGGAACCAGCCTTCAATGCCAGACTCGAACCTTGCAGCTTCCACTGCCCTTTTGAGTGCCAAGAGGGGACAGGCACCTTGTGCAACAGGAACTTCACCAACAGCTAGAGTCAGATTCAAGAGTTAGTCTTGTAACAGGTTATAATTTTCATTCTTTACCTAGACACTTTATACTGCTTGAGCAATTTATATAACAGATGATATTCATAAAATTAATTCTTTACCTAGACTTAACACTTGATACTATTCAACCATTTTATTACATGGAGTCTTCAAACGGTGCTAGGTTAGGTTTATGTATAAAATATTAACATTGAAATATAGAATTACTGGTCAGCATTGTTTTGCTAAATTCACACTTTAGAACATAAAAAAGTTTGTATATGCCAAGGTCACAGAAACAAGTGAACCCTACTGGACTTGCCCTATAGACCATCAGGTTTGAAAAGGGAACTTTTCTTTTAGGTTTGTATATTATAAAATGAATTTTTAGGGAGGTGTAGGGAAGACTACTCTGTATCTTTTTAAACAGTGGGTTGTGCTTCATGACCACTTAAACAGGTCATTGAGGGGACAAATGCTACTTTTATATATAAATAATCTATGAGTTTTTTTTATTTACATAACACATTGCTGGACTTTAACCCTCTGACCAAACAGTCAGAGAGAGAAATTATTTCTAAGGGGAAATTATGCAGGAAGACTGATTTTAAACTATGGATTGAAAAGATAAAACAAAAATAGATGGCTAACCTTTAGATCTCAAGAGCCCATATGGATTTGGTGAATTTCTCAAAAACTTGACATTGAACTTAATTGGCAAGTCCTTTGCCAGAGGAGGTTTGTAAGTCTGAAAATAGATTCATTTTATAAAAGCACTGATTTTACTAAGATTATAGAAAAAAATTATATATGTTTCTTTTATTTTATGATTTGAATTTTTTTTTGGTTGTAACAAAAAAAAAATCAAATCAAATCTAATATATGTGGATGCTCTACAAACCCATGTCCCATCAGTCAAAGCTTTTCCTGTAACTGGGTCAAAGGTCATTCCCTCCAGGAGAAACAGACCACAACCCATCATAAACCCGCCCTCCAGCTGACCCAAGTCAATATCTGGGTTCAAACTGAAAAAAAATAATAATAAAAAATAAAGTATTTATTATATGGGTGCATTTTAAAAATTTATATTAAACTTAATGCATAACAGCCTGAAAATTCACTGGGCAGTGATTTTTCTATAAGTTAACTCAGTATGTTGTAAATGTTAGGTTTCGATTTATCGAATGCAGTGTTGCTTTTAATAATTAAATATTAAAATAATCAAGTTTACCTAATGCCACAGTCGTAAAGGAAATCAACTTGATTTATCTGGTACTGCCCAGTGATGGTGTCTAGCTCCACCTCAGTGCAACATGCACTCCAGCAATTGTAACGGGCATTCTCAACTTTATCCTCTGGGTGGTTTCTGTAACAGGAGACAAGTTTATAGGAACAAAATTTTTAACTAACATGCCAAACAAACAAATATTATTTTAAAAATCTTTTAAAAAAATAATTCGCCAACAAATGATGCCTCAAACTATGCCAATGTAAGATTTAAAAAAAAACAGATGAAAGATTAATACATTTGCTTTGAATAGATTTTTTAAATTGTTTATGATGCCTAGGACTTTAAGTTAACATTCCATTTGATGTGATTTCCAATTAAATTTTGTATGTATTTGTAAGTATTCATTTGTAAATAAGATTAATTTAAAATGTCTAAAAGATTTCAATTAAATTATCTGCTAGATTACTACATCCCAATTGGAAAATTACATTTGCTTATATAAACCATTCATCAGATACTTGGATTCAGTTTTAAGAATTAAAAACTATATCAACTTACAAATATGAAGCTGTTAGAAATCATTTGTCAGATAGGCCTACTTGGTGGTATCAAATTTTAAAATGATAAATCTTTATCAGCTCACAAATATGATGCTGTTACAAATCATTCAACAGACATTTGGTATCCAATTTTTAAAATTAAAAACTATATTTGCTGTTATAAATCATTCATCAGATATTTGGATCCAGTTTTAAAAACTAAAAACTAAATTAGCTTACAAATATGATGCTGTTAGATCAACCATATCCTTAAAACATTGCTCAACAATTTCTTCCCAAGTTGGGTTGACCAGTTTAGCCTTGACGGGTGCCATACGTTCTAGCAACATATCACAGCAGGTCATCACAGCCTATTCCAAAAATAATGGTTATTGTTCCGTTAATTAGTCTAGCAGTATATCATGGCATATCACAATAGTTTATTTTTAAAATCTAGCAGCTTATTGTTCAATACTAATAATAATGCAAGCATAATATTCCCTTACAAATTTTTAGGTTTTATTCAAATTATTGTCCAGAAAAAGGTGCTCAAAAAATAATTCCTAGCTTTGTCTTTCTTTGAATATGGAAAAAGAAGTGATATTTTTAATTTTTTTAAAAAGAGAAGAGCTCCACCTAATTAAAACTCACCAAACAAATCAGCTCAGAAGTTACAGTGGCTGCTGTCCAATGAGAATTGGCATTGAAAAAAGATGATGTCTTCTTGATTTTAATTTTGTCCACGGGTACGCCAAGCTTATAAGCACAACACTGGATGGCCTGTGTTATGCAAAGTTAGGCAAGCAACAATTAAGAGATTTTAAGATTAAAAATCCTTTCATAGTCTTTAGACTTACCAATACAAAATTTAAACAATTAGTTAAAGTGTAGCTAAATAATAAATGAAAAAGTAATTGTATAGACCTACAAAGATTGTAATTGTGTTAGAAATACAAATGAAGTTTGCACTCAAAATCAAATTTTTCTCAACTGTTGCATAGTGTGAATAAAAAAAAGTTAACTCTAATTCAAGAGAATCAAAACAACTTTTACTTCTCCTATGTAATCAGAATTACTCCTGGGGGATGTTGTTGTAAAAGTTGACCTAAAACGTTGAATGGGCAGAAAAAGCGTTACCTTTGTGTTGATACCTTGACCCATGTCAACACCACCATGACTAATAGCAACACTGCCGTCACCATGGTGAACAACAACAGTTGTGTGGTGGATGAATTTGTTCCAGCTCAGGGAATATCTGATTGGCATCACATGCAGACCACGCTTTCTCCAACGATTTGCCTGATCAAAAAAAAATTATATTCTCTCATCTTTTAAATGGAGATATTCACTAATATATAACTTATACCAATTGAACTAATCATTTTTAAATTACCCAGCTTATCAAATTATTCATACTTAGTAAAGCATTTATTTATACAAAGATAAACAAACAGCAGTACATTTTTTTTTTAAAAGTTAGCTACCTTGTAGATTTTTAAAAAAGAGTTGCTTACCTTGTTAAAGTCATTGACAGCTTGAACTCTAGCTGGGTAATCAATATCTGTCTCAAGTTGGTGGACAAGATCTCTAATGAGACAATTCTCTAACACCAAACCACCCAGAGTTGTCTAGATTACACAATTCAACACAATCATCATGTTATTCAACCACAATGTAAAACATGATCAGTGAGAAATTTTATTTTAAAAAATAATTTAACTGTTTTTATTTTAATTAGAAATGGAATAATTTGAAAAACCTACTATTCAAATTAATTTACCATACAAATGAAAGAGCTCTTCAAAGTTGTGCCGAAGATCAAAATATGTTCACTATTATAAATCAGAATTTTAATTTTAACATTTTCAACTGAGACATATCTCTTCATTTTAAGACTAAATGATACATACCTGACCATCAACAAAAAGATTCAGTTTACGAACTTCAAGGTGATCTTTTTTTAAATATGTGGCCACATGGTCAATCATACATTCCATAGCATAAATAGCTGGTGCTGTACCTGAGAAACAAATTAATTTGCTTGTAAAGAAAGAAAACAATAAATTTAGCAGTTGATTTTTAAAAATCTGGCAACGTTTGATAATTTAGTAAATAAAGTCTCACCAGGTGCTCTGACTGAAGTTGGAACTGGTTTGTTAGTCTTACATGGCTGCACAGTCCAGGACCAGTTGGGGCAGAAATAAGCTGTACAGCAGTTGATTTTTTAAAATAAAATTATGGATATATGGGCTATATTTTTTATACTTTGAATATAATCATAAATACATTACAACAGAATAATCAACAAAACATCTATAATAATATAGCAACTACAGATGTCAATTATGCTTATTACCACTGTCAATATAGTTTTGAGTGCCTTCATTGCAATCTGCCTTAAGAAAGATGGGACCAGAATCACTGTATGCTGTGGCTATAATGGCTAGAATCTTGCCATCATCATCAAAACCAATCTAAAAATAATTTCTCTTAATTAAAAATAATGTTTAAAGCATATTGTATATGTCCAACTGTGTACATTTGATTTCAAACAAAAAGAAACACAAAATGACCATACAAAATTACTGTAGACCTTAAAGAAACGTTTTAGAGTAAATTACCACAAAGGGTTACTGTAATCACTATATAAAAAAGCATCAAAGTATAACTACTAAAACTTCCTTGCCTCATACTGATATACATAGCGGGTCCTTTTCCCTTGGAACTGCATGTTGGTGTGCAAGTCTAAACTCATCAAAACAGGCCTGCCAAAAAATATTTTTTTAAATTAAATTTCCTGTAGTGCTGTTCTAATCCAGATATTGGATTAAACAAAACAGAAGGTGAGTAATCTCAATGGTAAAATAAGAAAATTAAAAACTTCACATCAAATAGAAACAGGAACAGAATCTATTAAAAAACTGGCAGATGGAGACCACTATAAATAAAATTATGTATATACGATTAAAATACTCCATTTGAAAGATAAAATTACTATTGTATGTTTACCTTTTAGTTACCTGGGCTGCAACGGCACACATCCCAGCAACAGGTAAGTTGTAGAATATTTTGCCACCAAACCCTCCACCTAATCTTTGAATCTCCACATTGATACTGAATCAAGTTAAAAGGAAAAATAAATGTAACTTTCTGTGAAAGTTAAAGGTTTTTACACTTCATTTAGTAAATTGTAAATACAGGGAAACAGCTTTATAAAGTTAAATAAATCAAAACAAATCATAAATTATTATTGGTAGATAAATGGAAGTGTTGAAAGAATAATTTTGTTAAGTATATGGTTTATCAATCAAATTTATTGAAATAGTAAGGTTACTATTGCATTTAAATCATAACTAACAAGGATAATAATTTCATAACTTTGAAGATTAAACAAATTGTTTTAATCAAAGAAAAAAAATATCACATTTATATAATTTAAAAATTGAAAAGAAAAATTATTAATGGGGGGTAACCTGGATTCCTGTATCCCCAGGAGTTGGGCCACTGTTTCTGAAGTGGCATCCAGCCACTGGCTAGTGGCTAACACATCCATCCCACCCAAGTCCGAGGGGCTACAGAACGCTGCTTGACTCTCCAGGTGAAAGTTGTACTGGTCAGTGCTGTGTATTGAACCTGATATTCTGTGCGGAGCTGATGCCATGGCAGCTAAAGGAAAGATAATGCTGTCCAGATTAGCGCATTAATTAATAGATGCAATCTAGATCACTAAGTTGATTATTTTGTATGGTAGATAAAAGAAAAATAATAATTCAGGTTTAAGTATTAGTCAACCTGGGTTTAAGTAATCATGTAAGAAACCGTAATTAATTCAGGAACCATAACTCAGGTTGGGGAAAACTTTTTACAGCAAATGTGTATGAAAATATTTCTGCTGCCTTATTTCACAATACAAAGTCATGTCTGAATAAACAATTGGAATTTTTTCAACAGCTAATTATCAAGCCTCACCTGCGGGATCACCAGCAGTGAAGGGCCCAAGTTTGGGGTAAAATGATTTTTTCTGAATGGCTTCCTCCACACCTGTTATGGAAGGCTGGACATCTGAGTAAGTCACCTTCACGGCCCCACGAGCACCTTGGGCAGTTATTTCATCAGCTAAAGGAGGTGAGATTCAACAATAGCTCTTTTAAAATGTATTCTTTGGTATACTTATTAAGAAAACAAAGAATTGAACAGTTAAATAATGTTTGTGATGTTTTATAGAAGTTCTGATTTAGTGGTATATTTTCAAATAGAAATTTTAGGAAGTATAGTTAATGCTCTCCCACTATTTAGAATTACCTCCCCTGGATAAGGAGACTAATTCTACCATTCCACCTTATAACCCAATTAATTAAACAGTGCTTAGTTCCACCTTAATGCCAAAATTTAATTGAACAGTGTTCAGTCATCTCTAAGGGAAGCTCAGTCTGTTCAAAGGGAACCTATTAGTGTAAAACCTGCTTGCTGTCATGGTCTTGAAATTAGGCAGACTTATCCATCTTATTTTTGAGTCGCCATGTATTTAATGAAAACTTAAAACTGCGTCAATACTCACTGGCCACCACAATTCCAATGGGTTGTCCAGCATACAGAATCTCACCAGAACTCAAAAGCTAAAACATTGTAAAAAATATGAGGTCCATAGAAAAATTAAAACCCTAACATTAATCATAATATACTAAAATAAAATAAAATTTTTTTTTTAAATATTTAAAATTTTCACAGGAGTAGTTTATAATTAAAAATTATTTACAGAAATATTTAAAATTATAAGCATTTAATTAGGTGAGTGTTGAGTCGTAATTAAGGTTGACTGACCTCTTGATATGCGCCGGGTTCATATAGAGGCTTGGGTCTCCAGTTATTTTCTCCTGGGATGTCAGCAGCTTGAATAAATTTGACGACCCCAGGAATGTTCTACACAGTAAGAAATGGTGCTGTTGGTTTTTGTATTATATAGGGCAGGGGTCTCCAAACTTTTCAGCCCGAGGGCCGCTTTAACTATCAAATATTAGTTCGGGAGCCAGAGTTTTCTTCAAGATATCTCTTCGGGGTGTTTTGAATTTTCTGGGCAAAGTTCCTCAGCCAAACATTTTTTTCCGTGGACACAAAGATGGATGAGAGGACATCGAGGGCCGCATCCGGCCCGTGGGCCATAGTTTGGAGACCCCTGACATAGGGTAAGGTTTATGTGTATTCAGGTGTCAAGTCATGTTACATCTTAGATTGTGGTTTTGTTTGTTTCAGGGGATTAAGTTTAGGGTTAAGTTTATGTTTAGGGTAGCTTTAGTAAGATTTAAGTATAGTGTTAGCTTGTATATAGTATATTTCAAGTAAGATTGCAAGTGAAGTAAGTCCTTGTAAAGAATACCCATTACATTTTTTTTAAAATTAAGATCAAGCAGATATTGTGCCAGTGAGTCAGTCAGCCCCAATGAGTACCTGGCATTAGTTCAGCAGTATATAAACAACAATTTTACAAAGTTTTTGAAACGCTGAATTCAAAGAGATGGAACAGATTTTTCTAAAATAGTTTCAAGCCCATGAGAGATATGAGGGTCGTAGACTAATGTAGATTCCACAAAGGAACTATCTTAGAATTTTAATAGGATAGCTCTTGTTTACCACGGTGATGGTGGCATCACAAGGTAGGTGGGTAGGGACTCCCCGGCAATGGTGGCACCACAAGGGAGGTGGGTAGGGAATGTGTGTGGATCACATCGGGTGACATCAGAACACCAAGTTGAAAGAGATCCAATTTTAAAGAGAAAATAAGTTGTATGCGTTTGGGTTAGTAACCAAATATAGTCAAATTAATCTTGAAGCACCAATTTACTGCACTCTGACACCTAGTAATAAGACTCCCAGTGTGAGAACATGATTTTCTTTTTTTTCTTTCTTTACGGAATGGACATCACCAGCTCAGGAGGTGTCTCCCATTAGCCAGGCAATGCCTCAACACGGCAAACGCTGACTAACTGGCTTGGATATCGGTTTGATTACTGTGTATCGGTCACTTCTGTCCTTTGGTTCTCACCGGGCTTATCTTCCACCCCACAGAGCCCAGGGTAAACTCGTACCCCACTGTCCAGTATCCAGGCTAACCCTACCCTACCTAAGTAGGTATATACAATGGGCTATACACAATTCATTGAATGAAAAAACCACTATTGAATTACCAGAGCAGCAGAAGCATCAACGCTTGCAAGTCTTGCGTTTCCCATGGTGCTCAGCACAGGTGCTGCATACAGCTGACCTTGTAACACTGGAAGGTCAGTCAAAAATTTCACTTCACCTGTTGCCTACAGAGTAAAAATAATTGGGATAACCTTGAACTTTTAAAACAAATTTGAATATTATTTGCATAAATGGCATTAATGTATTAAGAACTATCAGACCTATCGTAATTTTAAACTATAAAAAATAATATGTTAAAAATAATCTATTTTTGGGACTCATTTAAGCATAGTGAAGAAAAAATAACACTAGTTCAATACCAGGTTATAAGCTGTGAATTTCGGCATGGGCTTAGTGGCTGGGTAGACTGTGGGGTCATCAGTGCCGTAGGACTGTGTGGCTGTCATGAGTGGTCTGTCCAAACCAGGTCCACCAGTGACATATCGGACGTCACACTTAGTTTTACATGCCTCTAGAACAAACTAGAAAAAATATGGGACATCACACTTAGTTTTACAAGCCTCCAGAACAAACTAGAAAAATATGACGTCACACTTAGTTTTACATGCCTCTAGAACAAACTAGAAAAAATATGGGCCATCACACTTAGTTTTACATGCCTCTAGAACAAACTAGAAAAACATATGGGACGTCACACTTAGTTTTACATGCCTCTAGAACAAACTAGAAAAATATGGTATGTCACACTTAGTTTTACACGCCTCTAGAATAAGCTAGAAAAAATATGGGATGTCACACTTAGTTTTACACGCCTCTAGAACAAACTAGAAAAAATATGGGCCATCACACTTAGTTTTACATGCCTCTAGAACAAACTAGAAAAACATATGGGACGTCACACTTAGTTTTACATGCCTCTAGAACAAACTAGAAAAATATGGTATGTCACACTTAGTTTTACACGCCTCTAGAATAAGCTAGAAAAAATATGGGATGTCACACTTAGTTTTACACGCCTCTAGAACAAACTAGAAAAAATATGGGACATCACACTTAGTTTTATATGTCTATAGAACAAATAAGATATATACATAATTTGTGGGTCTTGGACATTATTTTATACATTATTTTAAAAAATGTATTATAAATGATGATACCATAGTATTAAACTTTCATAAATCATAAATTTATGTTAGCATCTTTTTGTAAAGTATTGACAGTAGATCTATATACAAAACAAATATAATAAGAAACAAAGTTCATTGCACTATAGTTTGGACAGAGAAATGCTCAAATACAATTAGAATTTATTAGGTAGCCTAACCACTAACCTAATGCAAGACAGTAATTTACCTTGTAAAAGTGACCTAAGGCCAAGCTCTTGCGATAGGATGCACTAGCCGAAGTTGGACTCGTTTCTGGGACTAGCTCAGCCGAAAGTGAACTTAGTGCACCTAAAGAAAAGGATTATCTCTTTAAAAATCATCCAAAAACAATTTTTTTACACTATCTTGAGATTGTATAAGTGTTTCTAAAATACTGACAAGGTTAATTACATTTTTAAAATAATTTTTTTTTTTAATAATGAAGAAAAACTTTATGTAAAGAATAAAAAAATCAAATGAACCAGCAAGCACAGTAGGATCTCCCAGTTGTTTGTTAATGAGATAAGATTCAGTCTGTACTGCATGGATCTAAACAAGAGGAAACACCATAATCATTATAGCTTGACGTAGACCATATTTATTTCACATACTTAGTAAAAGTAAATATACAAATGTATACAAATAAAAGCCTTAAATAATTTACACGGACAATTTTGACAAACAGAGTGATTTAACATTATCAATCAAACAATGAAATAAAAAAAAGTATTTAAGTGACCCAAATTTTAAGAAATACTGATCTTTATTTTAGCAATTGACTGTAAAGAGTAGAAAATTTCATTAACAAACATCTTCAGTAAATTTACTTTCATTTAAAGTAAACAAATATATAACAAAGATTCTAAAGGATTATCAAAAAATAGAAAATTTTAAACGAAACAATTACTAACCAGAGAGCCACTGATTCCTTGTATGACAATAGAAGGTTTCGACTTGACCAGGAAGTTGTTGTTGGCATCCAGTTCAAAGTTGAAGCCACTGGCAACATGAGCTTGGCATTGCTGTAAGACAAGCAGTTCATGTTTCTATAGCCAGAAAACTTTAACACACACATTTATCTCACTATACATGGGAAGATATTTCTGCTGATGACTATGTCAGCTACTGTATCAGCTTGGTTAATCTTTATTGATGCTGTGCTCACAGAAACAGGTGAACTCTACTTCATCTGCCTCTACTGACTGCCATCTCTAATATGGCAACTACTCTAATAAAATCGATAACTCTACTTCATCTACCTCTACTGACAGCAATCTCCGATAAGGCAACTACTCTAATGACAGATAGTGTGAGACAGTGACCCCGAGAGCATCTTTATAGACTGCTGACACAGTTTAGAGGATGTCACAAAGACCCATTTGGACCAGAGCACATGGTTGCTAACATGCAAGTCTAGAGCTCATGTTCTGTGCTTGTTTTTAAAACACAAAAATCCACCCAGCTCTGACAGTTTCCTGATTCAAGTAAAGACAGTTAACCACATCTGTCGCATCTTAAAAGGAAACTGTACTTACTGTATGGCACTTTTTTTTAACTTCCTCTAAGTTTAGATACATGACACAACCCCTTGACCTACTAGGAGATTAACCAAAGGACACACAACATGACCTAATTAGAGACAACACATAACAACCCAGTGACATACTTAGAGAGTTTGCATATGACTCACCTTTGACCTACTTAGAGACTACATAGATCCACCCCTTGACCTGCTTGGAGCATAGATACGACCCACACCTTCTCCTACTAAGTGACTAGACACATGGCTTACCCCAGTGGCATACTTACATAGTTGGCATATGATCCACCATTTGACCTACTTAGAGACTAGACATAGATCCATCCCTTGACCTACTTAAAGACTAGGCACAGGGCCTACCCCCTTGACCTACTTGGAGAATAGATACATGACCCACACCTTAGATACATTACCCACACCATGACCTACTTAGAGACTAAACACATGACCCATCCTTGACCTACTTGGAGCATAGATACACGATCCACCCCTTGACCTACTTAGAAAGTAGACCACCACCCACAGCCTTGACTTACCTGAAGCCTGTGGGATGTCTTGATTGTTCTTATACTCCTCTGGCTGCTTGCATTGTACTTGGGTAACTGCATGGAAACTATGACACCAACCCACAGCCTTGACCTACCTGAAGCCTGTGGGATGTCTTGATTGTTCTTATACTCCTCTGGCTGCTAGCATTGTACTTGGGTAACTGCATGGAAACTATGACCTTTGCCTTCATGTCCAGCGCAAAGAATTCATCAAGCGTGTACAGCTTGTTCAAACCACTACTGTCAACTAGTGAAAATCAGATGAATTTTGTTAGACGACCTACTATTGTTATGATGACAGAATATCTTATTCATAAAAAATGACATCTCATTAAGTTATCTCTGTAATTGATGTTGAGATCAAAATCATTCTTTATGAAGACATAATATTCTAATTATTTCACATCCTTTTTATTTGAAAAAAAATTCTTGCAGATAAAAGGACTAATCATCATAATCTTTTTACCATTTTAGCCCAAGATACATGGGGCAGATGAAGTAGAGTTCATCTGTTTCAATGATCTCGGCATACTTATTCCCTAACTTGAGTTTGGTGCCCATCAGAGCTGGGTGGACTCACGGACGCTTTACCAATTAACCTGGATTTGAACTCGAGACTTTCGGGTCAGCAGTCTAGCTTAGCCATGCCGCCTCCAAAAGGATTAATACAGGTTTTTAATAATTTTTATTTAGATATTCAACACATTATGCCTCAGCAAATAGCTTAATTTCCCACAACAACATAGTACATCCTCAAGGATGTGTGAAATCTTATTGACAACCCCTACACCAATTACAATTTTTTACAATTAAGAAAAAAAATTGTTATAAAGCTATGGTAATTTTTAAAAATTGGCTATTGGTATATAGCAGGTGTTAATTATTTTTTTTACCAATGTTTAAGTTAGCTCCAACTGTCTCCAGTAAAATCAGAACATCCGACACAAAATCTGGATGCTGATGTTTTAAAGCCAGATTTCCAGCCCAAGATCCCAGCTGTAAAATAGGCCAAATTTTCACTGAAGTTTTAAAAAACATATTGTATTTATTTTTATCCAATTTTTTACTGAAGTTTAAAAAACATATTGTATTTAATTTTTATCCAAATTTTCGACAGAAGTTTAAAAAACATATTGTATTTATTTTTATCCAAATTTTTACTGAAGTTTAAAAAAATTTGTATTAATTGTCATTCAAATTTGTACTCAAGTTTAAAAACATATTGTATTTAATTTTAGCCAAATTTTTACTGAAGTTTAAAAATCAAATTGTAATTTTAAAATATTAAATCAGAGATACAGTAACATCAACTTACATTTCTGATACCGTTAGATGCAGTGAATTGTAAGTGATCTACAAAATTGGAAGCATATGGTAGCTCTGGATCAGTGTTTTTGGCCAAAAGTTCTTTTAAATTTGTGAGGGTCAAATTAGCTCCAACAACAATGTGGTCACTGGGGGTCAGCTGCAACATGTTAGCCAAACAAACAGAAATGTAAAAAAAGATACATAGAATACTTAGAAACTGTGTTTCAAAATTACAGATTTGTCTTGATAAATACATAATTTAATACAAAAAGCCTAATTTTAGGGACATAAAAAAAGTTTTTGTTTAGTTGTAAAATATAAAAATTGCCTTTGGCTATACATCTACAATACATCAACCAACATTTCCTCAAAATAAGTTTCAACTAAGATTGCCTAAAAGTAAGTCCTGATCTTTGTTATCTTCAATTTAAAGTTAGACAACTCAAATTAAACACATACAACTCTGTGTGAAAGAAAGACAACTTACATCCACAGTGTAGAGTTCATTCATTCCTCTGATGTCTATAAGAATATTATAATTCCATGGTCCAACATCCTTGTAGACTCCTAAAAATATATATTGCTTCTTATCAAATGATGATCATAAAAATAAATGTGAAAGAAATTTGTTACCTCTCTTTATTCGAAATAACAAAAGTTGAAAAGCTTCAAGCTTTCCTCTTATATTTATACTCATGCAATACTCTCATAACATTTATGTTGTTTTTTAAAATGTGCACCAATAATCTCTGAAATCAATCATAAAAAATTCCTCTTTCCCCCCCCCCCCCCCCCCCCCCACGTGAAGAGAAACCAGAGTTAAAATCGTTTAAAAAATAATAGCAAGTGTTAAAATTATTGTTGTTATTTAACAACTTAAAGTTGTTTGGGAACCATTGATTACACCAGGGGTCGGCAACCTGCGGCTCGCGAGCCGCATGCGGCTCTTTTGATGTTAAGGTGCGGCTCTCCAGCTCCTTTCACAAATATTAATAGTTATATTATTTCATTTTCAAAACTCGCAGCAAATATAAAAAAAAAACTCAACTTTAAACAGGATAAAAATACTCATCAGGAAACAGTGAGGATAGATGCAATAGAGAGTATACAGCTGACAGCCGCTTGGGCACCAGGCCCAGCCCCACAGCCGACTTTTTCGAGTATCGTTCAATGAGGAATGTTAATTTATTCAGAATGCATTTCCCTAATTGTCAGTCAACATTCATTTGACTTGAGTAACGTAGTTTTTTTAGTTATTAGCTTACAACTGTTGAGCCGGGTACTGGACGGTGGGGTACGAGTTTGTCCTGCGTTCAATGGGATGGAAGATAAGCCTGGTGAGAACCAAATGACATAAGCGACCTATACACGGCAATCAAACCGATACACAAGCCAGCTAGTTGCCGTGTTGAGGCCTGTCTGGCTAATGGTAGACACCGCCGGGGATATCCGTCAAGAAAGAAAAAAAAACAGCTTCTAAAGTGGATTGCGATAGTCCTATAGTTATATTATTTGATTACTAAGTTTATTATTCTGGCGAAACTTGTATGTTTTTATATCAATACATATTATTTCATATTTAAGGGTATTTATTTTAAATAACACATTTTTTTTACCTAATCCTAATTAAATATAAAATATTGAAAAAAAGGTGAGTGGCTCTTTAAAAACTGGGAAATAATGAAAATAGTAACTTTTGGCTCTTCAGTCTCAAAAGGTTGCCGACCCCTGGATTACACTCATTTTCATACTTTAGTATTGAATATAAGCCATTGAAAAGCCATTTAGAATTATTCTATCAATTCAAATATTTTTTAAAACTGCCCTCAACCTCTCCTTGAAGTCAACCAGAATGGCTAGGGAGAGTTATACAATGAAAGTCAGAACGATTTTTTTTTCCATGATAAAATACACAATAGTAGTCTATGGTGTATAGCATGGTATTGTATTTATATTAAATAATATCACATCCCCTATCACCACAACACCCTGACTCTACGAATCCAAATTAAAAATAAAAGTCTTTGCTATTACTATTATTTTACTAGTAATTATTTTTTTGAGTATTTCCAGCCTTAATAAAACAGGAAGTCATTTTGCACTAATTACACAAATTATTCAATTTTGGTTGAAAAATATGCTTTCTGGCAACACAAATCTGGTAACATTTGGAACCAGTTTTTCAAGTCTGTTGACTGCCACTCAGACACATTTGTAAATGAACTGAATTACTGGTTAAATTAAAAAACATGAAACTGCTTGACATTTAACATTAACCAACTTGAAATTTAAAAAAAAATATTTTGGCTAATTAATTTTGAACATGAATAAAGAAACATTACCAAAGCCAGTATTTCCAAAAACAAGCCTGTAGTTATAATTGACATACTGCTGGAGCAGGGGACATAACTCTGCCAGATTCAAGGGCTTGAACCACTGAGCTCTGCCAGCAACTATGTGCACAGGTTTTGCTATTCTGTTGTCACAATCTTTAGTGCCACAATGCCCAACACAAGCTTGATTTGTTTTCCTACATAACTTGCCATCTAACTCCTTCAAAAATGAAGTAGAGTCTTTGAAAAATTGAATTAGTATTGTAAAATTATATTTTTTGTTATCAAAATAGAAAATAATTATTCTTTGAGTGTCATTATTAAATTTCGACCAAATTAGAGTAGAGAAATATTTGACCACTGCACTTAATTATTACCTCAATGTCAATAATCCCTCGACTAATTGAACTTGGAGCATCTGATGCAAATGACTTCATGGCATCCAATATTGGACGGTATCCTAAGTCAAAAATATTTTTAAAATTCAATTGTTCCTTACTAAAGATGTCTAATAAAGTAAAAAAGTTAAGCTTGAAATTATCTTGAAACAAAATTCAACATTCTAATCACCTGTACACCTGCAGATGGTGGAATCAAATGCATCCTCTACATCTTTCATAGATGGGGTGGGGTTGGACTGCAGGAGTCTGGTGAAACAGTCAACAAAGAATAATCATTAGTTGTTTTTTTTTTATTCTAACAGGCTAACATTATAAAAAACACAAAATTAAATCTAAACCAATTGTAGCATAATTGTTTTATAACAAATTGCTATGGTTTAATTTCCTAGATTATTTTTAGTCTATCTGAATGAGTTTAAAATAGTAAAAACATTAGGGTTATCTAAATTGTTTTGGATTATTCTAAAATGATGGTATTAAAATCAAATTTTAGGTTGCAGAATAAACTTTTGTAACTTCACATGTAAATGAGCCTTTAAACTTTAAATCTATAACTATACATAATCAACTTATTTTGAAGTAAATGTCAATAAAAAATCTTGCTTACCCATACATATTCATGATCTGACCAGGTGTGCAGTACCCGCACTGAATACCATTCATTGATGCTATTCTCTGCTGGATAGGATGTAAGCCAGCAGAAGTATTTCCCAGCCCCTCTACTGTGGTAATCTCCATTCCATCACATGTGTATAGCTGAAGGCAGCACTAAAAACATACATTGTATTAGTATTGTGTATAGCTGAAGGCAGCACTAAAAGCATACATTGTATTAGTATTGTGTATTGCTGAAGGCAGCACTAAAATCATACAGTGTATTAGTATTGTGTATAGCTGAAGGAAGCACTAAAATCATACAGTGTATTAGTATTGTGTATAGCTGAAGGAAGCACTAAAATCATACAGTGTATTAGTATTGTGTATAGCTAAAGGCAGCACTAAAATCATACATTGTATTAGTATTGTGTAGAGCTGAAGGCAGCACTAAAATCATACATTGTATTAGTATTGTGTATAGCTAAAGGCAGCACTAAAATCATACATTGTATTAGAATTGTGTATAGCTGAAGGCAGCACTAAAAATCATACATTGTATTAGTATAAGCAGTTTAAATCAACAATACAAATCTTTTTAAAAAACTAAATTTTAAAAGGTTGGCTAAATTTAACATATAATCCTTTCAACACATGCAAATTTAAAATAGATAAATACATAATAAGTTACTAAGCATACTGGTATATATATTTAGGCCTAATTAAAAACAAAATTTTAAAAGGCTGGCTAAATTTAACATATATTCCTTTGATACATATGTGAAGGATTATAAATTTTATTTTGTGTGTGATTCTGTGTGTGAATGTTGTAGTGGATGTAGGCTACATACTTCCAGTCAGGGTGGTTATACAAGACTGAGTGGCCAATAGGGACTTCCTTTTTCCCTACTGAGAATGATCGCAAGATATAGACAGTCGAGCTGCACTTGTTTAAGGCACCTGGTGTCTCAGAGGTTACAGTAGTAACTTGACTGGGTGTTTGGTTTGTTTGATGTGTTTTTTTTTGTAGCTGGTTTTGTTTGTGTGTAGTTTTGTATGATTAGACATTAGATTGTAATGAATTGATCTGTTGAATTTTTACATTTAAAGCTTTATAAAGGTTGGTTTCATTATTTATTTTTTTTTGCAATAAATTTATTTTAAGTTGATTATCTTTTTTTTTTCTAGGTTAAGTTTAGGGTTTAACCACCGTGGGTGTAGCCACAGTTGCACAAATACCTGATAGTTGATTATTCTTAGGGTAGATTAAGATAGTTAGGGTTTTACACCCCCCCCACCCACCTCCCACCCCCTCCCAGGGCTTACATGTGCAAATGTAAACTACATAAATACATAATAACTGGCATACCGATATATATAAGGCATAATTAAATATTACTCCAACCCATCTCCACCAAACTAATCTCTGTTTCTCTTATAAACAATGTAGGGACTTAGTTTTTTAATACTATGGAAAGCTTGAGAAAACTTACTGAGTTCAAGCTATAAGATCTTTTGTTGCCTGTCAAAGGGTCAAGCAGTTTGACAGTCACAAGACAAACACCACATCCTCCTTCATAGCAGCAGCCTTTTGTTCCAACAGAGACGCCAGACTGTCTCATAAACTCCAACAGGGAAGTGGCTGGGTCGTATTCATTGGTCACTGAAACAGGAGTGGAAGGATTAAAACAGAGGTCAAAAGAGAAGGGGGGAGGGGAAGGTTTATTAAGAGAAAACGAACATCTAGATTTATCTCAATTTAGTATGGTTGATGACATCGGAACAATCTAAGCCATCCAGTGACGTAACTGATCTGCATTCTGGAATTATTCACAGGAAGAGAGAAAACTCGGAAGACATTGAAAACCATGGATCAATAGAGTTGAAATACCCACAATTGAGTTATTTAGAAAAAAATAGTTGCAGCCCTTTGATCCACAGGATTAAGTACACATTTAAAGTTAAGAAACTAGACTGATTTAACTATTGCCTACATCATTCACAATGCAGAATAGTTTAAACATCTTATGCCAAAACATTTAACAATTGAAGTTAAAAATCTGGGTCTTCAACACACTAGTAAAACTTATTTTACTCTATGGAGCTGAGGCATGGAGAATCACTGCCACATATAAGAAGAAAATACAATCATTTATAAATGCATGCCTCAGAAAGATCCTTCGAATAATGCCTAAAACCATCAGAAATTAGGTACTATGGCAAAGGACAAATCAACTGTCAGCTGTCAGGATACATCTGGGGACAGTTGGAGAGACTAGCCAAGGACAGAGATGCATGGAAAGGTCTTGTCAGCGGCCTATGTTCCAGGAGGGGTGACATGCAAACTTAAACTAACCTATACCAAAAAATATAGGCCAGAGATTATGAGGGGGTGGGGGGAGGGCAGTATTAAATGTTCAAATAGTAATATAAAAACATAAATTAAAGTAACACGCTAAACATATTAACATTATGTTGTTATATTTGAAATAATAGAAGTAGGTTTTGTCAAATGGGGTCATCCATAAATGATGTCACGCTTTTTTTTGACGATTTTTACCTCCCCTCCATCACACGTCGTCACAAAAAGCCAGACCCCCCTTCCTAAAATGACGTCACACCTCAACCTACAACCCCCCTCAAAATTGCAGTTGAATTTTTTTAAAACATCAATATTTTTCCAAAATCTTGTCTAAACTATTACAATTTATTAAAACAGTTATCTACAACGCGAAATAACGTCTAAAATTCGTTTTCTAACATTGCTTTTTTATAATGCAAAAATGTGACGTCGCAACATCTGAACCTCCCCCCCCTCCCTCTCATCACACATCGTCACAAAATTACAGACCCCCCCTCCCCCCTACGAGTGTGACGTCATTTATGGATGACCCCAATAATGTTATGAATCATAATAACCTGAAAATGATTCCCCATTGATGGAGAAAGTTATGGTGCTTTTCACATCAGTCTGAGTCTCTTTTGGTGTTAGCCCACCAGACCCTTTTGTACTGTCATCCATTTTAATGGAAGGCTCTGTGAATAATTACAAAGAAAGACTACATGACTTTTTGTTAAATACTTTAAAATTCTGGCCAGTATTTATTAATGTTTAGATAATAAGTTATGGATACTCACTACAAGTAAAACTTTTAATTAATAGACTGCATTTACTTGATTTTTAAATTGAAATTTTCCTACTAAGTACACTGTCAATGCATATTACAATGAAATAACATGTCTTTGTTGCATTGCATTTGGTCTTATATTAGTATTAGTATTAGTATAGAAGTCTTAATAATTAACTGTGTAACCAACACTAAAGTAAACTTGAAGACAAAGAGTGACACTCACCTCAAAAATGTTTGGCTTAGGATTTTTTCACCCAAGTCAAAATTCGTAGGTCCAAAGACCTAATCCCCTCAAAATTGATGTCTTCTTTGGCTGGTCTTTGACATGTAATGAATAAACAAACTGTATTACTATTAGTATTAGACTCTGTATATTATAGATCTAGAATATCTCTCTCTCTCTATATATATATATATATATATATATATATATATATATATATATATATATATATATATATATATATATATATATATATATATATAGGCCTCTCTCTCTCTCTATATATATATATGCCTATATACATATATATATATATATATATATATATATATATATATATATATATATATATATATATATATATAGGCCTCTCTCTCTATATATATATATATGCCTATATATATATATATATATATAGAGAGAGAGAGAGGCCTATATATATATATATATATATATATATATATATATATATATATATATATATATATATATATATACATATAATACTAAAAGTAAAAGACTAAAAGATTAGTTTAATAGTTAGGCTTACAATAAATATAAATTCTGGAAAATAAATGTACTAGGCCTACGGATGTTTGTTGTTTTATTTCTCTCAGCAGCCCTATTGGCTCTGAATTAGCTAGAAATTTTAACATGATTTATTAGATTGCTCTATTTTATATTCAATTCGCTATCTAAGTTGTACATGAATTTAGCTGATAATAATTGTAACTTCGAATGTAAATTTATCTAGATCTAGGCTAACGGCTAAATATTTATTATGAAGATATTTATCTGGCAAATGAGGGTTGGGGAAAGCGGTGTTCGCGTTGCTTTTTTTTATTATAGCTAATTAAAGCATCGTCAGCTTTGATCAGCAATTCTAGTTGTTACACGATAAGCACATAACTTTGACGTTCTACTTTGCGAGATAACTTAACAATAGCAGTTAATCTAGATCTAAGGATAGGTCTATATAGTGACCTTATAGAACTTAGGCCTCGTATGCTTGAACCCAGATGACCTATGACATTATTCTATGTGAACTGCCGTAATACCGCGACTACTTTTCCGGTGACGTAATAATATTGGGTCAGGGGCCTAATGCACATTTAGATAGATGTACAACTGGACTTAGATTCCCTGTGGCAAATAAATAATGATATCGTAATTAACTAATTTTAAACACACCGGTGTAGCCTAAAATAGACCCTGAATAATTACGTTATTTTTTCCCTTTCGCACAGATAACAGTATCGTATCGAGTTTTTCTATCGGTATCGCTTAAACAAATACAGTACATTCGTTCCGTAACATTGTTCTTTGTCAAATAATTCGAATCTCATAGCAATTTTCTCTAATGAAATTAACTGAAGTGCTATTAATCCGTTCCTTCCCGCAACTTGTCACCCCATTGGTTTTTGCTACAATTTTTTTTTAGTATGAAAGCTTTATTTAGGCATATAGGGCCTATATGATAGTAATAAAACTGGCTGTTTTAGCAAGGGGGGGGGGGGGGGGGTCATCCATAAATGACGTCAAGCTTTTTGACGATTTTTACCTCCCCCTCCCCTCCGTCACAAAAAGCCAGACCCACCCCCCCTAAAACGACGTTACACCTCAGTCTACAACCCCCACCCTCAAAATTGCAGTTGAATTTTACTTAAAATTCGATATTTTTCCAAAATCTTGTCTAAACCCCGTCAACATAGAGTATTTTCATCAATTCCTGTTACATTTTATTAAAACTGTTTTCTAAAACGCGAAATAATGGCTAAAATTGGTTTTCTAACATTGCTTTTTTATAATGCAAAAGTGTGACGTCACACCATCTGAACTCCCTCTCCCTCATCACACACCGTCACAAAATTACGGATTCCCCTCCCCCATTACGAGTGTGACGTCATTTATGGACGACCCCTAAATAGTATCCTTACAAATTAAAGACAAGTAGCCTATATGTACGATGGACGTTTCGACCCAAGGTCTTCGTCAGCACACAACAGTTTGGTTAAAGACTAAACAAACAAGACAGTGACAAAATCTAGCACTTGGCTTGACAGTGGAAACCAGTGTTTCTTCCAAACTTTTTTCTCCTGGGGGGGGGGGGGGGGCACTTGAAATTTTCGAGGGGGGGGCGGTAAACATTTTTGGAGGGGCGGACACTGTTAAAAGTATATATTTTCTATATAAATTATATAAATTTCATTTTGTTCGGGGGGCGGTAGCAATTTTTCCCCCAAAGAGATGCCTGGAAGAAACTCTGGTGGAAACACATCTTGTCTAAGGGCCTTATGAAAAATGTGTGATAAAGGAGGCTTGGACACGTATACGGGCTGGGGGCGTGGTATAGTGTTAGATCTTGGTTAGAAAATTATCATATAACTATTTAAATTATCTTAATAGCTTAATTTTTTAATAAGATAATAGTATAATAGACCACCCATTGTATCAGTCTATAAAAGCAGTGAAAATAATATATACCATTCCCCTTTGAGCAAAAAATAAATTTATAATTTTAAAAAATTGAAATCTTTTGTTTTTGTTATTGACAACATTCCCTAAAAAGCTATCTATATAGTTCATGCTTGCTTTTACTGCAGATAATAAACATAGAAAAATATAATTATTTGAACCTCAATGAGTATTAATAGTGTATAGATGATCCAATTTCCCAACTGACTCCATCTCCAAATGCAACCTATTAGCTGAATGCAAGACTCAATACATTCAATACAGCACAAAGATAAGTACAAGTCTGAAAACACATACCACATCTCATCAACCCAACACATCTTTTATATTTCATAGATATTTATTTATATATTTTCAAGAAATGTACAGTCCCAGAATTCCTGGTTATTAAGGGGTTAATTTTTGTTAAAATTTGTTGACAGCAACCATGGGAGTACAGGCTAAAATAAAATATATTCTAATATACACTTCACACTGTTAAATGATATCTAACACACTCCTAGTTGGCTATTATCAAGCTTGCATTGATAAAAGCATGAGTTCTTTTTCTACCATAAAATAGTTGAAATTTTTTTTTTCATTAAAAAAGTATTTTTCTAAATGACTGACAATTTTAATTCAATAAAAAATCTTAAGCTGTTATTAAAGCTAATCAAATATGTAATTTAGTATTGATAGAAACAGCAGTTTATTTTTTATTACTTATTACATTTTAAATATTTAAAATTCAAATTATTTTTACTATTATTTCCCTTTGTCAAAATGACAAAAATTGTTTTAATTTTTTAATGCAATAAAATTTCATATCTGAATAGAAAAGAGTTGAATAGTTAGCAACATTAATGCTGAATAGTGAATTGCTGCTCAACTTAATGAGGGCATGTAGGATATGCATTCAATAACAAAATAAGTTGTTTAAAAAAATGAATTATACCTTGACATGGGGCATGTGCTCAGGTGAGAAAGTCAACAGGAAAACAGAATTTGTAGAGCTAAATAAAGATTACGGAGACAGATACCAATATAAGCTGGCACAGATTTATATTTACACACGTAACTCTTTGGTATAAATTAAAATTTAGCAGTTGTCTCAGTTAAATAATATTACACTTTTTCTCATCATGTAACAAATAATAAAACATTTGTTCAATTGTTGTGGTGAAGGAGGGATTACATTGGGAAGAAATATTAAGAGTAATAAGAGAGATGTTTCTATGGGTGTGGTCAGTACTACTAAGCAGAAAGTGTTGAAATTACCAAAATTAATTTTACTACTTTTCTAGAAATACATTTTATTTTTTTTTAACTATAAAAATTACCTCTTAATTTAATGTATTCATTTTATTTTAAAAGAAAAATATAATAAAGGTTTATATGGCTTCTATTCCACAGTACTGTTTATACCAACAGTGTTATCTTTCCCTGAATTTTCTGGCAAACAGTCTCAACCACATTTCATATACCTGTATCTTAACAGATAATCATTCCTTAAGAAGTTAAATAGGAAAAAAAAAATTACCATTAAAACAATTTGCAGATTCAGCAAAGTAGTAGTATAAATAATGTATGTACATAAATAATGGTCAAATGGACATACCCTATAGTTACATATAAACCCCAAGCGCTGACCATCAATCTTTTGTTGTAATTACAAATGTACATTTAAAATATATTTTTTTTACAATTAAAAACAGTTGATTAAAGTGTTTACAATCCAATTATCACAAATAATCTTGTAAGAACTTTAAAACAGTTGTCTTGTAGTGTTCACTGGCTTCATGGTTACGGATGCCATGTCTTTCATTAGGGTATATCTGGTCAATAAATGTTCAAGGTGTAAAAGATTAAATACATTTCTTTGGTATCTTGGTTATAGACTATGGCTTAAAAATATTTAAATTTCTACAATAATCAACATTGGTTAATGCATGCATGTATGCAGAAATGACATAAGGTGGGATAAGGCCAGCACTGAGTGACACAAGTTAGAGGTGATACCAATTTTTTTTTTAATTAGTGTTTTAACCAGTTAAATAATATAATAGAAAGGGGTGAGGGGCCAAATCAAACCAAAAATGCTGAATTGTTGGAGGGTGTGGGGTGACACCTGACAGTAAAGCCAGGGTTAAGTATATTATTACTGTGCGCAACTCAGTTTTTTTTTTTAAATACCTGGAGCTGGTGAGGTTTACATGATGTGACCAGATAGTTGATCAAAATACTTGAGTGTCGGAAGTGGACATTCTCATCAATCAGCCCATGGATCAGCAGCAGTCTAGTTTCACTGGATATACAAGAAAGACACATTATATAAAGCAATAAAGACATCAGCCCATGGATCAGTAGCAGTCTAGTTTCACTGGATATATAAGACAGACACATTATATTAAGCAATGATAATATCAGCCTATGGATCAGCAGCAGTCTAGTTTCACTGGATATACAAGAAAGACATTTTACATAAAGCAATGATAATATCAGCCTATGGATCAGCAGCAGTCTAGTTTCACTGGATATAAAAGACAGACACATTACATAAAGCAATGATAGTATCAGCCCATGGATCAGTAGCAGTCTAGTTTCACTGGATATACAAGACAGACACATTACATAAAGCAATATAGACATCAGCCCATGGATCAGCAGCAGTCTAGTTTCACTGGATATACAAGAAAGACATTTTACATAAAGCAATGATAATATCAGCCTATGGATCAGCAGCAGTCTAGTTTCACTGGATATAAAAGACAGACACATTACATAAAGCAATGATAATATCAGCCCATGGATCAGTAGCAGTCTAGTTTCACTGGATATACAAGACAGACACATTACATAAAGCAATATAGACATCAGCCCATGGATCAGCAGCAGTCTAGTTTCACTGGATATACAAGACAGACACATTATATAAAGCAATGATAATATCAGCCCATGGATCAGTAGCAGTCTAGTTTCACTGGATATACAAGACAGACACATTACATAAAGCAATGATAATATCAGCCCATGGATCAGCAGCAGTCTAGTTTCACTGGATATACAAGACAGACATTTTACATAAAGCAATGATAATATCAGCCCATGGATCAGCAGCAGTCTAGTTTCACTGGATATACAAGAAAGACATTATATAAATCAATAAAGACATCAGCCCATGGATCAGCAGCAGTCTAGTTTCACTGGATATAAAAGACAGACATATTATATAAAGCAATGATAATATCAGCCCATGGATCAGCAGCAGTCTAGTTTCACTGGATATAAAAGACAGACACATTATATAAAGCAATGATAATATCAGCCCATGGATCAGTAGCAGTCTAGTTTCACTGGATATACAAGACAGACACATTACATAAAGCAATGATAATATCAGCCCATGGATCAGCAGCAGTCTAGTTTCACTGGATATACAAGACAGACATTTTACATAAAGCAATGATAATATCAGCCTATGGATCAGCAGCAGTCTAGTTTCACTGGATATACAAGAAAGACATTATATAAAGCAATAAAGACATCAGCCCATGGATCAGCAGCAGTCTAGTTTCACTGGATATAAAAGACAGACATATTATATAAAGCAATGATAATATCAGCCCATGGATCAGCAGCAGTCTAGTTTCACTGGATATAAAAGACAGACATATTATATAAAGCAATGATAATATCAGCCCATGGATCAGTAGCAGTCTAGTTTCACTGGATATACAAGACAGACACATTACATAAAGCAATGATAATATCAGCCCATGGATCAGCAGCAGTCTAGTTTCACTGGATATACAAGACAGACATTTTACATAAAGCAATGATAATATCAGCCCATGGATCAGCAGCAGTCTAGTTTCACTGGATATACAAGAAAGACATTATATAAAGCAATAAAGACATCAGCCCATGGATCAGCAGCAGTCTAGTTTCACTGGATATAAAAGACAGACATATTATATAAAGCAATGATAATATCAGCCCATGGATCAGCAGCAGTCTAGTTTCACTGGATATACAAGACAGACATTTTACATAAAGCAATGATAATATCAGCCTATGGATCAGCAGCAGTCTAGTTTCACTGGATATACAAGAAAGACATTATATAAAGCAATGATAATATCAGCCCATGGATCAGCAGCAGTCTAGTTTCACTGGATATAAAAGACAGACATATTATATAAAGCAATGACAAATGTACAAGTTGCCCTTTAACTTGAGTGTGTTAACATGGCAGATACAAGTGGGATGTATGTTTCTAATGCTATGACATTTAAAAAAATTTCAGCTTGCATTATTTAAATCAGTCACACATTAGCATTTGAGGGCTCAAAATGATGTACTTTCTCAAGCAGAAAGACAAGCTCAAAATATTCAAGGTTATTAATTATCCATGCAACTGTTTCACCCTACCAAATAACTAATGAACGAGTAGAGAGAATAAGTGAATATGCAACATGATTGGGATATTATGATAGAAAAAATAGAGCCAAGCTTTCATCCACTTACTAATCAGGAAGTTTATCCATGTAGGTTAACACATTCCCGGCCTTGTAAACATCAGGGTTTCTCTGTGGAAGGCCAATGTAGCGCTCAGTATATCCTGTGTCATACAGTTCCCAGTTTACAACTGGAGCTCCTGCTATTGCAACCTGAGAATAAGTAGACACAATTATAATAACACACTGAAATGTCCATACAATTACAATCAGAGATGTCTACACAACTATTACATAAGATGTCCACACAATTAAAATAACCAAAAGGAGATGTCCACACAACTATAAGAACATACAGAAATGTCCACAGAATTACATAACACACCGAGATGTCAACAGAATTATAGCAACATAAGGAAATGTACAGTGACAAGAATTATGATAGTGTGTATACTTATTCATGAATCTACTTCTGATTAATTTTTTTTTCAAATTTTAGTGTATGGGATTAAAAATGTATAAAGAGATTTTGATAATTTCCACCATGATGCATAATGACATTGTTGGCACATAAAATGACTAACTGTACTTTTCAGATTTTTAACTCTGAAAACCCTAAAATAGAGAGGCGGTGTCTGAATACGATTAAATATATAAGTAAATAGTACACTAATAATAGCTAAGAAAAAAATTACCTTAAAAATATCACTTCTTTGTGTCAATCCCATCAATGAAAGATAACCACCTAAAAAGGGAATTAATATTTTTTACTGTTTCACATGGCTTTATAAACTAATAAGAATATTTCATTGAATGTTATTCAGCTTTAAGACATTCCATGCTGGGTCTAGTATAAAACTTCATTACCTACAAAATAAACTGTTGGAGCAGGGACATAATACATAGCAGTGTGTATGTCCAACATTAAGCAACAAAGTGACTCACCATATGACCAGCCATGAATGGCCACTCTGGACATGTCAATGAAATCTGTTTGTGATGCTAGCCAGAGCAAACCTTCCACTTGGTCATTTATCTCCACTGTACCCTATACATGGGAGACAACTCATGTCAATGAATATATTCACTAAATATGGGAAACTAATCATTTTGCTGAATATGTTTAGAAGTCACCAATGATGGTGAACATCTCATATTTATTTTATACATCCTCCAAGGGAAAGTTTTATGTGAATAGGTTCATTTAGAACCTAACTAGTTGAATCACTAGCAATAATTGATGTATATAAACTTATTTTCTTTTATGTTTCCCTTTCAAGCCAGACGGTCTATAGGGCAAGTGAAGTAGGGTTCACTTGTTTCTGTGACCTCGGCATATGAAGAGATAGTGTGGTCTGCACTATGCCCAGCCAGCTTTACTTTCCCTAACGTGAGTTAGCTACCCATCAGAGTTGGGTGGACTCAGGGACGTTCTACTGACTTGAACCCAGATTCGAACTCGAGAATTTTCTTTTATGCCACTTTTAAAAACAGTTGTAAAATGTTGATTTTGAATAAATAAATTTTTATAGTTATAGTAAAACATAGCCTACATGGTCAGATTTACAAAATCACCATATGTGGTAATGAATTTTTATTTTAATCAAGTTCATTAAAAATAAATTTCACAGAAGAATGTATTAATTACTTTAAATAGTTTTCAAAAACTGTCAAAAAGACCACGAATAATATTGAGGAAGTGATGAGCTAATAAAAATGAATATAATTTACCAATTTATGTTTTAAAATTCCCTCAAACTGCAGACCTCTGTTGTTAGAGCCCCTACCATCAATGACAACAACAACATAGCCTTCAGCAGCTAACGTGTGAAGTCTCAGGAACCTGGTGAAATTTGGTTTTTATAAAGTTTTTATAATGGTTAACATTAATGACAACAACATAGGCTTTGGCAGCTAACGTGTGAAGTCTCAGGAACCTGAAGAAAATTGTTTTTTTTTATAAAGTTTATATAATGGTTAACATCAATGACAACAACAACATAGCCTTCAGCAGCTAACGTGTGAAGTCTCAGGAACCTGGTGAAATTTGGTTTTTATAAAGTTTATATAATGGTTAACATCAATGACAACAACATAGGCTTTGGCAGCTAACGTGTGAAGTCTCAGGAACCTGAAGAAAATTGTTTTTTTTTATAAAGTTTATATAATGATTAACATCAATGACAACAACAACATAGCCTTCAGCAGCTAACGTGTGAAGTCTCAGGAACCTGGTGAAATTTGGTTTTTATAAAGTTTATATTTAAATGGTTAACATTAATGACACAACAACATAGCCTTCAGCAGCTAACGTCTGAAGTCTCAGGAACCTGGTGAAAATTGTTTTTTTTATAAAGTTTATATAATGGTTAACATCAATGACAACAACAACATAGCCTTCAGCAGCAAATGGAACCTGGTGAAATTTAGTGTTTATAAACAGTTAACATAAAGGTTAACATGTTACATGTACAGTATCAAAACTAACTTTTAAGATCAACCTCTGAATCAAGAATTTGTCCTCCATAAAATTATATGCATTATTTCTAAGCATCTAAAAAGACAAAGATGCATGGAACAGAGTGGTAAGGGAGTAGAGCCCATGACTGATCTAGTCTTAAGTTTAGATCTGGACTTAAGTCCATAGTACATTCTCGTCCAGCCAGCTCTGATGAGTACCTGACTCAGGTTAGGGACAATACAGGTAGCTCTGATGGGTACTTGACTCAGGTTAAGGACAATACAGGTAGCTCTGATGGGTACCTGACTCAGGTTAAGGACAATACAGGTAGCTCTGATGGGTACCTGACTCAGGTTAAGGACAATACAGGTAGCTCTGATGGGTACCTGACTCAGGTTAAGGACAATACAGGTAGCTCTGATGGGTACCTGACTCAGGTTAAGGACAATACAGGTAGCTCTGATGGGTACCTGACTCAGGTTAAGGACAATACAGGTAGCTCTGATGGGTACCTGACTCAGGTTAAGGACAATACAGGTAGCTCTGATGGGTACCTGACTCAGGTTAAGGACAATACAGGCAGCTGAGCATAGTGGTGATCACTCAATCCCTTCATACGCCAAATTAAAAAAACTGGTAAACTATATCTGGTCCAAAAGGGTAACTTAATGAGGCTTTATTTACATAAAGGATGTAGTTCTAATATTATTTTATATTACAGAAATAATTCTGGCAAAGAGAATATTACTTTAGGTTGTATAACAACATTTGGCCTACAAGTTATAATTGAGAATTAAAGTATATCATTAGCCTGAATAATAAAATATTTCTGACCAAAAGATAATATGCAGCCGTATATTTTGGCTTCAATAACAAACTTACTTTTGGCCTTTAAAGGAATTATTAACCATCTGAACTTGTGGTCCACCGTACACAAAGAGAACTGTGGGATATCTTTTCCCTTGTTCCCACCCCCGTGGTAGGAAGTAAAGTCCATATGCTACGTGTCCTGCCCGGCTTACGTAGTTAAATAATGTTGGTGGGGTGTACCCAAATGTATCTGATAAAAAAAATTACATACATTTAATTTCAATTAAAAATTAAACTACAAGTCAATTATTTAAGCAAACACTGTAAGTAATTACTATTTAGAAGGTACCTTATTTATTTTTAACATTTATTCTCAAAATCCAAATTTTAGGAAGTTTACCAAAATTTATTTTCAACATCCAAATTTTAGGATGTTTACCAAAAATTATTTTCAACATCCAATTTTTAGAAAGTTTACCAAAAATTATTCTCAACATCCAAATTTTAGGAAGTTTACCAAATATGATTCTCAACATCCAAACTTTAGAAAGTTTACCAAAAATTATTCTCAACATCCAAATTTTAAGAAGTTTACCAACAATTATTCACATACCAATTTTTGGACAGAGTAGTCCCATCTGTAGGGACCTGACAGTTGAAGACTTGTGAATTATTTTAAATATACTGCTCTGAGGTGGTGACTGAAGGGAGCTAAATACTGTGACAAACATTGAGAAATGCTGAAATAGAGTTGTGTTTTAGTTGTTACTAGTAAGTAGATGCTTCACATAAAGCTTTAACTTAGTATACAACTTTTACTCAACAAACAACTGCTACTTAAAATGCAACATTTTACTAAATATAAGACTTCTTCTTACCATAAACCTTGCATTTAGCATTAGTGAATTAGACAACTATTAACTTAGTAAAAATCTAAATTTTAAAAATGTCTTCATAAACTGATGTGCATAAATTTATGTTTAAGGAAACATAAATTGTCAATAAATTTCCTTTACCCATCCCATATAGAAGAAGTAATTTACTGCACAACAAATGTAAGCATCTTTCAGCCCTTGAATGATATGACCCTCAATTATTTGACTGTAAAGTTCCAAATAAACAATCCATTGGGCAGGAAGTAGAATTCATTTTTCTTGATCTTGGTAGATAAAGGTATGCTTAGTCTGATTTACTTTCCCGAACATGAGTCAGGTAGCCATTAGACCACGATGTGCCATAATTATTTACAGTAAACCTACTAATATTGAGCAGCATACCTGATCTATCTGGACAGAATGTGAATACCCTGGCTGGGTCAGCTGCACCACAGAAGATGGTTGGTCATACCTTGTTACATATCTGTAATTAAAACATTTCTTTTAGGCTAGTTATTTACTCTTTTCCAACATGGCAGTCCATTGAGCATTTGAAGTAGAGTTAGTGATTCTGTGACCTTGACATATAATAGGATATAGTGATCAGTTCTCTAACCCAGCAACCTTTCCCTAAGTCAGGTACCCATCAGAGTTGGGTGGACTCTACAGACTAGAGTCTAGGATCCATCCTAGAGACAATCAGGCTACCAGTTGTGTACACTACAGCCCAACCACACAGTCCCATAATTTTGTTTATATATCAACTGTTAAAAAAATTATTTCTTTCACCAAACTGTTAAAAAAAATTTTTTTCATACAAATACTAATAGTTAAAAACCATTTATTATTTTATTAGCAGTTACATTTTCTGTAAAAAAATAAAGAAATTTAGTGGTTGAATGTTATTTTGCATCAAATAAAATCAAATTCAAACCATACATTAACTTTTTATACATACAAGTGTGATTCCAAAGGTGAATCCTTTAGGCCAAGAAAGTAGACCATTTTTCTTGCTTCATCCACCCACAACTGATGAGTATCAAAGTAAAAAAATATCAGAAATATGTTACCATTAATACACAATTTTTGGCATTTTTATTTAAATTTTGTTAATTTTAACTTGGCATTAATGATTTTGAAGGGTCAGGTTAAAACTTAGAATTTACTTAAAATTACCAGCATTTTTTAAACTTTAGAGCAACAAATTCTAAAGTTTTTGACGTCCTTTTACCCCCCCCCCCCCCCCCCCCCACTCTATTGAAATAAAATGTTACCATTAATTAAATTAATTTTATTTTCATTATTTACGTTGATTTTTTAAAAATACAGTATCAAGAACTACTATATTCTTATTTTGACCTCAAAAGTTGAAGAGTGTACCCTACCTCTTTTGGTAGAACAACCCAATCCCCTGAAGTGATGGCAAACTCCTTGAGTATTTTACAGCAGGCATAGTTTTCTGAGTCATAGATGAAAAAAAAATAATTGAGGAAACATTTTTCAGGCCAACTGTGAGAAGTTTTAATCTGTTCCTATTTTTTCTCTACTAATGTAACTCAAGTTTAACAACAAAGCAAATAAATGTTTACTAAAAAATGATTCATAACCGCATAACACACTACAGCTGGTTAACAAAACTTTCATTAAACAAACACACACCTGTAGCATCCCCTTGACCTATCTGATGACCTGCGACCCCAGTGTTGAGTTGTGAGGTGTACAAATACAAGTGCCTATAGCCAGATTTTTCAGAGGCGTATATGAAGGTAATTTTATTTTCTGAGGTTTGAGGGAAGAAATAAAGCAAATCATGGACCTAAAAGAAAAAAAACATGGAAGATTAATACAATTCCATCAACATAAGCTATTTAGGTAAATATCTAGCAAATATTGTGAATTCAAATAAAACTTGTATAAGTAAATATTTGTACAAATATTTTAGATCCTAATAAACAATAATAATATTAGTTTGCCTAAATCTTTTATTCAATTTGTTATCCTACGTGTATTTAGAAATATTCAGCTATTTTTAAAACTTGGTTTTGTAAATCTAGTGTGACCATGAATCTTTCATTTTGAAGGACCAACAGATCAGCTAACTCTATAGGGTAATGAGATACAAATCTCTTTTAAAATGCAAGGCCAACCCATTCTCAATGATAATGTAACCAACCCATTTTATAATGTAGTCACACCAACACATTCTGTAACAGTGAGACCAACCTATGTGTATAGGAATCTCCAGCTATACTTACATTAATCCATATATCAGAGCTCTCCTCATATATACACTGTACATACTGAGAGATATTTTTTGTTGATGTCTCATAGAATATAGAGGGTGAGATCAACAGCACTGCTTGCCTCGTCTGTGTTCTATCTATGACCACAGCATAAATACTGAAACAAAACAGGAAAACTCAACATTTTTAAACTGCACTGAACTGTGTTACAACTTGTGTTATGTAGAAACTATTAAATAACACTTAATGACCACAGCAATATTGAAACACAACAGGAAATCTGCTAACAAATTTTAAACTGTACTTGAGCTATACTAACATTTCTATAAAATCATAAAGAAAATATTCACAGAAGAGTTTAAGTTTTAAATGAACCAACAAGGGCTATGAAGTTTTAAACTTTCTAGAGCTGTTACATTTCATATTACAATATTACGTAGACAATAGCAATGAAATAAAAAAGGTGTAACAAAACATGCAACTTTAAGAGTGCATTAAAATTTGCAACTGATAAGGCTACATAGAAACTGTTTATTTACTTTTAATGTGACAAACTAATAGAAAACATTTATTTACTATTTGCCGTCTCTTGTCCAGCCTGCCCTCGAGAGATATTCTGCCCAGGGACAAATGTGAAACAGTGGCTCTTTCATGGACAAATTTTTCACCTGTATGTCAGTTATTTGAGTGGTCTGAAATAAAATAAAACAAACACAGAATAATATTATTCCTGTTATCTCCCCTTTTGTTACTGAATATAGTAGTAAATCCAAAGTATTGAAAATCCAATGATTATCAGAAATGAATATGTTAAGTGTGAAAGTAGTTGCTGCATTAGAAATGGGTCAAATTTGGGTTATAAGATTTGACTACAAATTCACCTCAAACATATAGCAAAAAATAAAAATCTTGTAAAAAACATATAATTAATTTCTCTTTGTGAAAAAGTAATGTAGAAAAAAGTCAATCAACTTACTGGACCAGAGTAGGTTATAACAATTTCTAGCAGCTTTAAATTACTGTAAGCGTTGTTGGCACCTGCTTTAGGGTATCTGGGACAAAATTTAAAATGTTAAAAATTTAACTTGATAAAAGCGGTTGGTGTCCTATTATTCTAGAAAATAACCTTTTTTTTTGACAATGTATTTTCATTATTCCTCAGGATTTAACAGAGAAAAAGCAGTAGACCTAGATGTGAAGGCATGATAATAATCTCTAAGGACAACACATTGTATAAGGCAAAGGTATACTAGATGTATTTTACCTAACCTAAGCAGCTTAGATAAAACTGGTTGTGTTAAGATTACATTTCATTTTAGTTTAGATTGTATACACTGATACAGTGACACTAATTAGGATTATAAGTTATTTAAAAAATGTTTTAAGTTCATTTTTTTAAAAGAACTTGAACCTAACAATGACCAAGTAAAAAACTCAGCACATGTAACCAAGACAAGTTTGAGTATACAAACCTGTAGAGTTCGCTGCAATTTGGCTCCTGGCCAGTTGGGGAGAAGATGGACAAAATTTCCACATCAGATTCGTCCACTTCTTCATAAACTATGTGATACATCCTTTTCCCTTCTGAAACATTTAAGTATGTTAAACATTACTGCATTGGTAAACAACAAAATCTTGTTTGTTAACAATGGTTGCAAAGTTATATGTCTTCCTAAACAACAGTTTAATCAAATCCCTAAATAGCATTTTAATAGAGACAGAAAACATCTACAGTTGTTTTGTCTAGAGGTTTTGAAACCTCTAAGATACTAATTTCCAAAAAAAAATCCAGCACAACTTTTAATTTATCTTATTTTTTTATGACCAATTTCCAAGTTTGTTGCAAATAATTAATTTTAAAACAGCAAGCACATCTTGTAAATTACTGGGAAGAGATGGGAAAAAATAGCAAAGGAAAAAAAGCATGGAAGTGTTTTAAATGGCTTATGCCCCTCGGGAGCTGAACAAGGTGAAGAAGAAGAAGAAACACATCTAGAACTAAATGAATACTCAATTAAACATTTTTAAAAGTAGGCAAATATTTCACAGATTAAAAAAAAAATTTGAGGAAAGATTTTAAAAACTTTCATGTAAACTGAATACTAAAGGGTGAATGGGCAAACATGAGTACCTGCAATACGATGAAATACTGGGGACCACCAGTAGCCTGTGTACCTGTCAAACTCTTCCTGTATCACAAAGCTGGGCACACCTGAGCTGATGGGGTCATCTTCTAATCTCAGTTCACCTGTACATAGCAAACAATAGGTCAGACAAAATGTATGATCCCAACACAAAACTTAAACTTTTTATGTGAAGATTGGAGCAGAAGATAAAATAAAACTAATGTTTCAAGTGTCTCTACAGCACATGGAAGGCTTTGGCCTGCTTCAGCACCTTTTTCCATCCAGACTTGTCTGCTGTCTTCTTCTTTCTTTGTCAAATCTCCAAGCAGCTGTCCAAACTTTAAAGCACCAAATTAATCTTTTGAAAATAGTGAAACCAACCTTTTCGAGAATATGTTAATCGAACTTCTTTCCCAGAACAAAGGCCCGTGAGCCAAATGTCGTAATCGTTGATGAAGGCTACCATATCGTTGTTACAGGGACAGATCTTTGGATCAAGTCGTGCCCCATGTGTTTTGGTTGGGATCTCAACAGGAGCTTCTCGCGGACCAACCTGAGGTATACAAAACATGCACTTTAATTTACAAATCTTGAAATAGTGGAAAATAAGTTTGTAAATTACTTTATGTGCTCAATTGTTTATATATATATATATATATATATATATATATATATATATATATATATATATATATATATATATATATATATATATATATATATATATATATATATATATATATATATATATATATATATATATATATATGTGTGTGTGTGTGTGTATATATATATAAAGAAACTTTGAATAAAATAGTTATCTGACACTAAAAGTTATTATAATTTGTAACAGCTATCACGGATTGTTCACAGGCTCCAAGTTGTAGAAATATTCGGCTTTTTAAAACTTACCACATCCCGACACAAAAATAAACTATTATTGGCAGGAATGACAAAAAGTCCATCATCAGGGTCCAACTCATATGACGTAATCCCGTACGTCCCCAGCCGTTTACGCTCCCTCATGAGCTGTTCCTCCCTAGACATGGGCACGGCATTTGTGCCAGGCTGGCTGTCAAAGACAGGGGACATCCAGTACGTGTTGTTGGAGTTTTTCTCAATCTCTGATTCCTGTTCTACATTATCTGTGCACGAAGAAATTTGTAGAACATTTTAACATTACTGGAGATGGAGACTAACAAGTGATTGTTGAATGAAATGAATGCATAGACCATATCGTAAGTAAAAGCAGTTTTTAATGTAATTATTTAATCCTGAAGAAAAAGTAGCTTAGTCAATAATTACATCAATGATCATATTACAAATAAAAAAATAAATCAATAAAAGCCATCTACTTATCAATGCCTATATAGGAAATTATACAATGACCCCTCTAGAAATGTCTTCACACCATTTAAATATGAATGACCTGCAACAGAAATGACCATTCACCATTTGATTATCGATGACCCCTATATAAATGCCCTGTATACTCACCAATATCCACCATGAGAAGTGTGCTATCCTTCCCTTTTTCATGCACACCAAGGAAATAAAGACGTGTGAAGCTGACAGGTAGCTCTTCACCATCATCAAGCTCTGGAAATGAATGCCTGAATCCAAAGTTACTTGGTATGGATGGTGTGATTCTCGTTATCAATTTTCTGAAAGGCAATGCAAGCCAAGTTATAACTTATGCTGACAAAATTGCTGCTGTGATATGATGAATGGTCAAGCAGCAGTGTGCTGTTTTAAGGTTTCAGGTTCAAAACTCCAAAAGCTGAGCCAAAGTCCACTAAACTTTGATGTATTACACATCACTATAAAGTTCAGAAAAAAAAAAAAGAAAAAGTACCAAGGGAATGTGCTGCCCACTGGATAGATCATTATTAGAACTGAGTGGACATAAGAATAAATCTAGGAGCCTCATCACATGCCCAATTTTTTTCAAAAAGCCACACTACTGCTTGGTCAGGCCATACTGTATAAGTATAAGTTAATCATAATATCACAAACCTTGTCTCTCTGGTTGTGTTGCGTAGCTCAAGCCATGATTTTTTATGTCCTAGCTGTGGTTTGGGTGGTGAGGCAGTTGGAAGATCATATGTATCAAAGTCTTCTGACGCCATAACACTTTATTCACCTAAAAAAAATAAGAATAAATTGCTACAGGTAACAACAACGGGTGACAATGTATATCCATTTTCAGTACTTATGAAAATATGTGGCCGATGATTGAGGTTGTTTCTTTACTAGTGTCGTTTCCCTAACCACAACCTTCACACAAAAAAAATGTCTTTTTTAATTTTAACAGAGGAGAGTTTAAAAGAGAACTAAAATATGAAACTTTTTTCTATTTTTATTCACATTACTAAATAAAGACAATTTTATATAGGGGCCTACTGTAAGTTAATAATACAGTATATTCATTAATTAGTTTTCAAAGGCTAGTCACAACGTGCAGCCAGAGAATCTAAAATATTCTAAAATGTGTCTTTCGTTACTTTATAAAATAGGAACATTAAATTTTAATGAGTAAATTACTTGTTTTAAGCAAGTCTACTTAGAGACTTAGAACTTCAGTCAGTGAGCCTAAAATGGCATCATATTCATAAAGACATATAAAATAATAAAACAATGTAAAGAAACAACCCAACTTAATCATAATGCCTGGCTTTTATACTATTTTATAGTTTTATGCCTTTTTGGTGGCCTTTGAGTTTATGCACAGGTGACAGTAGACCTATAAGTAATTAGACAAGTATTTTATATAACTTAAGTATTAGTATGGAGAGGATAGTGTTGAAATGAAAGTTGAGAGTTAAGAGTCCAAGAGATTGAGAAAAATAATTTGATTTTCATTTTTTTATTTTAAACTTCTAGGCTTAAAAAAAATGTTTTAGTATCAGCCAGGCCTAGACTTAAACTAAAGTTATCAAACATTCTGGGGGCGTATGGACTTAAATGCAGTATATTACCTTTAAAAATAATTAGAATTGGTATTGTTTTATTAAATCATAAATAGAAATTGATTCTAGAATCTGGTTTTGCTTTTACAATAGTGAGGTATTTGATGTAGTTTACTAGATTACACAGTACACAGATATCAAGAATTGCCAGATCAAAATATTGAAAATATGCCTGCCTAAAATTACAACGTTGCCATAAAATATTTTAATATTTTAAATATTTCACATTTTAAAATTGCCCTATAAGTTTTTAGACACCAATTTTAGAGGCATAGCTAGGGAGGGGGGGGGGGGGTAGGGTGGTTGCTTAGGGCACCGACCCTTGCGGGGCGCCAAACGGCGTAAGAAAAGAAAACTAAAACGCTGGATAACTGAATTATACAAAGTTGACGTTAAGAAAATATAAAACCATTTGACTTTACAGACTTTATTTAACTGCGTCAATTATGTAGTACCGAAATAAAAACTGTTAAATGACTAATAAAAGGGCCATCGACTTTCCTAAATTGGAGTGAGGCGCTCTTTCCCCAATGTAAATATATCTAAAGAGCGGTGGGGCCGAGTTGAGCGACATTGATAGTTCGCCCCGGTCGCCGGAATGGTTCGCTAAGCCACGGACCAGTACAACAACTTAGTGTAAACAACTATCAGGTTGAATGTAGAATATAATTTTTAAAATAGATTGTATTGCTTGATATTGCCTTCACCTCTTATGCTGAACATATGGAAAATTTAATCTCCGTGACAGTTTCATTGACATCGATATGTTTTCACTTAGGTTAAGTCCGTGTCAACGAAACATTTTTATATCTGTTCTTTAATTGTACGAATACAAAAACTGCTAAACTACGTATGCTTTTTTAATTTAACCATTTTACTATAGTTTTCGGTAAATTGCTTTACATACCTTGGGTTGGGGTTTGACTTTCTGGATGTATTACTTGCTAGAAAGGGGATAATTAAAATGTGACGTAGCTTTGGAACTATTTTTTTAAACATTCAAATTCTCAACATTTAAAATGAATATTATTATAACAAGAATTTTCTAAAAGTTTTAGTTGCTTTTAATGTAAGTAGGACTTTTTGTTTTGGAATAATAAGGGGTGGGTGTACCCAGAGGCGTAGCGAGGGGGGGGAGGCGCCGACCTTAGGGGGCGCTAACATGGGTTGGAAAAACAAAATGAAAGTTTGAAAGGGGGTGGAAATCGAAAGTTTAAGGGGGATGCAAATCGAAAGTCTGAGGGGGGGGGGGGTGCAAATCGAAAGTTTGAGGGGGGGATGCAAATCGAAAGTCTGAAGGAGTGGAGTGCAAATCAAAAGTTTGTCCCCGGGCGCCGGGAAGGGTCGCTACGCCTCTGGGTGTACCCCATTAAAATGTGTTAATAACCACGTGATGTTCGCGTCGTGCAGAATAGTGCATATAGACCTAGATCTACTAAAATACACTACGACCACTATAGACCGAACTTCTTCTTTCAGGGATTCAGATAGATAGTCTACATATATTTTTTTGTGCAAGAAGCAAAAAAAAAATGCCATGTGAAACATTATATATGCCTAAAGCAGGGGCGGAACTACAGTGCCGCCAGACCCCGCAATGCGGGGGGGGGGGGCCCAGGCCATTTAGGGGCCCAAAGCCGACCAGAATCAACTTTTTTTATAGTTAAAAAAATATATTTTTTTCCAAAAACAAACAAACAAACAGATCTACTACAGTAATGATGTTCTACAGTAACTAGCATCGCTGTTTCATAAAGGAAAAACATATATAGCTACATGAGTTGTAGTGTGAAAGATAGGCAAACGTTCACATCACTTCCATGACTTATTTCCCTTCTTTAAATAGTCAAATATGTGTGCTCTTAATTAAGAAACTTTTTTTTTGCACTAAACAAATTAAAAAGCAATTACTTCTCTCAATTATTTTTTTTTTAAATTACACAATAAAGAATGACATAGTATAAAAAGAAATGTATTAAAAACCTAATAATAAAAATACAAAAAAAAACCTTAAAAATAAACATAAGGCGAGAAACCATTACACATACAAAGCTTTCATGCTTCATAATATTTTGACAGCCTTGTATATAAGGCAGCCCTATGTCAGACATTGAAACAGAGAATTGCAAAACAGACTAATAGCACTCTCACAAATGATGTGTTTTGCAATATGTTTTAATTAAAAATAAAAACTAAGAATTTTATTTTTTTCAAATTTCGAACAAGCCCATATTGAGTATTCTATGTTGATATTTTCGTATTTAGCCCGTATTGAGTATTGTATGTTGATATTTTCGTATTTAGTTTATATATATATATATATATATATATATATATATATATATATATATATATATATATATATATATATATATATATATATATATATGGGGCCAAAAAATTTTTTTTGCGGGGTGGCCCTTTTTTTCTAGTTCCGCCACTGGCCTAAAGCTAGAAATATATCCGTGTGTGGACAATTAGAGGTATCATTTCTAGGGGTTAAAACTAGTAGAATCGCGTGACGCCATTTATGGAGGGTCGCTTATTTGTTGAAGGTGGCAAATATGTAAGGTCAAAACATCATTTAATGAAGAGTTTTTTCTTATTATTTTAATCAAACAACCGTAAAAACGTTGGGTTTTTTTTTTTTAAGTTTAGATATGTAAGCCCTATTTCTAGGTGAAAGAGAAAAAAAATCGATGGTAGGCATGAGGGGGGGGGGGGGGTGGGGGTGGGCGGGGGGGGGGGGTACGGACCGCACCGGGTGACACAATTTAGGGGGTGACACCAAGGCAAAAAAAAATAGCAAAATATATATAGAAAAGTTTTGAGGGGCGGGGTGCAAATCGAAAGTTTGAGGGGGGGGGGGGGGTTGCAAATCGAAAGTTTGAGGGGGTGCAAATCGAAAAATTTTCCCGGGAAGGGTCGCTACGCATCTGGGGGGTGACACCATTAAGTGCCGCACCGGGTGACACCCGACCTCGCTACGCCACTGATGATCCTATTATTGTTATCGTTAGACGGTTATTAGTTTTGTGGTCCATGGGGGAGGGGGGGGGGGTCTAACACCCCTTATCCACGCCATGGGGATAGGCAATAGACCTATATTGCTATGTAAATCATGGTACATTTTGAACAATTCACATCATATAATATTATTATCATGTAAACCGTCTATTTAATGAATAGGCCTTACTCTTCAATTATTTGTCTACATCCCATACTATCAGTGGCGTAAGCAGATGGGTTAAGGACCCTCGGTATATATATATATATATAAAGTTTGAGGGGGTGTAAATCGAAAGTTTGAGGGGGGGGGGTGCGAATCGAAAGTTTGTCCCCGGGTTATATACTGCTGGAACCCCCCCCCCCCCCCCCCCCCCATGAGACGATCCTGGCTACGCTACTGCATACTATGAATGATTAGTATGGATTTTTAAAAGTAGTCAAGTCTGCCGCTGTGGGACCCCCGGTTGGCCTACATCACGTTCTACAATAAAAACCTCATTCGTTGATAGAACAACCAAATATTTGAAATATCCACCGATGTCCGCACCATTAGTTAATACACTGGGTTCAAGATATAATTAGCCAGTTGTAGAAAATTGCACGCGTGCGACGCTAGACCATAATCAGTCTAGATTAGCCACCATGTCAGTTTGTGACTTGGAATATTCGAACACAATTTGTCGGGCAGACTTGGGTAAAAACAGCGAGACACTTGAGCCCCATGTTGGAAAATTATCTTTATTGAATTTGAATATCGGCTTTAACGTTTAATTTATTCATCGCGACCCGCGACATCAAAACATTTCTCATCAAGCCATCAGATTAAAGTTTAAGTTTCAGCGGCACGAGTTTTGTTTACCCTATTCCTTCGACCCCATTTCTGTTGTTTCCCCGCCCTCTCCCCTCTCCCCAACCCAACCCATCCTAATATAGGCCTATATCACTTATCGTCACATAAAGCGAAACCTCCCACGAAAGACGATTTCTGAAAAGACTACTCCGCCACTAAAATGATCATAAGGAGGGTGTGTGTGTGTGTGTGTGTTCGTCCATAAGTGACGTAACACTCCTAGGGGAGAGGCGGAGGGTTCGTATTTTTGTGACGATGTGTGATGATAGGGGTTCAGATAGTGTGACGTCACACTCTCGCGTTTTAAAAACGTAACGTTAGAAACCGAGTTTTAGTCGTTATTTCGCGTCTTAGAAGTTTTTTATTTTGTTGTAAATTGTAAATAGAAATTGATTAATATACTCTATACTGACCAAGTTCAGTTAATACTTTAGAAAGAAATCGATGTTTTAAAATAAATGATACTGCAATGTTGAGAGGTGGGGGTGTGGATTGGACGACATTTTAGGAGATGGCTGACCTTTTGTAAGGACGTGTGACGATGGGAGGGGATGGGGAGGTACAAATCGTATTAAACGCATTACGTCATTTATGGATGACCCCCATAATTCCAACAAAATTAACAACTTTTAATCACATTTTTATTTCTTGAAAAATGCAGATGAAATAAGACCTATATTTTACTTTGATCTCGGAATAAGAATGGACCGTGGCGTCAAGACGTGTCCAGCATCAGAGGCGTATCCAGGTTTTCATTGTAGGGGGAGCGAAAAGAGCAAAAAAAGGCGCCGAATTTTTAACACGTTCTATATACTGTATTATATATATATATATAGGCCTATATATATATATATATATATATATATATATATATATATATATATATATATATATATATATATATATATTATATATATATATATATATATATAATTACTAGATGTATGTCATTACTTCGCTATGATGTAAATAAATTGAAAGTAGCACTCTCAAGAAATAAGAAAAAACACACTATGTAGGCCGACAAAACAAAAACTGTATCAATCTAAACTATATATATATATATATATATATATATATATATATATATATATATATATATACACTACAACCAAAAACAATGAACGTAACACAATCTGTTTTGTAATTCTTGTAAAAAAAAAATTTATTACATAATAATTCCTGGGAAATTATTGAAGACAATTGAAATAGGGGAAATAATCACTCTCTTAATATAAATATGTATATATCTACATATTTAATTATAAATGTCAAAACAAATAAATAATTACTCTAGAATATAATGAAATTGTTTAACACTATTTATGTTTACAAAATGTTTTTGTCTATAATCAGAATTTAATGCTAAAGTTTTACAGCATAATGAACGTTTTTAAAATCAAAGTTGGTATAAAAGCACGCTTTTCGATACAATAGAAATACATTCGGAATAACAGCCTACATTTAACTAAATAACGGTCTTTTAGTTCAGATCATATATTTTAATTAACTACGGCTTCTTTGAGTTCTTTAAAGATCATTTTTTAACATAGTATTGATCACACACCTTTTTATTGGTAATTGCAAAAACAATATTCACAGAGTTTTACGTTTAAAAAGCTAATTTTCTGGCGGCATGGTACTTTGGTACATCATTACAATGTACTAAACAGATCAGTTCGGGGTGGGTTGGGGGGGGGGGGTGCTGGGTTCAACTTCATTCACCACTGTCCTTTCACTTTAGGTCAATTATTCAACCCATTGTATACATAGGTGTGACATTAATGTAGCTCTACACAATTGTGATGGTGAGGTGTGGGGGGAGGGGGGGGGGGAGATAACAAACTCAGAGTGAACATAGCTTCAGTTTTTAGATGCCTGTTCTAAACATACATATATATTACACAAATATATATTAAACAAATATATATTACAGAAATAGATTTAAATAAGCAGCAGTGGTATTATGACAATATTTTTTTTACAGAGGGGTCCATGGGGGAGGGGGGGGGGGGGTTGTAACTGTTTCATATAATTTGTAATCGTAATCATTATCGCCCAAACTGTAAGAATACTACTACTTCATCGTGATGACGTTGTTGACCTTGTCAAAATGTCCCCACCACTACGAAGTTTGCTCATAAGTAAATTTAAATAGAGGTGCCACATCAGTTGTATTTGTTTCTGTATTGTTTTTTTTTTTACAAATTAATCAAACGAGTCAAACTGTATATATATATAAAGTAATTATGTGTGAAGTTTTATGTATAACATTTTCTAATTCAATTATTCGTAAGCAAATACATTATACAGTTGCCTTAAACTTAACACCCCTCTTGCCAAGTGGTACTACCGTAGAGGTTTTTTAAACATTGCAATGCATCGTAATGGTTATTTTTAGAATGGCAAACTGATGTAGATGTTAATACGTGTTGTAAACGTAGACACTACTAGACTGGTACAAAAATGCTTAATTGCAGCATGAAAAGAAATCTTGTGATTTACATAAATGTGCCGACCAAAAATATTTTTAAAAAGTTTCCAAAAAGGCGCCACTTTGCTGAAAATGGGCAGAGGGGGAGCGGCCGCTCCCCCTGCTCCCCCCCTGCGTACGCTACTGTCCAGCATCATTTCTTTATTTTGTTCCAATTGAGTTCAGATATCCAGATAGCTGGGCGGGCTCAGGGACGTTATGCAGAATAGAGCCCGGTTTCTGAACGTCTTTCAAGTAGGCTAGTACAAATATACGCATGCACCGTCACAATACAGGTTATCTACATTCAAGTAGCCATTGACCCTATTTAGATTCTTAAAAATACATTTAAATAACTCTAATAGTGTTGAGACTGGTTTAAAAAACAATTCGGAAGAATGAAAATTTGAATTGTTACAGTTTTTTTTTAAATTCCAAATTTAACTGGTGTTGTGTGGATATGGTGTTAAATTAATTAGATACGGCTAATTTGACATAGTATTGTCCCTTGCTAAGGGACATAATCGTTACACGAGGTGTCTTCTGAGAATCTTGTCATCTTGGTGGAAATGCGAATGTAGTAGATAGATGGACATACAGATGTAGCTAGCATGAAAAATAAATGAATTTTAATTTTGTTTTGTAATTAAAGTAAAAATTAGTTTTTATTTAACATGTGCGTCGGGTTTTCGAAAAAAAGACACAGGATAATAAAGTTCTGATTTAGATTCAATTTTTTATTTTATATTTATGACATCGCTAGGAACATATTAAGTTGTTTTCAGACCTGATCGGTTTCTTTGAATAAAAGGTAAGTTAATATGTTTACTTCATGGCGTATTTATAAAACTATTGTTTTTTTTTTACTTACAAAAAAATTGTCTAAAAGAAAACACCCTAAGTAAGCTTGGTCCTAGGTGATTTGATCTCAGGGGCCTTGACCATAAGGGCTTTGGTTAAGGTCAAGCTGTGGTCAAACCACCTGTGGTCAAAGCTCCTGTGGTCAAAGGTCCGCGTACCGAAAACTACACATCTTCGTTTAAAAACCATCAATGTAAAAAAAAAAAAAATGGGAATGTCAGTCGGGGAAAAGACGAGGAATGCTGGAATGACATGGTCTGAAGTGAAAAGGGTGTCAGCAAAATGCATTGGCTGAACAAATGGTTTTGGTCATATTCTCTCCAAGGAAGAGGGACATTAAAGAGAGACATAAAGGGTATAAGGGCCGAGATAAATAGGAAGAATGGCATCGTGATCGTTATTTTTTATAGCAGAGGTTAATTCGAGCTTTTATTAGAGGACGGGTGATGTAGCCTATAAATGTTTGTATATAGCACGGGTTCCCAACCTGGGGGTCGCGACCCCCTTGGGGGTCGCGTAGGTCTTTCTGGGGGGTCGCCAACTGTTATACTAAACCTTAGTAATTTGAAACAAAACATAAATATTTAGAATTTTTTTTAAAATTCGGCTTCATTAACATCACTGAAAATGTAATAGAGAAGAAACAAAGCGCACTGTACAAAGTTGTTCTCAGTCACGAATCTATGAAATCTTCAAAACTAAAACGTCATTTGAGACGAGTCATTTGGAACACACCAAAAATATATGGAGTTCTTTCGTCGGTAAGAAGCTAGTTGCAAACGCCAGAGACTTGATCGAACAGGAAGTTTTCACTAGCATTAGTGCAAGCATCAAATGAAGTCGCGATAGAAAATGCCAAGCAAAAAAAAAAAAAAAAAACAATAGGAGAAAATCTCATCAAACGCTGCATGTACGTAAATGTTAAATAACACATTTTTATTGAAATTAAGCTTTCACCATTGTCTGCTTTTCAAGTTGATAAATCAACAGACCAGTGGCGGAACTAGAAAAAAATGGCCACCCCGCAAAAACAATTTTTCGGCCCCCACCCATATAAATATATATATATATATATATATAATTATTTTTTTTTTCAATTAAAACAAATTACTACATCATGTCATGTGTGTAAGTGCGTTAGTGTGTTTTGAGAAAATCAGTTACATTTTATCTGCTATGGACTATCAAAACATCTAACTGGCCAAAAGAATATAAAACATGTGAAATCTTTGTAGAAGTAATGGTGTCTCGTGTTGTGATTATTTTTATGTTTTTTTGTATTTATATTATTAATTTTAAATACTTTTCCTTTTTATACAAGGTCATTCGTTAGTTAGTATTTTATGAAAAAATATTTAGTAAGAGAAGTAGTTGCTTTTTAATTTGTTTAGTACAAATCTATTAAAAGGAGCTTATAAACACCCCAATTTGCCTATTAAAAAAGGGAAATAAGTCATGGAAGTGGTTTGAACGTTTGCTTATCTTTGTTAAGATTAATTGTAGAGGACTTGGCTTTCACAGTGGTTTAAAAAGAAAGGGAAAAAGAATATACAAGAGCGGGATGGTGTCTATAGAATAAAGATAATCAAACCGCAGCTATGGTAATCGTTTTACAAAACAAACATCAAGTCAAAAATTGTAAGAAAATTAGATTTTTAACTATAATAAAAACTATTAGGGTCGGCCGTGGGCCCCTAAATGGCGTGGGCCCCCCCCCCCCCCCCCGCATTGCGGGGTCTGGCGGCACTGTAGTTCCGCCCCTGCAACAGACGTGAGTTCGTGTTGCAGTTGCTGGTCTGTGTCTATATTCATGCGGATGATAGCAAAGAAGAGTTGCTCATTTGTGAAGATAGCATGGAGAAAATAAATACCTTTTTTTGAAACTGAATGATTAAAATGGGTTAGAACGGCTGTGGGGGTTTGTACGGATGGTGCGCCATCTATGTTTAGCTCAAAATCGGGCTTTCAGAAAACAGAAAAGATTTAGCCCCCTAACCACTGCCCTAACCAATCGACATCAAGAGTCCATTGCTAGTATAAGTCGTAAATTATATTAAAAATATGGAGCCTTCAAAGAACTGAGCAAAAACATTAATATAGATCACGAGGTTCTGCTCTTCTACACTTCAGTACGCTGGCTGTCAAACGAAATGTTGTAAATAGTGTTTTTGAATTGAAATCTGAAATCAAATTGTTCTTGGAAGTGCAAAGACTTCAAAAAACAAGACTTTTTGGTATACTTAAAACGACATAAAGTGGTTGGAGAGAGTATCATACCTAGCAGATGTGTTCGAATAACAAGAAAAGCTTAACCTGAAGCTTCAGGGAAAATGAACGAATATTATAACTTTCCATGATAATCTCGGGGCATTTTTATCAAAGCTGCAAAATCGGTAAAGAAAATAAATCTTGGAAATATTTTAAATTTGAGAAACTCTGCAGTGAGGTAGATGAATCTGATTGTGACATAATTAAAATTTTGAAAGAAGCGATTTCTGGGTATCTTGAATCTCTTCAAAACGAACTGCATCGCTATTTCTCTGAGCTGAAAAAAAGAAGAATCTGCATTTTCGCATTACCCATTCTCTTCTTCCCTTGATGTTGCCAGAATTCCCGATGAATTACAAGATGAATTCTTTGATTTGCAGAATGATTCCGAGTTAGATGAAAAACTGCAGACACAATTTTGGTGTAGTATTCACCATTCATACCCAAACGTAAAATTGATTGACTTTTCGAGAATATATTTTCAACACTATTCTTCGATTAAAAACAAAATTAAGATAATTATAATGACATAGGTTGGCGTTAACAACATTTTTTTTTTAAATTAAAAACTTAACCACGAAGGTTTAGTGAATAGTATGCAATTTTACTCATGCTATTAAAACAGTTATCAAGAGCAGTTGATATTGAAAGTCTACTAGATAATCTTATTTTAGTGCTTATTAATTTCCATACTAATTTCGGCTTTTTAATTCTATGGGGGTCGCGGGTCACTTACTTTTTATAAATGGGGGTCGCCACTCGAAAAAGGTTGGGAACCACTGGTATATAGTATTTATATTAGGCCTAACTGAATATAAATTTAGTTATTCCAGAGTAGGAAACGGGGAAGGTGGGGACCGGTGTTTCTTTCAGACTTTTTTCTCCTGCGAGGGGGGGGGGGGGGTGGGTGGGGGGGGACTAATTTTTTTCCGGAGGGGGTGGGCGGACACTGGTAAGCATAAATTTTTAATTTAAAATTCTATTTCGTTGGAGGGGGGGGGGCGTTAGACGAAGAGATGCCCGAAAGAAACTCGGGTGTGGACCTAACGCTGTGTCAGAAGCAGATGTTTAAGATTAGTTTTTCGGAGATAGACACGCATAGCCGCTTAATCAGGTGCCGTTTGTGTTCATTTCTTTATTAAGAATCAGCCCGTTTGTGTTCATTTCCATATTAAGAATCAACCCGTTTGTGTTCATTTCCTTATTAAGAATCGGCCCGTTTGTGTTCATTTCTTTATTAAGAATCGGCCCGTTTGTGTTCATTTCTTTATTAAGAATCAGCGAATTGCTTAACTCTCTGGGAATTTCCAACCAGGTAGTTTACGCATGAATTACTTTTAATGTACTAAACTATCTAGCTAATCAGTAGCTAATCAATAGCCTATTTTTGGTATTTTGCTAAATCAAGGGGTTTGCGACCTTTTGATCTATGTCAATTACTAGGATTAATAATACACAGAAGTGAAATTCACTATAATTATTGTTGACAATATTAATAAGACATATGGGGGCACCTTTCACACATTTACATCTGGAGGGGGGGTCACTTAAAACTTGGGGGGGGGGTGTCTTAAATTATATAGAAAAAGAGTGCACGCGAGAGAGAGAAAGAAAATAAGAACCAAGATGAACATTGGGTCAACGTGTCGACTATACACACGAGCCATTGGACGAACCATTCAGATGAACAATGATAGGTCGTATTTTTATCAAATGGTGGCTGCATTTTGTTTAATGGGCAAACTATAGATTTCAAGTTCTGTACGCGTATAAGGCTGTAAGGTCTTGTCCCCGAACAAAGTAAAAAAAAAACACGATGTAAAGTTCGCCATACTCAGATAAAAATGTTTACAATTACAGCGTAAAAAAGCAATCAGAAAACAACTTACAATTTGTTTCATTTCACAATTTCAAAAAAAAAAAGAAAAAAAAAGAAAAACCCTCCTCACCTAACAGTTATGTATCCAAAAAGTTTTTAATTTCTCTTGGGTGTAAATTCAATTAAAGCTATTTTGAGCGCTGACGAGGTAAACGAGTTTTATTTTTCATTTCAGGAAAATTATCTGAAACCACATTGCCTATACGAAAGAAAGTAAAAAAAGTAAGCCGAACGCTAGTCTTTATACGCCACGTCAATAGCTAACAAGCCGCACCCTCCCTCCCCCTTTCCAAATCTGGTCTCAAGTGTTGTTTCATAAGCTGTTAAAGTTAAAGTTTCGAAGAAATGTTTGTAAACAATCGCGACTTGTGGTTTTTAATAGAATACAATGTAGCTTTGTTCGTGTGCACAAAAAAACAACAACCCACATTATATATAAAAAAAAAACAAATACTAAAACAAAAAGATTAATGACTAGCAGTAGAAATGATTAGTACCCGTGTTTACATGTTCAGATGAAATAAATTCTTTTTTAAAGGAATGTGTAAATCAATAACCTTAAGTAAGGCAAAAGACAAAAATAACGTACTTTATGAAGAGTATCAAAAAAAGCATTGGGCAGAGCCGGCGTTAGGGGGTGGCGAACGGGGCGGTCGCCATAGGCCCCGCGCTTGAAGGGGCCCCGCGCTTCAGCAATGTCTTTGTTATCTGAATTAGTTCGTAAACTTAAAAAATTTGTTGCTGACTTCAATTGGGAAAAACTAAATGGTCGAATGCCGACGTTGTTGATTCTTATAACTGAGGCCACGGTTGATGTTGGTGAGTCCCACCTGAACTGGGACAGGCCGTAATTCGATACAAAAATAGTGTCACGCACCTCCCCTTTGTGTAGGGCACGGTCGCCTGGCATTTGACCTGAGCTGACTGGAGATTGTTGGATGCGAATGAGCCCCCGACCTGACATGGGATGTAAATTTGGGAAACGTAAAGAGATACCCTATTGTATGCGGACCGATGAAGACGTCCTTTTAGTGAGCAGACGGGATGTCTGTAGTAGACAGTTAGTGACCTGATGAACTCTAGTCCTGACTTTCTTGTTGTAGATGTCGTATAATGTCGTATATGTACAGTGTTTCTTCCAGACTTTTTTCTCCGGGGGGGGGGGGGGGGAGGGGCACTTGAAATTTTCGGGGGGGGGGGGGGGGCGGAAGATTTTCTTCGAGAGGGGGGGGGGGCGGACACTGTTGAAAGTATATATTTTCTATATAAATTATATAAATTCCATTTCGTTTTCGGAGGGGGGGGGGGGCTTGTCCCCCCGTCCTGTCTCCCCCCCCCCCCCCCCCGAAGAGATGCCTTGAAGAAACTCTATATGTAGGCCTACTTGTCTTGGTAAAACAAAATTAACATTCAGTTGCGTGCAGAGGGGTGGGAGGAGGGCGACGAAGGGGGGGGGGCTTAGGATCTATATCAGGCGGCATTAAACAGAGTGATTTATTATTATTTTTTGGAAGAAAGTTAAAACTGTTGTTATGTTGTGTCACCTTAAGGATTCACCCGTTCAATAATTAAGACAAATAATGTTTTTGGTTTTAAAATATTGTATGAATTCTAAACAAATGTTGAAGTCTATACTGTTTTGATACATCAGGCCGAGTTCGCTGTATTGTAAACTTTATTTTCCTAATTATTCGGCACGTGATTAAATTTTCTTAAGTTATTTTGTATGAATTACATAACTGTCAAAAGTGATTTAATATCTTAGCAAAGGAAAAAAAAAACTACGAACATTGGGTTAATACATGGGAGAGATAAAAATCTGTTATTATAGTGGAAAGTTTGACATTAGCTTATAAACTCCAAAACATTTGTGTTATTATGTGTACATCACATTATATAGGCCTTTATACATACATACATACATATATATATATATATATATATATATATATATATATATATATATATATATATATATATATATATATATATAATGGAAAGGCCCCGCGCGGATGGTTGGCCCTAATTCAAAAATATTTTTAACTTCCGCTACGTTGTGGGCATATAAGGGGTCGTCCATAAATGACGTCACACTCGTAGGGGGGGTCCGTAATTTTGTGACAGTGTGTGATGAGGGGGAGAGGGGGGTCAGATGGTGCGAGGTCACACTTTTGCATTATAAATAAACCGGGAGTGATCTCCCCTAAACTTTCTCGAATATTCTTATATAAAATAACAGGGGATGGGAACTCGGGCTATAGAAATGATTTTTAATCCATTTTAAATACTTAAAGTTTTAAAAATAGAATAAAATCTCGTAGACAAATTAATTGCACACCAAGTGAACGCTAATTAAAAAACGCATAATAGTGCGCAATATTATTAGTACTTTAAAAATTTACATTAGTTTTTTGAGAAATCGGAAGTAGCGTAAATTACTACTTCCGGTCAACGGAAATTACTCAAAATTTGACAGAAGGTAGAGAATTAGATCTTTTACTTACATGTGAAATTTCATTTATCTATCTGAAATAGTACTCAAGTTATAGGCTTTTGAAAAATTCAAAGTAGAAAAAGTACCACTTCCGGTTGTCAGAAATCGCTCAAAAGTTGATACGGATCTACGATTTTGATATAATACTTATATATGAAATTTCATCAACCTAGCTGTAACGGTACTCAAGTTATCGTGTTTACACACAGACACACACACAGACCACACAGACACACACACACACAGACATACGGACAAGATTGCAAAATTATGTTTTTCCGTATCAGTGAGGTGTAAAACGTCGAGATTTGTAAAAATCTCGATTTTTTTTTTGCACGATTACAATACTTTCTCTATACTACGTATATACGAGAAAGTAAAAAGCAGTGTTAGAAAACGAATTTTAGACGTTATTTCGCGTTTTAGAAAACTGTTTTAATAAATTGTAATAGGAATTGATAAAAATACTCTATTTTGACAGAGTTCAGACACGATTATAGAAAAATATCAATGTTTAAAAAAAATTCAACTTCAATTTTGAGGGAGGGGGGGGGGGGGTTGTAGGTTGAGGTGTGACGTCATTTTAGGGGGGGGGGGGGTCTGGCTTTTTATGACGACCTGTGACGGAGGGGAGAAGGAGGTAAAAATCGTCAAAAAAGCGTGACGTCATTTATGGATGACCCATAATGGGGGGTATGCTATCATATTTTTGACGAAGTGTGATACTTGTGACGACTATATATAAAGTAATGAATCATTGTAAGGGGGGGGGGGTAATACACACACATATTATATATATATATATATATATATATATATATATATATATATATATATATATATATATATATATATAGATATATATAGATATATATAATATAAGAGCATTGACGCCACTAGCTCGATGGTCACTGGGTGCTGTCAGTGTTTCTTCCAGGCAGCTCTTCGGGGTCGGGTGGGGGGAGGGGGGGCGAACAAAGTCTACCCCCCCCTCCCCCCCGAACGAAATGGAATTTATATAGAAAATATATACATATACTTTTAACTGTGTGTCCCCCCCCCCCCCCCCCCGGAGTAAAAAGTCTGGAAGAAACACTGGTTGCAGTAAATGAGGGTCTCAAACTGATCTCTAAAGTTATCTCATACAAAAATAAATTTTAAGTCTCTCTGGGTTTTAAAAAAAATAAATTTTGTATTTATTTATTTTTTAATTCATCTCTCTTCTAGATTTTGCAGATCATGGATAATTTTACATTGCCAATACTTTTTGACAATTCCACGGCGCATTTTGAGAATTCAACATTGCCAGTTACTACGACACATTTTGAGAATTCCACACTGCCAGTTACTACGACATATTTTGAGAATTCCACATTACCGGTCACGACCCACTTTGAAAATTTTACAACAGCCGCCGTCACGTTAACAACGGCGGGAGAAAACATCACTAGACCAGAAAAGTTATTTTGTGCTGACAGCATTTGGGTAATGATTAAAATAATTAATTTAGTCTAAGGGCTTCTTTTTTTTTTACATCTATATTTTATCGCATCATTTATTGCAGGTCTACCTATTTAAAATATTACGATTTTTTTGTACCATTGCAAAATTAATAAGATCAAATCTGTAAAATAAGTAAAAATAAAATGCATCCTGGCAACATCACTAACGATAAGAATAAGAGAATCGAATACTAGTTCTATTAAAATGTATTTAGATGTAATCTAGATCTAGCAGGGCGGGTGTTGAGTAGGATTATTTTATAACCACTTTAACATGAGATTCTAACTACTAACTACCCCCCACCGTCCAATGATCCTACCTACACTAGGCCTACCGCTCATCATAGTGTCATCATGGCCATAAGCCAAGAAAAGTTAGTCCACTTTTCTGCAAGCGGCTCTTTAAAATTGAATACGCTTGCACTTCTCACGAATACATATTTAAGTCATTATAATTATAAGTAAAGTCTACAAAAATTTTAAAGTGAGGAAAATAATTCTACATTAAACAAGTAGATTCTACTAACTTTTACTATTAATCTCCAGATCTACATAACTCATTGACTACTACTACTAGACTAGATTACTAGATCTATTATAGAAGTGATATTAATTAATTTTTATTTTATTTTTCTATAAAAAAAATGGTTGTTTTTTGTAGATAATAGATACTATATTTATTATTTAACTAAATAGATCAGTGGTTCTCAATATATATATAAAATAATATTATATATAATATATATATATATATATATATATATATATATATATATATATATATATATATATATATATATATATATATATATATATACTTTATATAGTAAATGTATACTAAAACTAGTAAAAGATTATACAAACCCCGCCCCTCGAAGTTTCAGTGTTTCATCCCACCCATTCCATTTAATGGATGATGTGTGCAAGCATTGTTTGAAGGGTGTAAAATATAACAAAATGATCAGCTGTTTAATATTGATTTAAAAAAAATTAGAATTGTCATATGTCTCTATAATCTTTAGTCAATGGCCATATTAAAAAATGTCTCCCATTTGATGCAAATATTATTCACAGGATACTGATTTGTTGTTGAGCTCTAGTTGGCCCCAGCTGACGTCATGTTTCCAGGACACAGTTCTCATCTATGTGCCATTCTCATGTCTCTGGCTGCCATTACCATTCTATTTATACATGTTGGCATCAAAAAGGGTCAGTCCGTTACCCATTTCCTGCCTCAGCATTATCAAAATGGTAGGCTTGCTTTTATTTTTACTCAATTAAAAGTCAAAAAGCACATAAAATGAAAAAGAGAACAGCTGAAATTTTAGAATATTTACTGTACTTACACACATTTTTTTTTCTATTGAAAGTTAATACTTAAAGTCACTATTTAATATTTCACAAGTTATGTCAGTCACTCGTGGTTCTTATTTAATTATGTGAATGTCATAAAATTGTCTGAAATATGATTTTCCATTATATTTTTACAGTTACATATAAAATTTATACCATATAGTCATAGCTGTTACAATGTTCTCTAGTTCTTGGCCGCCTCCCTGAGCCTGCTCAGTCTGATAACTATAATAGAAGACGCCAGTAATGATACAGGCGCACACCCCATTTCCATATCACATTATGTGGCTAATGGTATCCGGGTCATCTCATATGTAAGTTAAATTATTCATATTTCTTACCATCATGCATTATTTATGTATAGATTATTATATGTAATTATTTGTGACTAATTCTATGGGTGATCTTATATGTAAATAAAATGATATACATTTCTTCCCTTCATGCATTTATATATATATATATATATATATATATATATATATATATATACATATATATATATATACATATATATATATATATATATATATATATATATATATATATATATATATATATATATATATATATATATATATATATATATATATATATATATATATATATATATATATATATATATATATATAACTGTAGGCCTACATGTCATAATTTGACAAATTAAAAAAAAATGTGAATATAATTCGTTGTGGTTTAAAATGTTTAAAGAAAAAAAATTACATTCAGTTCTTCACCCCTCAGTTATCAATAAATTTACAAAATGTGTTTAAGTTGCAAAAATAAAGTTTTTTTGTTCTTGCCTAGGCTGTTGTTGCCATCGTAACCCAAATGGAGAGGAAATACCACACCACCACTTCAGGATTTCTCTTTCTCTTCTGGATTTGTCTTGTCTGCTGTGATGTTGTCCCTCTCTACACCAAGATAATCATTCAGGTTTTCATCTAAACTTATTAATTTAAGTATGGGTATTTGTATGGTACAGGGGAGGTAATTGAGCCAGGAAGTGGGTAGGCAATGGTCAAATATCCAGATCTGTTTTGAGTTCAGATATTTTTTATAATTTGACCTATGTCACCAGGGGTGGACTGGCTGTGTCAGAGAGGCCCAGGAAATTTTAAAAGGGGCCCCCCAACCCCAGATTGAAATTTTCATTGTGTATTTTTCTCCCAAATCCTAAATTTTATTCCTTGGTATGATGGAATGGTAAAATGACAGCAATGAACAACAGTTTAAAACTCTATTATTATTACCAGTCCACCTTTAGTTGTCATTCATGAGCAAGTTATAGAGAAGTAATTTTTCTTACAATGGTTGGTAGTGATAGATGTTATGTACATGAAAACATGGGCTGTTTACTAACTTACTCTCTAACCCATTACAGGAACACGAAGGATCTCTGCTCAGATTTGCACTTTTTGTTCTGGTGTATGCCATGGAAGTTCTGCAACTTTTGTTCAACTCTGTCTCAGATTCCACCGGGGAGGACAGCTATCTGGCTGTAAGTAGGTCAAGTTAGCTTGCAACATATAAAGTGGGTCATTTCAACTTTCAGTCTGTAAAGTAGGTAGTTTTAACTCCCAATATAAGCATGTCATTTCAACACATGGTCATGTTAACTTCCATTTTTTAAAAAAACTGTATATTAACCTATAAAGGCTAAAAAAATATTTTTAATATAACAAATTTACATTAATTTGTTAGCAGGTCATTTTGCTTCCATGTTAGAAGTAGGCCATTGTTATATTATAATGAAGTATTTTAACTTCAATAGAACTCAAGTCCAGAAGTGAGAGCTTCATTTCCCAGCAGAATTTTCTACTGGTGGGTCACCAGGTAAGTGTATGTGAGATGTCAAGGTCATGATCTATATTTACATATGAGTCAAGTGTCCATGGCATCTAGTTTACTTCTAAAATATGATATACATACTTAATATTATGTTAGAAAGGTATCCCTTACTTTGAATAAACAACAATTAAATATGTAAATTATTGGAGTTAAATAGGTCTATGTGTTGAAACAACTATTAAATTGTTTTCTTTTCATGATTATTTTTATTGGAGTTCAACAGTCATTAAATAAGTATGAGAATTGCACAAACTATTAGTTAGGCCTAATAATTTAAATTATTTATTGCATACATGTCTATTTATTTCCACTTTGTTGTAGTAATTTTTTTTAATAAATTGTAGTAGCATTATATTTTAATATGCTAAATCACTCAAGATCACTTAATTTAATACAATGGTAGATGTGACATTGCCAAAAGGTATAAGTCATAGTTTGTGTTTATGTGTTTAGAACAGTGTACAATGGTTGGAGGAAAGACTTACAGGAAGAAGATTTGTTTGTACTCAACCCTAGAGATGAGAGTGATAACCTCACACCATTGTTTGATAAACTCTGGAGAAATGAGTGGACCAGATTCAAGAGGAAAAGGTACTCCCTCCCATCTAAATCCACATAATGGAAACTTTCATTTTTTAATAATTATTCTACAATTTTTTGATTTGTTTATTATTTTTATACATTTAATTTAATATTTAAATATATGTATTATGTTTTTAACCGAGCTATCAATATTGCTTCTTAAAATTATAAGTATTAAAGTAAAATGTTATAAAAATTATTAAAAGAGATATTGTTTATATAGAAACTTATATAGAAATTTTATTTAAAATGTGTAAATAACTATTTATTGCATTTTTAAATTTAATAATCTAAGGGGACAACTGCAATGTTTTTAGGATTTGCGCTTGTTAATTTCAGTAATTAATGTTACTATTTTTTTTTATTTAGGAAGGAAGAAAAGTCTTATGACAAATTAGGATATCGTTTGTCTGACCTCTCCAAATCTTATGAGAGGCACGGTGAAAGGTCACCTCTGATGGCTAATATGAATGGAAAGGTTACTGAAAATGGGCGTTACTACAAAACTGTTAAAATGGACAGCACTTCAAGAAATAATACCAAACAGGTGAATATAATAATTTTCATGAACATTTTTGTCCATGTAGTTGCTTTGTATATATTCTTAATTATAATTAATGGATAGGAGGTCTGTGTGGTAGAGTCTGTTAAGCTCATGGTTGCTGAACCAAAAAGTCCTGAGTCTAACCCCCGGGTAGATGAGGCTCGTTAACTGGGGACAGCAACCAGTAACGTAGCGAGGGGGGGCGGGGGGGGGGGGGGACATATGTCTACGGGCGCCGACTTTAGGGGGTGCCAAAATGGGTTGGAAAAGTAAGTAACAATGAAAGCTTGAGGGGGGTGCAAATCGAAATCTTTAGGAGGGGGTGCAAATTGAAAGTTTGAGGGGGGGGGGTGCAAATCGAAAGTTTGTCCCCGGGCAACGGGAAGGGTCGCTAGGCCTCTGACATCAACCCATATAGGAAAGACTTCAAAATCAAGCAACTGTTATTGTAGTTTGTTCTTTGTTGGACAAAGGCAAGGGAAGCAATTCAAAAAAGGAAAGGCCACATAATAAGTTGACATTTAATTGTGTTGGAGGGAATCTCTTCCAACACTAGAATTAAGTATGAAGAAGTAGATACTGAATGGATACTGTGGTGTTGAATGTCAATGATCCAACATGAATACTAGATGACACTGTTTTCTAAAGGAATCAAAAACAAGTTTTATATATTATTCTAAAAATTATCAGACACTTTGTCCTCATCTAATTGTCTAAACTACCATTGTAGTTTTTGTGGTGTGACAAACAGTAAACTTGCTGAATAATATATAATAAGTGAAGACTGTTAGCCCTAGTGCCTTATCTCACTAGATGTATGCACTGATGTAGTGTGTTATATTATCTGAATATTTATTATAAAGACACACTATGATCATGCACCATATGTATCTAAGTGAAAATTGTATTATTTACCTGCTTTTTAAAAATGTTCTTGAGTTTGTACATTTTTGTTAATTAGCCTCCACAAACAGCAGAATGATGTTGTCTCCCTTTATTCTAAAAACAGCCCAAGCCCTCTCTGTTGAGAGTTCTAGCACAGATGGTGGGATTAAAACTTTGCTTTGGACTTGTTCAAAAAATGGTTTCTGATATATTTTTAATGATAAGCCCAGTGCTTCTGAGGTAAATAAAATATAAACTTGTATGTATGTTTGGTGTTGGGGGGGGGGGGGGTCCCAGTGCCGACGCCAGGTTATATTGCGCCCTAGGCAAATCTTATTAAAATGCCCCTTTTCACACAAATTAATTACTAAAACATGTGTATATGAAAACAATTAATTAACAGTGACATATTAACTTATTAACGATTGCATACACGTTATAAGTAGACATCAAAATCAAATTTTACTTGCCTTCTTTGCAGAGGCGGAACTAGAAAAAAAGGGCCACCCCGCAAAAAATTTTTTTAGGCCCCCCACCCATATATATGTATATATATATATATATATATATATATATATATATATATATATATATATATATATATATATATATATATATATATATATATATATATATATATATATATATATATATATATATATATATTTATATATATATATACAAAATACAAACAGAGTATAGGATGCTCATTGCTGACCTGTTCAGGTTTTTAAAAAAAAATTGTTTTTTTTTTTCAATTAAAGCAAATTACTACATGTCATGTGTGTAAGTGCTTTAGTGTGTTTTGAGAAAATCAGTTTTCATTTTATCTGTTATGGATTCTCGTAACATCTCTCTGGCCAAAAGAATATAAAACATAAAATCTTTGTAGAAGTAATGGTGTATTTTATGAAAAAATATTTAGTAAGAGAAGTAATTGCTTTTTAATTTGTTTAGTACAATTCTATTAAAAGGAGCTTATGAGCACCCCAATTTGACTATTTTAAAAGGGAAATAAGTCATGGAAGTGGTTTGAACGTTTCCTTATCTTTGTTAAGTTTAATTGTAGAGGAGATAGGACTTGGCTTTCACAGTGGTTTAAAAAGAAAGGGAAAAAGAATATACAAGAATATATGGTGTCTATAGAATAAAGATAATCAAACCGCAGCTATGGTAATCGTTTTACAAAACAAACATCAAGTCAAAAATTGCAAGAAAATTAGATTTTTTAAACTATAATAAAAACTATTAGGGTCGGCTGTGGGCCCCTAAATGGCGTGGGCCCCCCCGCATTGCGGGGTCTGGCGGCACTGTAGTTCCGCCCCTGCTTCTTTGTCTCAAAAGTTTGTACTTAAATTTGTATTTATATGTAAGTGGTCAATCCAAGGTGCAGAAATTTGAATTAAGCAATGACTTATCTCCCATTTGAAAATCCAAATAACAAAATTTTATTCAAGGGAAATAACTTTCACAAGAATAGCTAAATTAACCAAGTGTAACTAAGACATGTTTGAAAAACAAAATAAAACGCTCTAATTTTCATTACATAATAATTATAACAAATCTTTTATATGAGCTATGTAACCTTGTGAAAACAATTAATTTTACCTATCGAATACTTAACTGTAGGTTTTGTTTGAAAGTCTAAAAATGGTAGCTTTATTATAACATACTTCTATTCAATTTTAATGACATACATCTCTATATGACAATCTAATATGCCAATAACTTAAAATTTTGGATCCCTTGAATAAAAGGGACATCTTTCAGAAAGTCATAACACAGTTAACTGTTTTAGACATTGCTCAGTTTACAGTCAGTTAAAAATTCCATCCTATTTAATATTATATATTAATACTTTAAGAGTGTTAATATAGATTCCTAAAAAACTAAAGATTTTTCAACTAGAGAACGCCTACCTTTCTTTGTAGTGTATTCCATACATCATCTAACTTACCATAAACTCCACAACTCAATATACTCTACTACATTCACAACACATATCAAACTTCGATACCTAAACATAACTAGACTACGACACCAACTGGTTTAACTTCACCAAGCTCTACAAAAGGTACTCCCAATCAACAACGATTTCACTGGACCTATTACTACACTTTAAAAGTCAATATAATTCGATACCTTAATACCACAAGAATCAATACTCCAGAACTCCAGAACTACGATACTTCATCACCTGCATTCCCATTTCTCTATTACCAATCAAATTTCATTAGACCTTCAACTACAAAACAGCCGAATAAAAATTATGACTCTTTAACACTTCCATACTTTATACCTACGAAACCATATCAGCAACAGCCTTCTGCCGTTACTCCCAAATCTAAACGATTCATCAAAACTTACCAAACAAATACAATACTTTGAACACCCCGTCATTACAAAACTCTGTACACCAGGACAGATTTATAATTCAAAGTCAGAGAAATGAGACTTACAAGCCCTATTTAAAATTAGATAACCTTTTGCAATGTTCAAAATTTAAATTACGACCTTATTTAATCGTTTTCTACATCAATTATGTGACACCAAATTAAAAAGACAAAGTGACTGGTAAAAAGCGCCCTAACCTTTCAAAATTAGTGATGTGGGGTTGCATTTTTACCATCGCGAATAAAATATAGGCTTTTATAGACCTAATTTTGGGGTGGGGGTGCAAAATTGATAGTTCGTCCTGGGTGCCGAAATAGATCGCTATACCTTTATAAAAGTTATTAATTCTTAGGTACTTTTTGATAATAGCGATTAAACATTTTGCGCCCCCTAGGGATGGTGCCCTAGGCGACTGCCTAGTTCGCCTTATAGATAGCACTGGCCCAGGGGGTTCCCTAAAAGTCCCTGAGTCCATCTAGATCTGAATGGTGTACAATATGGGTAAGGGGAAATAAAGGTGGCAGGCATAGTGCAGACCACACAAAATCTTCATATGGTCGAAGAAACTGTTGAACCTTATTTTACTTTAAATGAGTGGTTGTGAGTTTATGGGTAAGGGTGGCTCTTAACCTGAATATTGTGAGACATGTCTAAAGCTAAGCAGAAGACAGCAGATTTGCAGATTTGAACATACCATCCATTCATAATTATATCTTGTGGAATAGAATTCATCTTTATCTGCATTAGACCAGAAGATTTTAAGAGGACTCTATTAATATGAGTCATAAACTGTCAAAGCTTTATTTAGGTTTTGTTATGCTTAATATATTAACAAATTTAAATATATTCACCTTACAGCCATAAAACAAACTTTGTTTATTCTATCTTCCCTCAATATTTTATTTATCTTGTTAAACCCAAGCATAACTACAATTTTCAACCTAAATCTAGTTTGAAATTAGGCCATAAGTTTTAACAATGTCTTCATTAACGCTTTGAAATAAAATTTTCCCCTGTCTAGCCTCCTTATCAGTTATGCTGACCATGCGGATGTTGATTTTGTGTGGAAAGGCTATGCCATAGCTGTCCTGCTGTTTATCACACAGATGATCAAATCTGTGCTGTTTAACTTCAGTTTCTGGATGTCGCAGATTGTTGGCATGCAGATGAAGACCACGCTTATTGCAGCTATTTATAAAAAGGTACAAAAACTGGAACAGAATTTCTTACCAAAACAAATTCAGTAGCTATAGGAAAACATAATTTTCTAAATTTGTTTTTACACAATGTAGGAAATATAATGAGAGAAGGCAGTGTTTTCTATACAAAATAATTTTTGTTTTTGGTGCTAATATAGAATAATGAATCAGAAACATGGTTAGCTCAGTATGTGTGTATGTCATTGTTGCAGACATTTATGATGAAGAATGAATTAGAAACATGGATACTTATGTTATATGTTGTGACAGGCACTAGCAATGAATAATGAATCAGAACCCATGGTTACATATGTTGTATGTTGTGACAGACTCTAACCATGAATCAGAACCTATGGTTACATATGTTATATGTTGTGACAGGCTCTAACAATGAATAATGAATCAGAACCCATGGTTACATATGTTATATGTTGTGACAGGCTCTAACAATGAATAATGAATCAGAACCCATGGTTACATATGTTATATGTTGTGACAGGCTCTAACAATGAACAACGAGTCCAAGAAAGAATCAACAGCAGGAGAGATTGTCAACCTTATGTCTGTCGACTGCCAGAGGGTCCAGGATGTGATGAATTTTTTCTTCTACGCTTGGACCACTCCCTTTCAGGTACACTAATGAATGTTTACATAACCAGCTGGCGTTTGATTGCAATTCCTGTTCATATTTCTCTCTATATGTGATTAACATTTTACTATGTTAATTATCAATGAACTAACAATTAGGGTAAGACTTTAAAATAATTTTTTTTTAAATTTCTTAAAAAAATGTCTAAAACAACATTTTTTGTGTGCTATTTCAGCTAAACATTTAATATCTTAGGAGCATTGTTTTAAATATAAACCACCTTATTGAAATTAGCTTAATTTGTTTTATCTGATCCAAAAGAAATAATTCAATGACACATATCAAACTGACTACCTTTGTTTTAAAATATTTTGTATTTTTACAATGGCATGTGTTTAGTTATAAATGTATCAATCGACTCTGTTTTGAGATTTGTAGATCATAGAGTTAGTTTTCTGAGCTGTGTTTGACACAAAGTGAATGTCTAAAATATTCCGACAGGTTATTATAGCTATAGCGGTGCTGTACCAGTACATTGGCCCTTCTGTATTTGCTGGTCTGGCTGTCCTGTTGCTGACCATACCTTTTAACTCTTACGTAGCATCAAAGCAGCAGCAGCTTCAGGTCAAGAATTTAAAACACAAAGACTCCAGGCTCAGACTGACCAATGAAGCTCTTTGTGGCATGAAGGTTTTATTATTTTACCTACATAAATTAACATAAATTAACATTAATTTTAAAATGTATCTTTCAGAAATAAACATTTTACTTTCAAAGTATATCACAATCTCTTGAAAGTGATTTATACATATTCTTTTGTTGGTGAAGTTAAAAAAATTATATTAAAAGAATAAGTTTAGTTCTCATGTTAAAGCTATGAAATTCTCAAGCATTGATGCATGCCCATTGTCTGAACTCTTTAATACATTTGTGTGTATTGAGAATAAAATTGAATGTATATTTTATCCAGGTGTTAAAATTATATGCATGGGAGCCACCCTTTCATGAGAAAATTTCTGACATTCGAAGCGAGGAAACCAAAGTGTTGCTACACATTGCCTACCTCAATGTGTTTATCAGTGTCATATTCAGTGCTGCTCCATACCTTGTAAGTAAAAGACAAGTTTTTTTATTTCTTTTTATTACTGTTTTTTTAAAAAGATTATTAGGTATTTAAAGATTCTTATTTACTGGTTGTAAATGTAAAGTTTTGTATCGTATAACTAAAATAAAGCACAGTTGATCTTTACTTGAAAAGAGTGAAAACCAAGATGTCTTTAGGTCATGATCTGTCTGTGCCAAGTGTAGATGAAGGATAAACCTTATAAAAATTTGAATATAGCATAAATAAAGAATAAACAATATTTTCATTTTGCCTACAATATCTTTATAGTTATTAAATGTGTATTAATTGTTTTTAAAACAATCCCATTGGTTTATTTTATGCTCAAGGTCTCTTGTATACTTATGTAGATTGCATTTTGTTTTGCTGCAGTTTATAGACACAATTTTAAATTGCAGGTGATGTTGGCCACATTTGCTGTGTATGTCAGTGTATCTGATGAAAATCATTTAGATGCCAATAAAGCCTTTGTTGCCCTCAGCTTTTTCAACCTTTTGAGAGTGCCTTTAGGGTTACTCTCTTCCATTATCTCAATGAGTGTTCAGGTAAAAAAAAAATAGCCACTTTGAAAAAAGTTCAGATTTGTAGTTTTATAAGATTATAGAAATATTATTTGTCTTTCAATAACAATTTAAAAAAAAAAATATTTATACTAAATTTCTGTGAATGCATGTGTTTTAATACATTTTAAATTAGAGCAGGTTATTTCCCTTATTTTTTTAATAGTAGAGTTGTGATATTTCTATTTTTGAACCAGGCTGTTGTATCTATTGAGAGGATAAACCTGTTTTTGTGTACAGGAGATCTGAAAACTGATAATGTGATCAAAGATAGTCGAGCAAGTAAGTTTTGGATCTTTTTAAATTACATGCGCATTTAATCATAGTTTTTCCCTGTTTGTGCCCAAGATGTGAGCAGATAAAGTAGAGTTTTTTAATATCATCTGCATACATGCGGGTAGTGTGGTTAGCACTATGCTCAGCCGCCTTTGTTTTCCTAACATGAGTCAGGTACCCATTAGAGCTGGTGGACTCTGGGACTCCAGACAGACTGGACTTATGCTGATGAGAAGGTTTAAATATTTTTTAAAAATGTGTTTGGTCGAAATAGTTTTTTTCTTATTCAGGAAATAAAAAAGCTTGGTCCAAGTTTAAGCTCATTAATGTCAGTGACACCAATTTTATGATAGTAGAAAAAAATAAACTTGTTCCACTAATGGTTGCAATAGGCAAATAAAGACATACCTTCCCAGTCTAAAATAAGATTTTTTGTATAAATAATTTAAATGTTCTAGTTCAATAGTTTTTCCATTTAAAAAATGAATTAAATCAAGAAGTTTTTCAGGGAAAAATTTAAGTTTTAAAAAGTCTTTGAAAATTCTATGAGTAATGCTCAACAGATTTACATGAACAATTTTTTTACCAAATTTTTGTAATGATCCTCAGATTTTGCTATCGAAGTTGAAAATGGAACTTTTACATGGGACAAAGCTGCAGAGCCATCATTAAGAAAGTATGAATGCTGACATTTAAAAAAAAATTCTTAAACATTGTAACTAACTACGAAGACTAAAAAATAAAAACCAACCTTTTACACTTCTGTAGAGAACCGAATTGTTAAGCTACACTTTTAAGCTTGAGCAACAATTTAAATTGAATTGAGCATAGTTTGTAACAAGGTCATACATTTCCAAGCTCACTATTAGTCAGATTTAATTTAACTGAAAATTAACACCTTCTATTTGAATGTACTAACTGAAGCAAACATCAGTTTAAACAACTGCTTTTTAAAGCATATTGTTCATTAGGCTTGATGCTGACTTCAAAATCTATAAAGATCCAAAAATTTTGTATTAGATCAGACTTTTGGACATTTGTGATTTAAAAGATAAGTAAAATGTATTAAAATATTGTATATTCTATTAAAAAATCATCTTATTGTTTTTGTTTAAAGCATCAATCTAAAAATCCCTGATGGTAAGCTGTACGCAGTTGTGGGCCCTGTTGGCAGTGGGAAAAGTTCATTGGTGGCCGCCCTGCTGGGAGAGATGGAGAGGTTAACTGGGAGGGCCAGTATCAAGGTAGGTTGGGGGGGGGGTATCAAGTTAGGTTGGGGGGGAGCAAGTATCAAGTAGGTGGGGGGGGGGGGGGGTGAGAAGTATCAAGGTAGGCACTGAGAGATGATGCTGATGTTATGCAATATGCTAGTTGTGCAAGCCCAAATGCATCAAGGTCACTTCCCTGTGTTAGAAATTTAAGATCTCTCTGAGTCTATCACCACTGATTGTTAGATAATTTTAGTGAGGAAAAATTAAACAGCTAAACATTTATTGAAGATTTTTAAAATTGTGAACTCTATGTGAACTCTGGAGTTGCAGATATATTGATGAACATGAATTAACTATAATATTTAAAACACTATGTACCAAAACATTACTCTATTGATCGCATTTACTTATTTTTGATTTGATTAAAATATTTTCAGTTTTCTTTTTAAAACAGGACAATGTAGCTTATGTACCCCAGCAAGCATGGATCCAGAATGCAACAGTAAAAGACAACATCCTCTTTGGGAAGCCATTTGATAAGAAGAAATATAACAAAGTAATTTCAGCTTGTGCATTAGAAAGAGACCTGGAGATCCTTTCAGCTGGTGATATGACAGAGATTGGTGAAAAAGTAAGTTTGTAATGGCACGTTTGATTTAGACTTTTGTTTTGGTCCAATTTATTTTGTGTCCAAAAATATGTTCGTTATGACACGTTTGATTTGGTCTATTATCTTTTGGTCCATTTTATTTTGGTCTATTGTTTTGGACTTATTAGCATGTTTCATACAGAATGTTGTTTTAATTAAATATTACTAGCTATGTTTTTATTTGTTGCACTTACAATTAAAAAAAGGTCTCCAATTTGTTAAATATTTAAAATTTATGTATAATTTATGATTGATATCTGCTGTTAATTATAGTTTATTGCATGTAAAATAATAAATAGTTATGTTTATTATAAATTGAATGTTTAACCAAGGGAATAAACTTGAGTGGAGGTCAGAAACAAAGGGTCAGCCTGGCCAGAGCGGTGTATAGTGGTGCCAACATCTTTATCTTTGATGACCCTCTGTCTGCTGTAGACACCCATGTGGGCAAACATATTTTCAACAACGTCGTTAGCCATAAGGGCATCCTTAAGGGCAAGGTAATTAAACCCATATTTAAGTGTTGTACTGACCACTGTACTGTGGGAACAGACCAAGTAAACTTTACTGTGGCTTGTCCTTGGTTTTTCACACAAAAAATTTTCTTGGGGGGGGGGGGGGGGGGGAGGGGGTGTTGAAGTATATAATATATTTTGTTTATGAATACTATTTTTTTTGCTTGGAAGGTGATAGACATGCCTGCCCAGGACTCAAAAGTTGTTTTCATTTTACTTCAACAAATCTAAATGGCTGCTGTATTAATATGTCATTTTGCAATAAGTACTTTTTGATTTGGGCTTTACATTTTAAATCAAGAACAAGTCACCTGTTTAAATAACAGCAGATCTGTTGAGCAGGTGAAGTAGATATCACCTGTTAATATGGACTAGTTATCCATCAACTGTCTATCTTAGACATGTCAGTTTTAGATAAATATTATGTTTGAGAGGAATCCTACAGATTGTACACCCATTTATGTGTGTTTGGGGTGGCTGTAGGTGCAAGAAAACCCAAGTCTAAATGACATACAGCCTTGCATGTATGCCATAAACTACTAGATATTTTTGACTATTTAAAAAATACAAAGAAGTGATCTTTTGATAGCGGAAATGGTTTTCAAAACAGAAGAGTTTTTGTAACATAACAGAAAATTGTTTTCATAACAGACAAGAGTTCTTGTGACACATGGAGCCCACTGGCTGCCAATGGTAGACTCTATCATCGTGTTGTACGATGGAGAGATACGAGAGGCAGGTAGCTATGAGGACCTAATGTCACATAATGGACCTTTTGCTGAGTTTATCAGGACCTATTTACTGCAAGGGGATGATAATCCAGAGGACAGTGACCAAGAGAGTAAGCTGCTCTTTTAGAAAGTTAATAACTTATTTGCACACATCCTGGCACACATTCATCACACATAGATCTACCTACCAATAGTAGTGTTAGGTTTAGTTTTTACTTGTCTATTTTAAATTTAAATCCTGAAGCTAATGCATTTAATTGTTTCATCTAGTCACCTGGATATATTTTTATCATTCTGAATACCAATCAGTATTTACTTCAACTAACCATAAAACTATCTTGCCCATTTCAACAATAATTGAACACAAAGCAACATAAGTTGTTTAATATTTAAATCACAAATACATGTACTTACTTTCCATTCCTCAATAAATACATTTATGAAGAGTTCATAAAGTCATCCACATCAAATCAAAATTAAACTTTAAAAAAAACATTACCTATTGTTGAATTGGTTATTGGATTGATTATTCCATGTTTAATTTTTTTATTTGGCTGTGGTACTTTGAATATTTCTTGGATCCCGTGGTTTAATGATCCACTTTTTTAAACAGTTCAGGCTATAAGGACTAGAATCTGGAATGATGTAGAGAGTGCTACCTCTGATGCTACCTCTGGGGATGAAGGCTTCACCAGGTCATCTCGTTTAGCTCGCAGGTATATAACCTAATAAAATAATTAATAATTAATGGATGTTTTACACTTGCTTCCATATGTAATAAAAGAAATAGATGTAGACCTGACTAAAGTATTATGCACATTATTAAATATAAATAAATATGGTATAAATTTTTCATAAAAAGTCCATTTTGTTTTTAGACGAACTTTATCGGTAACAAATGAATCAACAATGACAAGTTCATTGTTGATGCGTTCACAGACCTTCATTTATGAAGAGGAAGATGACAAGGGAGATAAAAATTTAGGGAAGCTAGTGCAGGCAGAGAAATTGGAGAAAGGGAAGGTACTCCTTTTTATTTTCTATTCTTAGATATCACCTATTTTACTATCACTTAGTTTAGATTTATGCTAAAAATTTGGAAAAACTTTCCTCCTTATAATCATACTTAAATGTGTTCAGCCAGTAGTGTATATTATTTGAGAAGTTTAATAAGTAGTGGTGTAATATGTGCTAACTATCATTCAAGGGTTTTGAACAAATAATCTGTAATTTTTTTTTACCTACAGTGTTGCTGAAATATGGCAGTTATTACTATGTCTGAAAATGATTATACATTTTCAGGTGAAATTAGATGTCTTCTGGACTTACAGTAAAGCAACTGGTACATTTGCCATTGCGTTGTCGTTTATATTCTTTGCCCTTTTCCAAGTGGCCAACGCCTGGTCAAACTTCTGGTTAACAGACTGGACAGGGGATCCGTTACTGGCCAATTCAAGCCTCATACACACTGAAGAATACACCAGTAGGAACAATTATTATCTCTGGATCTTTGGGGTATTTGGAATTGTTCAAGGTACGTAACTCTTTATGTCAGATTGGCCAGGTTCAGCAACTATATTTTTTATTTATTTTTTAATTTAAATTACAATATATAAGAATAATCTGGTTTTTAATACTGTTTATGTTAACGTATGGAAAATTGTTAACATTTTTAAAACAAATGCAGCAAATATAGGAGGAAAATATTCTTTTATAAATTTTTTAACATTGACTGATGAGTTATTGCCCTTAGTGAATATAAACAGTTAAGGAAAGACTGAATGATAAACATGTATAAGATTGTACAGAAATATGAAAGAACTAAAGATTGTCCATGTTCCAGTTGGTTTCCTGGTGGCCCACAACATCATCTACTGGGTCAGGATGGTGGTGGCTGCCAAGAGACTCCACTTTGGGATGCTGACCTCCATTTTTAGATCGCCCATGTCCTTCTTTGATACGACCCCACTGGGCAGAATTATGAACCGCTTCTCCAGAGACATAGAGGTAACTACCCTCTGTATTCCAATGTAATTACATCTGTTGTGCTTATTATAAAAAAGTGAATTTTTTACTACATGTTTTCCAGTTACACTGAGGTAATAATTTTCTTTTTTCTATTGTAATTACATCTGTTGAGCTCATTATCAATTTTCATGCTGAAGTTTTGTCAGAGACATAGAGGTAATTATCTTCTTTGTTCCATTGTAATTACATCTCTTGAACTTATTATCAAATAATGAATTTTTGACTGCAATAGTTTCTTCAGGTATATAGGGGTAATAATCTTATTTATTCAATTTTAACTACACCTGTTATTATAAAGCACTGAATTTTTTACACCAGAAGTTTTTCCAGACACACTGTGATATTTTACCAGAGATACTGAGCTAATAAACTTCTTTACTCCATTGTAATTACATCTAGTGTGTTATTATCAAGCACTTAATTTTTTTTTACTGCAGAAATTTTGCCAGAGATACTGAGTTAATAACCTTCTTTATTCCATTGTGATTACATCTAGTGTGTTATTATCAAACACTGATTTTTTTTACTGCAGAAATTTTGCCAGAGATACTGAGTTAATAACCTTCTTTATTCCATTGTAATTACATCTAGTGTGTTATTATCAAGCACTTAATTTTTTTTACTGCAGAAATTTTACCAGAGATACTGAGTTAATAACCTTCTTTATTCCATTGTGATTACATCTAGTGTGTTATTATCAAGCAATTAATTTTTTTTACTTCAGAAATATTACCAGAGATACTGAGTTAATAATCTTCTTTATTCCATTGTATTTACACCTATTGTGCCCACAATCAAACACTGTATTATAAAATTGCAAACTGACTGATGTCCATTTTGTCCATGTCTGACCAGGTAGTGGACAACAACCTTCCCATCATCATACGAGACTACACGTCCACTCTGTTCATCTGTCTGGTCACCTTGATCATCATCTCCATCAGCACCCCTCTCTTCCTGACCCTGGTTGTGCCTATTATGATCTTGTACTACCTCATACAGGTAAGCTTGAGAACTAACAACATTTTTCTCTATAAGTTGCTTAATAATTAATTGTCAAAATTTGTTTCTTTGTTGTTCTGGTTATTATTTTTATTCTGATTATTTTTAACAAATCAAATGAACTTAATTTTTTTTGTGTTTTTTATTTTATAAAATATGTTTGTTAAGGATCATTAATACATAAATGAGTTGGAAGGGGGAGGGGTGTTTATCAATTTGTTTTAGTTGGGTGGGGAATAGAGCCTTTGATTTTTTTAAAAAAGGCATTAAGTAGTTGTTTATTGTTCAACATGTGAAAAGATGTTTATACAAGTTTTAGTAGAGTTTAGTTTCTAGTGTGTGAAAAACTCTGTACAATGTATTTTAGCAAATATTAGTATTCATATTATTAGATTTTTTAAAATATGTTGATGATTATTTTATTATAAATGTCAGTTTGACAGATATTAAATTGTTAAGATGTTCTGTTAGTAAAACAATTTGTGGTTTTCCCATCCAATTTTTCAAAGCATCATTTGATCATTTAAAAATAATTTTTAAATTCAATTTTGATTAATTGAAAATTTTTTATATTAATAATGCTTAACTTGTATTATTTGAGTGAATTATATCTTTTAAATTTAAGCTTCTTGTGTAACAACTCTGTTTTTTTCAGAGCTTCTATGTCCCAACATCTCGGCAGCTAAAGCGTATTGAGTCTGTGACCCGCTCCCCCATCTACACCCACTTCAGTGAAACCATATCAGGGGGCGCCACCATCAGGGCTTACAATGCAGCAGAGAGGTTCATCAAGGAGTCTAAAACTAGGGTGGATAGGAACATGTCTTTTTACTACATTGGCCTGGCAGCTAACAGGTTGGCTATGTTAGGATGTAATGTGATATTGTTTAGTGTCAATGAATCAGTTCATTGCTGAACACAAGGGGCTTTAGAGTAAATCCTGACACAATAAAATTCAAATGACTTCAAGCAAACCCTTACTGAACTGACTTCATATCAAATCCTGTCTCAACTAGATACAACTAATTTCATATCAAATATCCTGACTAAACTGAATACAATGGATTTCATATCAAATCCTCACGTCTGAGTACAACTGACTTTGTATCAAATGACAACTTATAAACTGCAATCTATGGTTAAAGTTAGCTTGGACTTAATTCACCCAAATATTACATCCTGAATATTAAGTTCAATTTAAATTATAGATTTGTTTGATAGTACACTGATTATTTTATAATTGGGGTTACTAGTGATAAGGCAATAGTTTTTTCATAAAACACCCAGTCTTTACTAATTTGAATAGATACATGAATGTGTAAACATGCCTGTACCATACAGCTATATTTAATATACTTGTCACATGATTAAATGTGAATAAAGACATTTAAAAACAAAAGTTTTTTTTTAAAAGGTGGCTTGGCATGAGTCTGATTAAATGTGAATGTGAATGAAGAAATTAAATAAAAAAAACTTTTTAATCTGATTAAATGTGAATGTGAATGAAAAATTTAAAAACAATTTTTTTCCCCAATAGGTGGCTTGGCATGAATCTGATTAAATGTGAATGAAAAATTTAAAAACAATTTTTTCCCTTAATAGGTGGCTTGGCATGAATCTGATTAAATGTGAATGTGAATGAAAAATTTAAAAACAATTTTTTCCCCCAATAGGTGGCTTGGTATGAATCTGATTAAATGTGAATGTGAATGAAAAATTTAAAAACAATTTTTTCCCACAATAGATGGCTTGGCATGAATCTGATTAAATGTGAATGAAAAATTTAAAAACAATTTTTTCCCCCAATAGGTGGCTTGGCATGAATCTGATTAAATGTGAATGTGAATGAAAAATTTAAAAACAATTTTTTCCCCCAATAGGTGGCTTGGCATGAATCTGATTAAATGTGAATGAAAAATTTAAAAACAATTTTTTCCCCCAATAGGTGGCTTGGCATGAATCTGATTAAATGTGAATAAAAAAATTAATTTTTTTTTCCCCCAATAGGTGGCTTGGCATGAATCTGATTAAATGTGAATGTGAATAGAAAAATTAAAAACAATTTTTCCCCCAATAGGTGGCTTGGGACGAGTCTGATTAAATGTGAATGTGAATAGAAAAATTAAAAACAATTTTTTCCCCCAATAGGTGGCTTGGGACGAGTCTGATTAAATGTGAATGTGAATAAAAAAATTTAAAAAATTTTTTTTCCCCAATAGATGGCTTGGCATGAATCTGGAGCTGTTGGCCAATATCATCATTCTGGGCTCAGCCATCTTTGCTGTCGTCACTCCTGGTATAAGCGGAGGGGATGTGGGTCTGTCTGTTTCATATGCCATACAGGTTAGGAGATCCTCATCCTTTCAAAAACACATACAATGATCTCATTATACTTATAAAATACTCACTAACTATTAATTAATTAAGTATTTAAGCTAGGAGCTTGCAAAACAAATCTTATATCTTTGACCAATAGCTTTTGTTAAGTTACTTTATTTTTTAAACAGTCAGCAGTTCTGAAAAAAACAGCAACTTAAAAAAAAACTTGAGTTTCATGGGCATGTAACTGATAATTAAATTCTTTATTTAACAGGTTTCCAGTAATTTGGTGTGGATGGTCAGACAAATGAGTGACCTTGAGACCAATATAGTATCCGTGGAGCGACTGAAAGAATATTCTGAGCTGGAATCAGAGGTTGGCAATTAATTAGTTAGATACATGCTAATTTATGGAAAGAAAATGTTATACCTCAAGACTCGCAAATATTTTATTCTGATGATGGAATGAAGGCAATTTATACCAAAATGAAAATTTTTAAAAAGTCTATAGGGTCTTTCAGTCCACCCAGCTCTAATGGTCACCTGACTGACCATACAATCAGTATAGGGGCAAATAAATATTAACTCTATTTCATATGCCGTATGGATGATCAGGCCTAAGGCGTACTTTACTAGTTTATCTTTACTTTGAAAATTAAATGAATCAAATTTTTACTAGAATTTTATAAAAAATCAAATGGACTAATTTCAAGAAAATTAAGTAGATAAGGTTTTATAAAAACAGACACAATTGAAACAAAATTGTTTTGTTACAGGCAGAATGGATTGTCCCCCATCGCAGGCCTGTCCCCGGCTGGCCCCTGGATGGCAAGGTGAAGTTCTCAGGCTATCAGACTAGGTACAGAGAGGGCCTGGACCTTGTTCTAAAAGGCATTACCTGCGAGTTCAAACCCGGTGAAAAGGTAACAGTTTTTGTTTAAATTTAGATTTTAACTTTAATTTAAATTCAAGTGATGCAAAAAATAGAAACATAATGATGACATTTTTCTTATTGAACCATGTAAAGGTGGGATAATCAAATAAATCTTTATGAAAGAAATCTTGTTTCATATAGCTTAAATTTTCTATGACATGTAACAATAATTCAAATCTTAACTAATCAATTCTATTGATTTGGGTCTACCTGGCTTATTGTCAATTTGCTTTAGATTATAAGAGACTCAGTACCTGTTTATGTTGCTACTCCACAAGAAAATATAAACTCTACTCCACTTGCACAGTGTAAAACGATATCTGTTTTGCAATTACAGTAGAAGCTGAATAGTTTTATTTCATTTAGTATTGACGTAATGTCAGTAGAACAGTCAATTAAAAATGCTAAAGGGATATAACCAATACTAAAGGGAAATAATCAATACACGCAGGGCTATAGCTAGAACATAGGGTTGGAGCGAATAATCAATGTGCTGTCATGGTGAAGCAGAGCTACCACAATAAAAAAAACAACTTTGCATTTGATAATAGTAATCCATCAGAATCAGAGTTTCTTCCTGGCATCTCTTGAACCCCCCCCCCCCCCCATCGAAACTAGATGGATTTTATATAATAGACATACATACATAAAATGTTGACTGCCCCCCCCCCCCCCCCCCCCGAAAATTTCAAGTGACCCCCGGAGAAAAAAAGTCTGGAAGAAACACTGATCAGAATTCCCTAATTATTCAACAAAAATTTTTTAAACTAATCAAACATAGCACAACTAGTTTTTTTTTCTTTAAAAATTTAATGATTTGTCACAATTACACAGATTGGTATAGTAGGCAGAACAGGGGCAGGTAAGTCATCCCTTGCTTTAGCTTTGTTCCGGCTGATTGAAGCCACAGAGGGCAGTATTTCAGTGGATGGGATCAGAATATCAGACATTGGTCTCCATGATGTGCGATCAAGGCTCACTATCTTACCTCAAGTAAGGGAGATAACAATTACATCGTCATTATTTTTTTAAAAATTGCTGTAGATTTTCATAGACTGATTCAGTTATGGAAATTAAATGTAACTTCTCTTAAACATAAACATGAGAACTATTTCAATTATCTTGAGTAATAATAGTTTAGGAATTGCAATAAATTTAATGTTAATTTCAAAATGTAAAACACTTTCATGGCTCAAAACACAATTAGGTTTTTAACGTATTTTACAATCATCAATAGTATTCTATTTCAATCTTGGTGCTATTCAATGTAAATATATAATTTATTTGCAATAAAAAGAAAAATAATTACTAATTTAAAAAACTTTCTAAACTCAACAGGACCCTGTGTTATTTTTTGGAACCTTGAGGATGAATTTAGATCCAATTAACGAATATAATGACCACCAGCTGTGGGATGCGCTGACCAGTGCCCACTTGAAAGATTTTGTTGAAAACTTGTCAGAAGGTCTGGACTATGAGGTGGGAGAAGAAGGGCAGAGTCTCAGGTTTGTGGTATTCTGTGCCATCATTTGAGGACCACTGAACTAATTTATAAAATCATTCCAAGTTAAAGTAACCCTCATAAGTGGCACTTATTGTAGTGTTAGTAGTAAAGTTGACATAGATAAGTTTTCAATCCTGACAATACTAAAAAAAATATTAAATTTAACCAACTTTTTAAAAAAGTATTTTATTAATTGAAAACCATTTTGATTTTTATGCAGACTTGACATTAAAAAAACATTAAAGGTGTATATTTAATATTAAAAAAAAGGTTTATTATGATTATACACTTTTACAAATCCTAGTAGTCTGAATAATTAGTAAAACTGGCTTTGTTGTTATACATTATAAAAAAAAATTGAAAAAAAAGATAGATAAATTGGACAAATTGTCTTCCTTACTATAGAGATTGAAAAAAAGTAATAATAATTTGTCAAATCTTTTCTATTAACCCTAGTTCATAGCCTCTTCACTACTGTTGATAGATAATTGAGATTCGTTATCTTAATTATTGCTACCTTTCAATGTGTCCATTAGTTAATGGCCAGATTTTAAAACTTTTAGTGTAGGACAGCGCCAGCTCGTGTGTTTGGCTAGAGCTCTGCTGAAGAAGACAAAAATTCTCATCTTGGACGAGGCCACGGCTGCTGTTGACATGGAGACAGACACTCTCATCCAGAACACCATCAGGACAGAGTTCAGCACCTGCACCATCATCACCATTGCACATAGACTGAACACAATCATGGACTATGATAGGTATTGATAGGAAAATCCATTTTAAATCATCTAGTTTATTTTTAAACAATTTTTTAAAAATATCGTTTTCTTATGGGAACAGGGCATTAAGCTAATTGTTAATGTTCATTTCTTGTATTCATTCTTATAACAATATTAACATAGTTATATAAGGGTTAATGTTTTAAGCATTAAGCTAATTGTTAATGTTCATTTCTTGTATTCATTCTTATAACAATATTAACATAGTTATATAAGGGTTAATGTTTTTTTTCTCTCTCTAGAATCATGGTACTTTCTTATAATATTTTTAACATAGTTATATAAGTATGAATGATTTTTTTCTCTCTCTAGAATCATGGTACATTCTTATAACATTTTTAACATAGTTATATAAGGATGAATGTGTTTTTCTCCCTCTAGAATCATGGTACATTCTTAAAACATTTTTTAACATAATTATATAAGGATGAATGTTTTTTTTCTCTCTCTAGAATCATGGTACTGGATGCCGGAATTGTGAAAGAGCTTGACTCACCAAGTGCATTATTAGCAAACACAGATTCTATTTTTTACTCAATGGCAAAGGAAGCAAATCTTGTCTGATTTTAATTAAATTTATTCTATGTGAATTTTTGTGTAATTTTTTAAAAGAATTTAAAAAAAAAATCTTTAAAAGATCACAAATTGAAAAGCTATTTGATTGAGAGGAAAAGTTAAATGTATTTTATTTGCTGTCATATTACTTAGCCCAACATTTAAAAACAATAAAGATACTCAAGCTTCATTTATATAACATGTTTTTTTTTCTTTTTGTTTCAACTGCAAGAATGTTGTTCTACAAGCCTTTAATTAAATTTCTTACTATAACGCCCACTGTCAATAAGGGAAGTAAACATAGCTGTCTTTGATTACTTTAATATGCTACAGTTGTATCCCTTGAGTTCAGAGGAATTTTTTTTTTTTTAATTTTTTTTTTACTAGCCTTGGGCTTGAACGAAAAAGTAAATAATGATAACAACCCTTAGTAATATGTTTAAAGATAGAAAATTCACTTAAGAAGCAAGATTAATCAGTTATACTCATATCCAGACTAAATGTCAACATTTCTATACGATTTAGATTGAACAACGATTTAACAAAAAAAAAGGTGGCTAAACTTTGCCTTCCAGTCAAAACTCACTGCCCACAATAGTATCCTGAAAGTATAAGGCAAAGAGTGAAAAGCAAAACCGCTCTACTCCCTTACTATACGGGCCTTCTATATAAGGGAGGCAATACAAAGTTGTATTGCTACTTTGTTAAAATAAATGTGCATTTTTTTTTAAATTGCTTGTTCATTAAAAAATAATAATGTTAATTTGTAACATTGCAGTTTGCAGCTAAGAGTTTTTTTTTTAAAATCATGTTATAGGCCTACAAGTATCCTCATCCAACAGATGTTACAATGCAAGTTACTGCCCCTGTCGATGCCGTCATACGGGGAATCTTAAAGATAATTGAGTTTAATACCCTGCCTCCGTCTTCCTGACAATTTATACAGAATGTCTTTCCCTCTCGAAAAAAATTTTTAGGCCCAATACTGCAATTTCAAAACAAAGATGTTAAATAAAAAGTTCATTTTTAGCAAACCAAGAGATCAAAGCTAATACGAAACAATTATTTTAAAGCGCCGAACGCTCTGAAATTCGGTCTGCTCACTGTTCCAACTGACTAAATTTGGCAGACGATTGGCGTGTCTCAAGCTCTCAAGCGCCGCAGCGATCCTTGCTGGCGGTAAAATAAAAAAAATATTTCTGTCAGAATCACGCCTGTCTCGCTTTTGATTAGAAAATATTCCCAGAAATAATTTTTACAATGCTTCTATAATTGCTTTCTCATATCATATTGAAGCTTAAAGGAAAATTATGTCTAATTAATCTGGCATAATAAATAAGGACGCGTTACATAACTCAACTCTGGAAAATAATAATTATCCAAGAGGATGCTAAAATTTCCTGTTTTTTAAATCGCTTAAAAATTCTTAATGGAAACATTCGTGTTATTAAAAAAAAAGATAATAGGGTATCATACAACTAGTTGAGTTTGCTGCATGGCCCACTTCTGCATTATTTCAAAGCATGGAATAGACGGGGGAATGTTAAAAATTGAAATATCTTTCTAAGCGATGAAATATTCGGCTAGGATCCCAAAAAAATTAAACAGTACCTACGACAATGCGAGACTATTACCTCTGCCCCCCAGTAGCGTAGCGAGGGGGGGGGGGGACATATGTCCCCGGGCGCCGACCTTAGGGGGGGCGCCAAATTGAAAGTTTGAGGGGGGTGCAAATGAAAAGTTCGAAGGGGGGGTGCAAATCGAAAGTTTGAGGGTGGGGGGTGCAAATGAAAAGTTCGAGGGGGGGGGGGGGTGCAAATCGAAAATTTGCTCTCGAGGGGGCGCCAAATTGGAAGTATGTCCCCGGGCGCCGGGAAGGGTCGCTACGCCTCTGCTGCCCCCACCCCCCCCCCCCCATACAAACACATGACTATTTTGACCAGTGATTATTCCAGACTTTTTTTCTCTGGGGGGGGGGGGCGGACACTAGAAAAACTAGAAAAAGTATGTTTACTATATAAATTCCATCTAGTGCGGGGGGGGGGGGGGGGGCGGTAGACTTTCTTCGCCTCCCCCCCCCCCCCACCGCCCACGAAAAGATGCCTGGAAGAAACTCTGATTTTGATTGAGTCAGTTTAAAGTGTGCATGTGATTGTTGTAGTACGTGGATTGATTTTCAAGATTGTAATCTTTAAGATGCAGTGGACAAACGACGGTCAAAATACCCATTTGATATCCACATCTTCAAAACAGTGTTGTCTTTTATATAAGGTACTGTAATTAACTGAAAAACGTATAGCGAGTGGAAAATGGTTATAAGGATAGTAAAGATATTTTAATAAACTTATTTGAAATCTATTTCGTTATTTTAAAATTAGATTTACTGTAAATAAATAATTTACAGTAATTTACTGTAAATTTTACACCGCCCAGTGTGTTACACATTAATTCAGTTTTCAATAGTAAAAAGACCGCTAACTATGCATGGTAGTGTTAATAAGATATTTCTTAGCGTGCAGTCCCTTGACGAGGGTCCACCTCGGGTAACCTAGCAACCGTCGTTGTTTAAGTCTTGTAACAGAGAGATCGTCGGTTTCGTCTTGGTGTAAAGAGCTTGTTTAAGCACCCTGATACTTAATTTTTAAAAAATCATTTGAAAATGTCCGACATTGGATCAGAAGAGATGGATGAGGAGCAGGGCCCATATTTAGGTGTAAGTTGTTATTTATTTTAACTACGCTAATAATTTAATAATTTTAATTTCACTACGACACAAGTCAACTCTGACTCTGCCTGACACAGCCTAGACAACAGCAGGCTTGAATTAACTCTTCTGAGTGTACTACCACCAGTAAAGGAAAGTTTTTAATTAAAAAAAAAATATCAATAGTTAGCTTAACACACATCTGGATTCATTTTTGCCCTCGTCAGATATCTCAGTTGATGATGTTGCAAGTATTTAGTATTATAATATAATGACTATCAAAATATGAAGTAAACTACTACTACTACTACTAGTGTACTTCTCAAATTCTAATCAATCTTCTGTTATCTCAGTTGAGCTTTCAAAATAAATTATTTTATTTTAAAAATTTCATATTTACAATTTAACTATTTATTAATTATTATCATTATCATAATTTAGTCACATTAGTGATTTAACAGATTTATTTTTTCAATAGTGCAAGAAAACTACAAGTTCATAATGAAAAGAAAATCGATATAAAATAAATTAATAAATGCTATTATACCTCTTGTATTACTATTGATAATTATTGTTGCTACTTAATGAATAAGATGATTAAAGATGACAGCACAACGTAGATTACTAGATATATGTACCAGAGCCGGCGTTAGGGGGTGGCGAACGGGGCGGTCGCCATAGGCCCCGCGCTTGAAGGGGCCCCGCGCTTCAGCAATGTCATTGTTTTCTGAATTAGTTCGTAAACTTAAAAAAAAATTGTTGCTGAATTCAATTGGGAAAAACTAAATGGTCGAATGCCGACGTTGCTGATTGTTATAACTGAGGCCACGGTTGATGTTGGTGAGTCCCACCTGAACTGGGACAGGCCGTAATTCGATACAAAAATAGTGTCACACTGTTAAAAGTATATATTTTCTATATAAATTATATAAATTTCATTTCGTTTTCGGGGGGAAGGGGGGGGGGGGGCTTCCCCCCCCCCCCCCGAAGAGATACCTGGAAGAAACTCTATATGTAGGCCGGTATAACAAAATTAACATTCAGTTGCGTGCAGGGGGTGGGAGGAGGATGACGAGGGGGGGGGGCATCTTAGGATCTATATCAGGCGGCATTAAACAGAGTGATTCATTTTTTTTTTTTTATTCGAAGAAAGTTAAAACTGTTGTTATGTTGTGTCACCTTAAGGATTCACCCGTTCAATAATTAAGACAATAATGTTTTTGGTTTTAAAATATTATATGAATTCTAAACAAATTTTGAAGTCTATACTGTTTTGATACATCAGGCCGAGTTCGCTGTATTGTAAACTTTATTTTCCTAATTATTCGGCACGTGATTCAATTTTCTTAAGTGATTTGGTATGAATTACATAACTGTCAAAAGTGATTTAATATCTTAGCAAAGGATAAAAAACTACGAACATTGGGTTAATACATGGGAGAGATAAAAATCTGTTAGTATAGTGGAAAGTTTGACATTAGCTTATAAACTCAAAAACATTTGTGTTATTATGTGTACATCACATTATATAGGCCTTTATACATATATACATATATATATATATATATATATATATATATATATATATATATATATATATATATATATATATATATATATATATATATATATATATATATATAGATACAGATATAGATATATATATATATGTATATATATATATATAATGGAAAGGCCCCGCGCGGATGGTTGGCCCTAGGCCCCGCGTATTGCTAACGCCGGCTCTGATATGTACTGTAAGCCCCCTAATGCTTAATATTACTGTGTGTAATAATTATCTACAGTAAAGTGCCATCAATATTTTTTTCTTTATTTGCCTTAAATTATAAAAAAAATACTAGTACTAACAATACAAACAAGCAAAACAAAACTGAGACATCAATGATATAAAAGTTAGACTTTGTAAAAAAAAAAGCAAATTTAAGTTGTATGTTTTGGGGTACATTATCTGAAGTGATTCAACAGGAATATGAAGGTGGTAGGAATGAAAAGGAAGAGCGCCATGGTCAAGGAAAGGCAACTCTACCAAACGGGGATACCTATGAGGGCATGTATGATGAGGGAAAACGACATGGATCTGGGGTGTACAGGTGATTATATTCTCCTAAACATCCACTCTAGCCACCATCCTAGTGGATTAGTGGGAGGAATCAGTAGTTTACAGATGAGTTAACTCTCCCAAACATTCAATCTAATCACCATCTTAGTAGGTTAGTAACAATCCTAGTGGGTTAGTGAGGGGAGGGGGAGTTGGGGTCTGGAGATAAAGGTGAGTACATTATCCCAAACATTCAATCTAACCACCACGTTAGTGGGGGGGGGGGGGGATTTTCTATTGATGATGATACTATAACTACTACTAACCATACTTTCAATAATCATATTCACAATTAATCTTTTTTTTTGTATGATAAGGAGGATTTATTCACTGTTTAATGTTATTGTTTTGCTAGTATCAATAGCCCAAGCCCTAACCAAATTCCTAATCCTATTTATAACCCTTACCCTAACAGCAATGGTCCATCAATAAATAAAAAACCTTGAATATTGTATTGTCTTGCCTGGGGTGGTATAAAAACTGAAATAGACACCAGATAAGGTATAATTAACCAGTGAAGTTAAATTCTAATTAAATTAAATTTACTGTCACTGATATGGATGCTGATGATATTTAATCTACACTTGCCTATTTCCAGATAGTATATATTAATTCTATCTCTGTATAATGTATTCTCTTTGATGTAGGTTTAAAAATGGAGCAAGATATATTGGTGAATACCTAAAAAATAAAAAACATGGGCAAGGAACTTTTATCTATCCAGATGGCTCAAAGTATGAAGGTAATGACCCTTTAGACATTTACTCAATTATAAGACAAATGGCATTGAAATTTAAAGCATCCAACTAGATAAGTTAAAATATAGAAATATTGTTTTTTTAAAACTAAAAAAAAAACATTAAGTGTCAGATATAATTTTATATCTTCATAAACACCAAGAATAAATGCTTAAAATAGATTTACAGTGTAGTAAAACGTTATATATGGAGAAAAAATTAATGTGGGAATTGTCAACAGAAATAGTATTATAATGGCTTTAACAAGAAAAGGGTTAAAAAAGAGTGATGTATTACTTAATGTACAATTTAAATAAATGTATGTTTCTCATGATATGAAAAGAAAAATTGAGTGGAAAGAAAAACACAATTAGTAAACTGCAGAAAAACAATCAGTAAACTGTGTTGTATTCATTAGGTAGCTGGGCTGAAGACCAAAGGTCTGGCTTTGGTAAATATTATTACGTGAACGGGGACACGTACGAGGGCGAGTGGCAGAACCATGTACGTCACGGAAAGGGCACATATTTCTACGCAGCCACGGGATCAAAGTACAGTGGGCTGTGGAACAATGGGAAATGGGAGGGACAAGGAGAGTTGATACACGCTAACCATAAATACTCTGGGATGTTCAAGGATAACAGAGTAAGAGAATTTAATTTAATTTTAATTTATATATTATTAAATATTCTTTATTCTCTGAAAATTGAACATTTCAAATGAAAACACACATAAATGTACACTTAGAGTAGTTTCTCTTTCATCACAAAAGCTTATGGCATTGTGGTTGCTAGTTTAACATGTTAGACGTTGTCAATAAAAATAATATTTCTTAAAAATGGAAAGTATCTGTTTAAAAGTTAGTTCTGGGATATTGAGTATCTTATTTAGTTCTATAAAATTGATTACATTACTTTTGATTAAAATTAATAATTATTTTTAAACTTGTTTTTTTTTTTTCATCCCCAGCCTGAAGGACGTGGCAAATATGTGTTTGATATAGGTTGTGAGCAGCACGGCCAGTACGTGATTGTGCCTCAGCTGAAAGACACCAAGGGTGACGACGACGAGCCGACACCCCCCGTGATGACTCAATGGAAGGCTGGCACCATCACGGCACTCCATGTTAAAACTCCAGAGGAAATAGAGGAGGAGAAGATGCTAGAAGAGGCAGAGAAAGCCAAGGCGCAGTTAGGTGAGTCAGGCACATAGGAGAAAATGGTAGAAGAGACAGGTGTCAGACGAGAGTCAGATACATAGGTACAGTCTATAGATAAATTAAGTGAGAGACACATAGGTACAGTCTGTAGATAAATTAGGTTAGTCAGACACTTAGGTACAGTCTATAGATGAATTAGGTGAGTCAGACACTTAGGTACAGTCTGTAGATAAATTAGGTGAGTCAGACACTTAGGTACAGTCTGTAGATAAATTAGGTGAGTCAAATACATAGATAGTCTGTAGATAAATTAGGTGAGTTAGGTGTATGACAGTTGTTCAAACTGTGATATACTTTTAAACATAAGTGGAGCTTCAAAGGTGAACAACCTTACCAGACACATTAGAGCAATGTTAGATAAAGGCATAATTGGGGCGGTAGTTTTATGTTTAAACTGCTGATGTGAGGGAGTGTTGGACTTTTGTGATGGTGTGTGATAAAATGTGAGGGGGGAGAGTGGGAAATAAGAAAGTGTGATGTAGCAATTTTCAAATCAATTTTAAAATGATAAAAATTATGTCAGAGCTGTTTGGGGAAGGGGGGGGGGGAAGGGGGGAGGGTAAAATTATCTGATCATTATAGAGGAGAGTCTGACTTATTGTTACAATGGTTTAGGGTGGGGTAAAAATAGCTTCAAAAGTATGCTGTCTCTTATGGACCAGTAGTAAAGGTAAACACCTGTTTTTTTTATAACAGAAGCTGAAGCAATGGCCAAAGCCGCTGCGGAGGAGCAGGCCAAGAAAGAGGAGGAGGAGAGAGAGGCAGCGGCCAAGGCAGCAGCAGAGGCACCAGAGGAGGCAGCTCCAGTGGAAAAGGAAGAACTGCAAGACACAGAGGAGGGAAATGTAGATGGCGCCACAACAGAAGAAGGAGGTGGGGATGAGACGGGCGGGGATGGGGAGAACACAGAAGCTCTTACAGAGGAGACAGAAGATGCAGCGCCCCCTACTGATGAATAAATAAAATTTAAAATTTTAGCTAGTGGAAAGACATTTTTATGTAAATGAATAGCCTTTGTTTGTATTAATAATTGTAAAAATAAATATCTACATTATCATAATCGTTCTCATGTTACTTCGTGCTAACATTCAGACAAAATTTTGATATCTTTTATTAAAATTAATCTTATAATACATGATAAACATGTTGTTTTGGAATGTCAGTTTTTCAGAGACTTTTCTGTTAAATATTTTATAAAAATTTACTATTTCATCATCCCCCTGTTTTACATAAATTCCTTGTTTTGTGTTTGTCTTATAATATATCAAATTGTGAGGTTTTAAATAGACATGTCATTTAAAGGGAAATGTTATTTAAAGGGAACTAATTCTATCTCTAGAAAGAATATTCTGACATGTTCCAGCATTACTTATTTTACTGTATTAAATTGTATCATGATATATAAATATTTTCTAGCACAAAAATCTGACCATTGTTGTTGATTATTTGATTGTTTAGTTACTCCAAAGTGTTACTGTCATGTAATTACAAAATGTGACTAAACAAACTGCAGATCACATCAGATTGAAAATCCAGGATAAGATTCAAGTTTCTTAAAATCTCAACTCAGAAGGAATCCATTTTTTATTTATTTTTCAAAATGTAAGCCACATAACATTTTTCTTCAAAAATTGTAACGGTTAGTTCTTATCATTCATTTACAAGATAATTTTAATAGTTTTTAAGTTCAACTCCAAATAAACATTTTAGTTTGGTTTTTTTACTATGTACTGTTTACCAGTAAATAGAAAAAAACAAGAAGAAAAACATTTTTATATTATCAAATAATAAATAATTTTTTAGCTTTAGCACTATTATTAGATTATATTTAATTTAGTAGTAATGAAATTCTAAAAATCTGTTGACCACTGCTCATGCAGCCAATAAAAATCAAAAAACCGCTGTTCACAGATCCTTCCTAGTGGGTAACAGATTGTGTCTAAATAGCATCTGGCCTATATGTGCTCACATTTGCATACTAGGATATAAGTATTATGTGCATTATTTATAAGTAGGCCTACATTTCCTGCACATATTAATGAATCTGATTATAATGATTGCTAAACAGTGTTTATTCCTTGTGGCTGAAAAAGGAAGAAAAATATTTGGCAGCTGATTAAGAATGAAAAAGGTCTATCATTTTCCAGTTATATCAAGCTACTCCTCTAAAAATATTTGAAGTATGTTTTACTAGGAGATGAATTATGAGATGTTTTGAAAAACAATTTACTAAATTTGAATTGATTTAAATTTTGGAATTTTAAGCAGCTAGTTGTAGAAGTAATATCAATTGGGTTTTTTTAAGACTTGTTAAGGTAGAAATTTCACCAGTTATACAACTATTAAAACCTAAATTATTGATTATACTTTCACATAATATAAGTTATAAAAAAAAGCTTTGAATACCATTGATTAAAAACTATGGAATTCATAAAATGATCATAGTTAATTTAATTGAAGACAAATAAGAATTTACAAATAAAATCAATAATGTGGATTTTTATACTTGTTTTATTTTTAATTTTAGCCAATGTTAAATTGACAAAGAAAAAATTCGTTGTTTTAATGCTTGGATAATGAATAATTAAACTATAGCTCAAACATCTCCTAAATTAAAACAACTAATACTGCGGAGCAAGTGATCAATAAAAGTGCAAGATTCATGATCTAAGATAAAGCTAACTCCAGTTTAATTATGTTAATACTGTTATTTTTAACAACAAAAAAATGCTGGTATAGAAAGCAATAATATCACTTTTTATATAAATATAAATGAATTAATCAGTTGATTAAATAAATGAAAGGTAGTTTTTATAAAAACACATATGATGGAGTCTGTGATAACTTTTAAAATGTGTTGTGAAAGAGATGACATCTGTGTTAGTTCCTCAAGTTACTTAAGAAAACTCATGCCCACCAGGGCACATAACTCCCTTCTCATCTGGTAAACTTTTAATGGGCTGCAACCTGAGCTGAGGGTGGAGGTATGATGCACGCTGTGTGGTCATCCAGCTGTTGGTGTAGGCCTTTAGTTGTGGTGTGTCCAGCTCAGGCTGATGGACAGAGTAAGCATGTGGCAGTCGAGCTGAAAACAACAAGAGTAAACAACAGTTGGGAATTAAGTCCTGGATGCTAACAATAAATTATTTACTTAAAATATATTCATTATCTTTGGGGATGGATCGGACACACATTAAGAAAAGAAAAAGAAAACATCGCAAGGCATGCTTTAGACTGGAATCCCCAGGGAAAAAGGAGGGTGGGCCGGCCAAGGAAGACATGGAGAAGAACGGTTGAAGAAGAGGCGAAAACAGCTGGGCACACATAAAGGGGGCAGCCCGAAACCGAGTCCGATGGAGATGTGTGGTTGCAGCCCTTTGCTCCCCAGGGGCCACAAAGGAATGATGATGATGATGATGATATTCATTGTCTTAATCAAATAAATAATTAACCACTTAGTTCTTTATCAAATGAGTTTGAACTAAACAAAACAAGTTCTTTACAGCAAACTTAATTAATTAAGTAAAATCCACTGTTTAGGAATTCTGGAAATAGTAAAGTTGTCTAGCATAATTAATTAATGTGGGGGGTGAATTATTAGAAGTTTAGTGGCCACAGAATATTTGTCTCATCTAAGAGGGCTGTTGCCACAGCTATATATTCCTTATTACCCTACTGATGTATATTGCCCAGGACAATGAACTAACTTCCACCATGTACAATAGAAATAGCTTTGTTTCATTCATTTCAAATTCATTATTTTGTTTTACACCACACCATGTACATCAAAATCTCACCATCTTATTTGTATCCAAATGCTTCTTTTGTAGGTTTACACATATACAAAACTAAGTTATAGTTATGTTATAGATAGGTACATTTGTGACAGTCTCTGCTCACCTCTCAAACATCTGAGATTAAAACTAACTGTTATAGATATGTTATAGATACATTTGTTATAGTTATAATCTCTGCTTACCTCTCAACCGTCTGAGATCTGCAGGATATCGATGCAAAGGATTTTTGTTGTAAGACACGGCATAGGTTGGCTGATAATAATGAGCAAACTGCACAAGAAAGAAAACTTAAACTTTTAAAAAGTGAAAGCACTTTCATGTTTATTTAAATATTTGTTTCATTATTCTAGGCATGCATTGAAGATTTTCTTAAATCAGAAAACTAAGCTATGAGCACAGAATGAGAAAAATATAGTTTTATTTAACTCATGGAACAAAAGAAAGTTCGACTAGTCTGTCAAAGCGTAAGACAGTATGAAAATAAGAGTTAAAAGTGATGAACTTGGTATTGCACAGTTATAAATAACTAATAAATATCTAATTATACCTTAATCTTGTTTAGGATACTAGTACAATATTTATTAACATTTTTTTCTATCCTCTTAAATGGCAATTATAACTAGCTTAACGCTAATTGAAAAATCTATATATATAATTCTCTTCTTGGAGATGATAGAAAACACCAAGCTGTAAGCGCGCTCCCTACCACCCCCTCCCCACATGGTCTGGTGAGCTGTGGTTCACGCTAAATGTTTACAATCGTAGAGCCGGGTTTAGTGACGGCTATTAGGGGCAGATAATTTAGTTTAAAACGATTTGAAACTTAGGGGAGGTAACTCAGAGGAGGCTACTTTCACGGGGGGGGGGGGTAGGGGTTGGGGAAAGGAGGGTTTTAGTGTTTTAAAGCAAATATTTTCAGTGGCAGCATTCAAATTATGAATTACTGAAAAGTAAAAAATAAAACAACTAAATAGCTGCGTATGATTTGCAGAGGGTCGGCTCGTATCTCATAATACATGAAATAAGGTTATATATTTTTCCTAAGTGATTACATTACTAAGGAATTGTATAATAATACATCAGGCAATTTGATAAAATGCTAAATACCAGAGAAGGTAGAGGTTTATTCTTCTTTATTTCTTTTAGATCAAATCTTTCCTCATTGTAATTTCCAATTAAAGTTCCTGTTTCATAATGATCTTCATTAGTTGTACATCGCCATCCATACTGAGACATCTTTTGAGTCTCATAATGATCAGTCCAAACTTCAGTACCACCTGTGGCTGCTCGGAGCATGCTCCGAAAAGGAACATCGTTCATGTTGCGGAATCCTGTAAAATGAGTAATGGCTTATATAATAATAATTATTTTAAAAAATTATAAGTCTAAATTATAATACTAAAGGCCAAAAGGCAATTGATGATTGTCCTATTATTAAATAATATTAATTTTATTTTATTAGGCCTATCATTTTTTTATTAGATAGAATCTAGAGTCTAGAGATTAAAATAGGGTTCTAATTACTTAGCTTAATTAAGAGTTAAGTTAAGACTAAGAGTTAAGAGTCTTACTCTTTTAACTCTTACATAACTTATTCTTAAAAAGTTAGGTATGACTTTATTTTTAAGGGTTTGGCATGGTCGAGTCGGTAAAGCTCATATATGTTAAACCCAAAAGTCTCGAGTTCGAACCCTCTGGCATATGAGGCTCATTAACTGAGGACAGCCACTCTTCTAGGAGAGATAACTACAAAATCAAACAACTGCTGCCTTGTAGTTTGTTCTTGGTTAGACAAAGGCTATGGAAGCAAATACAAAAAGAAATCACAGTCAATGGCCTCAATGGCGCATAACCAGTTGACACATGTGTTGGAGAAGATCCCTTCCAACACTAAAATGATAAGAACTAAGAAAAAGAAAGAAGAAGAAGACTTTATTTTTAAGTATATATCTAAGACTTAAAATGTCTTACTTATAAATTATTAAATCTTCTTAAATTCTTTCTTAACAATTATAAAATGGTAAAATGTTAAAATAAAAGTAAATATTAGTAAAGTAAATAAGTAAGAGTAAGTAGTATTCAATCAAACTAATAATAACTAATTCAAAGTAATTTTAAGTCTTTTTTTTTTAGTTTTGACTAATGTATAAAGAAGAATTATGACATTTGTTTGTAACTAACAGGAAAGTATCGCGTACTTTTGAACATTTTAAGTACTAGAAGGCAGAAGGATTCTTGTTTACCTTATGCAGACAGCTGAAAACAACACACTTCTTCAGTAGTCTTCAAATACCCAAAGCGTCTTGTGTTGCTAAGGTCTGGTGATAGTTTTGTAATAAACTAAAAAACTCTAATTTTCCCTGACTCAAAGGAACAAATTAGTTTTGATTGAAATTTTTTAAAATAAATTTCAAAAGTGGGCTGACCATAATAAATTTCAATTTAAACGTGGATTTTTCCAATAATTTTTTTTTTGAGGCGAAATCTGCTCTGTATGTTGTGATAGTGAGGAGGGATCATTGTCTTTTGAAACCGTAACATTACTCTTTTCCGGAAAAGGTAAAAGGTTGTATACCACTCGCTATGGGCAGCATCCCCCTCCGCAGTTTCAATAAATAATGTATGCTTACAGCAAAGACGTTTGTTGTTTTTTAAGTACACACGTTTTGTTTTTTCCAGAAAATAGATACATATGTGGCAATTATTTATTATTATCAACCTCAATAAACGCTGCTTACAGAAAGTCATGTTTTAAGTTTTGAGAGTTTCGAATGCACGATATTAGGTCAATATTTCATTATCTTATTGTAGCTTTAATGCGAGACATTGAGACGAATTAAGCCAATCATTGAATTAAGGACCCTTGCACCACAGGTTGAGAACGGCTGCATTTTAGTTAGATAACTGTTCACGCGTCGCACTGCATTGCTCCAGGTGGTTGCCCCGTGTGTATATTTGGGGGCTGGCTTCTTTCAACCAATGAAATCTTACATCTCAGAAATAGCCTTGATCTTTTTGTCAGCCAATCAAATAAGCCGTTCTATGAAAAACATTGCACTGAAATCGAAAATGGTGTCATAGCGAAAGATAAAAGCTTATTTTTTCGCCAAACGGCTACCAGAATTTCTTTTGTTTTAGGGATCCAAAGTTTAAAAAACATGGCAGCTTTTTACGACTACAGTTCATATTCATCGGCAGCATCAGATACAGAATATTCTAGAGAACATTTAGAGGATTTATCATATGGAAACTTGAGTACTATACCTGAATGTATTTTACAGCGTTCAGCCGTACTCCATTCTCTTCAGCTAGACAATAACGATATAACAAGTTTACCAAGTACCATAGGACTGTTTAAAAAGTTAATAGTTTTAGACATTTCTTCTAATAACATGACATTTATTTCTGACGAGATTTGTCAGCTTACAAAATTGAGAACTCTGATTGCCAAAAACAACAAATTGTCAACTGATTCTTTTCCAAAAAACTTCGGATCTCTAAAAATGCTGGAAGTCATAAATGTTAGTGGCAATCAATTAGATGCAATCCCACCACAGTTCACAGAATTGGATAAACTTCAAGTGTTGCATTTTGGGGGTAATGTCATCAAAGAACTGCCAAGTACCATCAAGCATTTAACTAGGTAATTAACATAGTTTAGTTACAATTACAACTAATTACTATAACTAATTAGTAACAGTAGGCCTATAAGATTAGATTTTAGATAGACCTAGATTTAATAAAATCTAGTAAGATCTAGGACCTAGATCATACTAGATTTTAACTAGATGTCATATTCATATAGTATTACTATGTCTATAGATCTAGTATAGATTACTATAAAAGTTATAAGTCATTATCAAATTTGTTTTTATTTTGCAGTTGATTTGCCATACTCATAGTTAGTACTAAGTAGATCTAAAGTAATACATGTTTACATAACTCTGAAAATAGCAACCCACTGCACTACAATACATTACCATTTCTCCAACAGTTAAAACAACTTATAGAATATAGATATAGATCTATGCCTGATTTTAATAATATTAAGTTGATATACCAATAGAGGCCTAATATCAATGTTATCCCATAATGTAACACCCTATAATGTAACTAACTGCTACACAAAACCTAGCCTCAATCAATCATTATCTTTATCATGCCTCTTTAGAGAGCAGATTGACATGGCCTGAAGTTAAAATATATATATCAATTAATTGACTAAGTGTAGTCTCAACTCTATTTTCTAGAGAACCAAAATAAGAAAGAAGTATAGTCATTGGCAAGACTGGTGTAAAGTTTTGACTAATGAACAATGGCTTTACTAAATACCACCAGAAAGCCACTGAAATATGCAGGCCCTTGTCTATAAGCCACACCCACATCATCTTGCTACTATTACACCTACAAACAATACTTCATACTAAATCCTTATAGTAACCACAATCCTTCAGCTTGATAATTAAGGTTAAATTATTCAGTCTTGCAATATTATTATTGCGATAATGTTCATAGTTATGGTTAAGTGTTGCTATATTGGAGAAGTACCAGTACACAACAAAGGTAAAAATCTGGAATTAGGAATAGATTACAAGAATTCTACCAAATCTTAGTTAAGATAAACGTGGGCATCCAAAGGTCTAAAATTTCATGAACTCATGAATCCAAAATCAATGACCGGTAAATTCAGAAGCCACAATCAGTGACCTGTGACTGAGACCTACCAGTGATTATAAATAGGTCTATTTGTTTAACACTCATGTCTTGCACCTGCTCTGTGTGTTGTCAGGTACTGTAAGGGACATGTACCTGTGTACCCTGATGCTTGGTATCCATAGTGACTAACCATAACACTAATCTAACACTATTGCCATTGGAGTTAGTAAACCTATTATTGATTTAAAACTTGACTTAGTGCCTTGATTGTGGTTGATTGTTCTAATGTGTTTAGCTTGTTTGAAAGTGTTTGGCATGTAAAATTACTTTAAATCTTTAAGCTCAAGAATTAAATTCACTTGACAATTATAGGTTAATATTATAGCTATATATACACTACTGTACACAAGCATGTGGGACAGAGTTTCTTCCAGTCTACCGACGCCCCCCCCCCCCAACCCCCCCCCCCCCCCCCACCCTATCAAAATGGAATTTATATAGAAAATATATACTTTTAATTGTGTCCGCCCCCCCCCCCCCCCCCACCCTATCAAAATGGAATTTATATAGAAAATATATACTTTTAATTGTGTCCGCCCCCCCCCCCCCCCCCATCCGGAAAAAATGTCTGGAAGAAACACTGATGTGGGAATGGATAGTGAACAAGTACTGAGGTGTTGTGTAAACAAATGCCCCCTACCTGCACATTGATTTGTTTTGTGTCGAGTGAAAACAGGGGCAACAGATGTTGCTGAGTTCATACAAAAAGGGTCTGAATCAATGATCTAATTTATCCTGCTAATTGCCCTGTCTCAGAAGCTATTTTAAAAACTTTCACCTTAATTAAAGGTTTTGATCAGTGCAGGTTTTAAAATATTTTTTGTGCATGCTTGATTATGATAACACATAACCTCAACCTATTTAATTATGCAAGCCATTTTGTTCTTCATGGATCACAGTTGACCCCTCTTCCTCCCCATCTCTCAATTAGTGACTTGTAACAGCCCTAATGGTAGCCAACTGAAGAATGGTTTAGCTCATTTCTGGCATTGAACAGTTTCTTTTTGGTTAGCCTTGGTTGTAAAATCTGCATTTCACTTTCAGCAATAGCAGCCCATGAAGTGTGTAGCTGTTGTTATGGAAGTGTGCAGCTGTTGTTATGGAAGTGTGTAGTTGTTGTTATGGAAGTGTGTAGCTGTTGTTATGGAAGTGTGTAGCTGTTGTTATGGAAGTGTGCAGCTTTTGTTATGGAAGTGTGTAGCTGTTGTTATGGAAGTGTGTAGTTGTTGTTATGGAAGTGTGTAGTTGTTGTTATGGAAGTGTGTGCCCCGTGGAACTGTTGTTATGGAAGTGTGTAGCTGTTGTTATGGAAGTGTGTAGCTGTTGTTATGGAAGTGTGCAGCTTTTGTTATGGAAGTGTGTAGCTGTTGTTATGGAAGTGTGTAGTTGTTGTTATGGAAGTGTGTAGTTGTTGTTATGGAAGTGTGTGCCCCGTGGAACTGTTGTTATGGAAGTGTGTAGCTGTTGTTATGGAAGTGTGTAGCTGTTGTTATGGAAGTGTGTAGCTGTTGTTATGGAAGTGTGCAGCTGTTGTTATGGAAGTGTGTAGCTGTTGTTATGGAAGTGTGTAGTTGTTGTTATGGAAGTGTGTAGTTGTTGTTATGGAAGTGTGTGCCCCGTGGAACTGTTGTTATGGAAGTGTGTAGCTGTTGTTATGGAAGTGTGTAGCTGTTGTTATGGAAGTGTGTAGCTGTTGTTATGGAAGTGTGCAGCTGTTGTTATGGAAGTGTGTAGCTGTTGTTATGGAAGTGTGTAGCTGTTGTTATGGAAGTGTGTAGCTGTTGTTATGGAAGTGTGTAGCTGTTGTTATGGAAGTGTGTAGCTGTTGTTATGGAAGTGTAACTGTTGTTATGGAAGTGTGTGGCTGTTATTGAAGTGTGTAGCTGTTGTTATGGAAGTGTGTAGTGGCTATTACTATGTGTATTTATCCACTTATACTGATAATGTTGAATCAGGTGAAAGCAAACAAAGCCCCTGCCATTGTTTACTGGACTGACTCAGATTTTACTGACATATAACAAGGGTCTTATCTGTGTAGGCCCACAATGAACACAAAAGTCATGTTAGTGGAGGGGTGGGGCTAGTAGTTGCTGCTCCTTATTCCACTACCAAGCTATGCCCAAAACCATGAAGTATTTTAAGGTATTTATATCTTGATAATAGGTTACTGTAAAAGTAGGCAAACAAAAGATAAGGTCCTATCTTCGTAGGAAAAGAAAGCAGCGTTCCATGTCGGACAGTCATAGCAGCCCCAGCAGCCCCTTTTAAAAAATCTGCTGACATGTTGACTGCTTGTGTATAGGCCTACACTGAGCCTACACAACCCACTACATTTCGAGACGCGTAATGTCAACACATGCACGGGAAATCATTGAAATAAACTCTTTGTCGGACAGTGAACTAGGTCAGCGAGCTGTTTGCCCTTGTCGTAACTCGTGCAGCAGTTCTCCCCCCCTGTCTCACCACGAAGCTCGCTGTGACGTAATGCTGCAGGTTAACATGTGCCATACCTATATCGTCTGCATACTTTCAGCTACACACACACACACAAAGACAGTCTTTATATTTATTGCGAGTTCACCTTCCCCCACCCCAAACATGATAGAATAAAGATATAATTTATTGAAAAAGTATATCCTTCAACCCCTGTGAGTAAAATTGTACGCGTAGGGGGGTGGGGATTCGATCCGTTGAAGACCGTTGTACAGTACCAATGTTTAGTGTTTCTCAAAGACATCTCTTCGGGCGGCCCCGGAGCACGTCTGCCACCCCCCCCCCCCCCCCCCCCGACACATTTTTTAAAATGTAAAAACTTTTACAGAAAATTTATAGTTTAACCAGCGTCTCCGCCCTCCCTCGGAATTTTCAGTACGCCCCGCCCCGGGAGAAAAATGTCTGAAAGAAACCCTGCTTAAGTTGGATTTATTGCTAGTTTATTCTCCTTCAATGTTCCACCGAATTCTCTGGCTGTGAACCCTCCACACCGCAACTTACCCTCGTTATTGTCATCAAAGGCAATTGAAAGAAAAATGTACACAAACAGAAGCCATAACGAAAGACCTGCTGATCTTTAAGCTAGTGTTGAACTTCATACATGTTGCGCTGCTTTGTCTCATTGATCGGAAGGGGGGGGGGAATATGTTCATTCAAAGAACTCTATGTTTAATGTACGGAAAAAAATAGTTAAAAGTATCATTTTATTTAGTTATATTTTGATTTGGTTTTACAATTAGCTCGACAAAACTCACGCCGAATTGACTCCGTCAGAAATGTCGTCTTCAGTAGAGCTGTCCAAAACGGCATCTGACAAAATGGCCGCAGTCATTATGGCTTACGACAAAAAAGGTCCTATCATATCAAACTACACTAATTTCGCCATTAGAAAAACGCCAATATTGTACATTTAACCAGTTTTACTTTTTTACTACGCTATCCCTGAGGCATTGTCATGTTCTGTGTTCCCAACTCTTAAACTGACTTAAAATAAAAATATACGATAAAAAACCGAATCCCCCTCTCAGTTTTTTTTTAATAAGAACTTTATTTTAACGGTTGCGGTTTAGAATCAGTGAAATCTATTTGGGGAAATGGAACTCTTTACGGACGATGTTGTAGAACAAAGTAGATAAAACTCAAACAAAATCATTGTTCTATGAATGACGGATGTGACCCGCCCTTAATTTAGAAAAATCCGACCGTTCGTTGCCCTCGGTGGTGACGGCTGGCGCGAGACAGCCTACATTCGGTGCTCTTTTTGCACTGGTGCACTGACAGGACGTGTAGTCTGGGGGGGGGGGGGGGGGGGGGGTGGGGAGAGAGAGAGAGAAGGCATACACATATCATCACAATATGGCACAGACATGACGTGTAGTCTAGCGGCTCATCTACAGGACCTATAGTCTAGGGGGTCATCTACACGACCTGGAGCAAGCATGTGTCTTGTCTTCCTTGAATCAGCAAATCTGTCTGATATTTTTTTTAAACCTGTCTAGTATTGACAAACCTGCAGAATGTAACAACTAACTTGCATTCTATCAACAAACCTGACTGATATCAACAAACTTGCCTGATATAAACAAACCTGTCTATTATCAACAAACCTGTCTAGTATCAACAAACCTGCCTGATATAAACAAACCTGCCTGATATCAACAAATTTGCCTGATATAAACAAACCTGTCTAGTATCAACAAACCTGTCTAGTATCAACAAACCTGCCTGATATCAACAAACTTGCCTGATATAAACAAACCTGTCTAGTATCAACAAACCTGCCTGATATCAACAAACCTGCCTGATATCAACAAACCTGACTGATATCAACAAACCTGCCTGATATCAACAAACCTGCCTGATATAAACAAACCTGCCTGATATAAACAAACATGCCTGATATCAACAAACCTGCCTGATATCAACTAACGTGCCTGATATAAACAAACCTGTCTAGTATCAACAAACCTGTCTAGTATCAACAAACCTGCCTGATATCAACAAACCTGCCTGATATCAACAAACCTGTCTAGTATCAACAAACCTGTCTAGTATCAACAAACCTGCCTGATATAAACAAACCTGCCTGATATCAACAAATTTGCCTGATATAAACAAACCTGTCTAGTATCAACAAACCTGTCTAGTATCAACAAACCTGCCTGATATCAACAAACCTGTCTGATATAAACAAACCTGTCTAGTATCAACAAACCTGCCTGATATCAACAAATCTGATATTTATAGCCTTCAGTAATAATTCACGCAGACGAGGTCACAAAACGACCGTACATTGTGTTTATGGCATCGCTATGGTTAATCAAGATAGCAGCAGTATTGCGTCAACTGACAGCGGATAGCGTCCGTCGGCTCAATCACATCCGTCAACAGCACGGTTCAACAATATCAGTCAACAGCATGGTTCAACAATATCAGTCAACAGCACGGTTCAACAATATCAGTCAACAGCACGGTTCAACGATATCAGTAAAAACACAAGCAATTCGCTCTGTTTACCTTGGCCATAGTAGTTGTTTACTCTAGCAATCAATAGGGCGATGGTCGCCGGGGGGGAGGGGGGGGGGGTAGTCGGGTTTGGTAACTACAATTATAACATACAAAACTTAGAAATTGGAATGTATGCATTTTTATTGCATTTGTCAAATGTAATCCCTTTGTTAAAAAAAAACTGAAAATCTTTAAAAACAAAGAGGCATGACTTACACTACAGCAAAGTAGCAAATCAACGCCCTATGCTCTGGTCCCGTGCTATTTTATTTGGTTGTATGTAACATTTCGATCACAAAATACTAGTATAAAAGAAATAAATAAAATTTAAACTGTTGTATATTTTAAAAAACACGTTTACATCAATATGCTTTAACTTAAACAGCATTTTTTTCCCCAACAAGTGCTTAGGTGCACTAACACTATTTTTTTTTTTTTTTTTTTGTGGGGACGTTTCTGCCACTCATGGTGAGGGGAACTCACTCAAAGTAAATTTATAATTTCTCCAATTAAAATTAACTATTAACTTAGTAATTCCGTAGTGGGTCATGTGATTCTCCATTACTGTATAGAACATGTGCCCTATTGACCATGTGCCCTATTGACCATGTGCCCTATAGATCATGTGAGCAAGTGCCCTTGAACCTGCATGGTTAACTACCGTTACCATACCGTCGATACCTCATTACTGGATGTCCGATATACCACGTTAGTGTTAGACACTGAAGTTTTTTTTTTAAACATTGCTTCTAAAATTGTCTCTTGCTGCAGGTGATTACACTAATTAGCATACATTTCAGGCTGTGGAGGGGAGGGGGCGACCACGTGCTATGCGCGTGCTTATCTCTGTGTATAAATACCAAAGAGTACCTGGCCTCATTTCAGAGCAAATGACAGTCAAGGGCGGCTACTGCCGTTAAAATTAATTTGGATAATTCCGAACAGCGTCCCTGTTAAGGACTTTTCTAATTTATAACAATGCACGTCATTCTGGTGCAATACTACACGTACATTAGGTGTAAAGTGTATTGATTCTTACAATTATTAATTTTAAATTTATTGATAGGAAAATAATTTCATTTATGTTTATTTAGTGTCTTAAGTGATCAAAAATAAATAATTTTCCTGTTTTAGTGTCCGTCCCCCCCCCCCCCCCCTCACTCTTTTCCAACATTCGTAATAAATATATCCAACATTCTATTAACGAAAATCATCTGTTTTTCTTAAAATAAAAAATAAAATAAAATAATATCCCTCCCTCTCCACCATAACAAGCATTATAACCACACCCCCCCCCCCCCCGGAGTTCGTGACGTCATTTAGGGATGACAACTAACTCCATTGAGTATAAAAATAAACTTTTGTGAATAAGCAAATTTGGGTCCTCTTTCGGTCTGGTGATCTGAGTTTTCTCTAACTTTACTGAGATGAAAGGTTTCTTTTCTGAAACTAGTGACACATGTTCTTATGTGACACATGGCCTCACGTGATACATGTCGTCACGTGACACACGATCTCCCGTGATACATAGTCTCACTTGATGCATGGCCTGATGAGATACATGGCTTCATGTGATATGCTACTCGGCTTAAACTTGGTTCGAATGCCACTTAACGAATTATCCAAGAAGAAAACCTCGCATGTTACACACACCCTGCCATACAGATCACACCAGAGCCCGTATGTTATCGTGTATTTACTATTATACATCCATTACAATGTTGCTACCTGCCAAAATCTAGGACATCTTCTGGACTATCACTACCAAGCACATCACAGTAGCATATGCTCTTCGTGTGTGTTTGATTCACTGTTTCTTTCAGGCATCTGTCTGGGAGGGGGGGGGGGCGCACAATGCTCACCGAAGCATAGCTACTGCTCCCCCCCCCACCCTTCTTGTTTGAAGCAGAAAAAAACATAATAAATTATATAGACACTGTATACTTTAACCATAGTCCCTCCCATGGAAAAATGTCTGCGGAAAAAAAACTGGTTTTATTGAAGACAAACACAGGTTTAACACTGAGAATTACGCCTGATTTGAGTGGTTTGGTCGACATTTGAACTTAGCTTTAGATGCAGTTACTTTTGTTCCATCTTTAAAAAAAAAAAATCTATACATAACAGAAAAGCAAGATTTCGTGCTACCAGATTTTCAGTGTTATACAAATGCACTAACATTCCTCTCCCCTCCCGCCCCTAACGCCATTATTCACTAAAGCTGTCTCCACGAAACTTAATGCCTGGTGATGTCATGGAGAAAATTATCCTCTCCCATTACGGCATTGGCAGCACGGTGCATTCGTCGTAGGGGTCATTGGCAACACGGGTAGTTCGTTTTAGGGGTCATTGACATAATGGGTCGTTCGTCGTAGGGGTCATTTGTAGACGGGAACATTTTTTGTTAACATTTTAACTTATTTTAAGCCCTTTTGTAGCAGGAAAAAATATTCAAGGTGGCACTTTGTAAAGGGAGAATTTTTCCACAGGAAGGTTTTTAAAAAAAATAGTGCAGGATTTTATGCAGCTTAAGAATCAGTTTTATTTTGAGATTTACACAACATTAATTATGATAACCATATGGGGGGGGGGGTCTTACACAAGTTGTTCTTTGTGGACGGGGGTGTTGGTGCCCATGTGGACTTCTTAAATTTAACATCATTTGACTGATAACATTTTACCCACTGCAAACACGAGTCAACATGTAATTGTAATGCAAGCATGTAAGGGGGGGGGGGGGGGGGAGGCAGAGGCGTAGCGAGGGGGGGGGGGCGCCAAATTGAAAGTTTGAGGGGGGTGCAAATGAAAAGTTCGAGGGGGGTGCAAATCGAAAGTTTGAGGGGGTGTGCAAATGAAAAGTTCGAGGGGGGGGGGGGGGCGCAAATCGAAAGTTTGTCCCCGGGCGCCGGGAGGGGTCGCTACGCCTCTGGGGGGAGGGTTAAAATAGTATTACATATTATACAGACTGTAGCTAAAAGGAGCTACACTGCTCCACGTCTTTAGAAATGTGTACTGAGCAATAGCATTGTGCCCTGTAGTTTAGTAGTACTCAGTTTATAGAGTAAGCTACCCTTAACAGTAGCATAGTCACTGATCCCTTCATTTGTACTGGAGTTGGGTCACTATTGTACAGCACTTTATTTATGTAGTACTTATTTAAATTGATTCAAATATTTGTGAGTAAGTATTGCCATGTCTTGTATCCCTAGACCCATAACTAGCATAGTCACTGTTCCTTATATTTGTACAGGAGTTGGGTCACTATTGTACAGCACTTTATTTATGTAGTACTTATTGAATTTGATTCATATATTTCTGAGTAAGTAGTGCCATGTCTTGTATCCCCTAGACTACAGGTTCTGTACCTTGGTGGGAACCGCCTGACCGACATCCCCGCCGAGGTGGGTTACCTGAGCGAGCTGACCTCCCTTGTGCTGTGTGACAACCGGCTGCAGAGTCTTCCCCCCACCCTCATCAACCTGCACAAGCTGCGCAGCCTCAGCCTGCACAACAACAAGCTCTCCACGCTGCCCACGGAGATTGTGGCCTTGAACCTTGTGGAGCTCAGCCTGCGCAACAACCCTCTGGTCAACCGTTTCGTTGAGGTCAGTTGGTGCTACAGGCTGCAGACTTGTTGGGATTTGGGCTAGGGACATGAAGGTCTTTGGTGTTACAGGCTGCAGACTTGTTGGGATTTGGGCTAGGGACATGAAGGTCTTTGGTGTTACAGACTGCAGACTTGTTGGTCTTTTGGGCTAGGGACATGAAGGTCTTTGCTCCAGTTTTGTAGGTCTGGGCTACCGACTTGTGGGTTCTCTTGTAGGTCTTTGGGCTATAGGCATGTAGGTCTGGGTTACAGACTTGAAGGTCTTTGGGCTTAATTTGTTGGTCTTTCGGCTACAGGCATGTTGATTTTCAGACTACAGACTTGTGGGTTTTAGGGCTGTAGTCATGTAGGTCTTTGGGCTACAAGCTTTTGGGTCTTTGGGCTAGAGACTTGTGGGTCTTTAGCTAAACACTTCTGGGTCTTTAGGCTATAAAAATGCATATAGGTCTTTAGGCCATAGCCATGTTACTTTGTTTCAAAGTCATGTGCATTATTTCAATCTTGCAGGATTTAGTCTACAACCCCCCATCACTATTGGAGCTGGCTGGGAGAGTGATTAAAATAGAAAAAATTCGCTACACACCAGATGACCTGCCGTACAGTCTGGTCAGGTACCTGGACTCAGCGCAGAGGTGTGTCAACCCCAAATGTAAAGGTAGGTCTAATCCCTGGCCACATTGTGTACCACCCTAGTCTTGTCTTACAGTCTGGTCAGGTACCTGGACTCAGCCCAGAGGTGTGTCAACCCCAAATGTAAAGGTAGGTCTAATCACTGGCCACATTGTGTACCACCCTAGTCTTGTCTTACAGTCTAGTCAGGTACCTGGACTCAGCCCAGAGGTGTGTCAACCCCAAATGTAAAGGTAGGTCTAATCACTGGCCACATTGTGTACCACCCTAGTCTTGTCTTACAGTCTGGTCAGGTACCTGGACTCAGCCCAGAGGTGTGTCAACCCCAAATGTAAAGGTAGGTCTAATCCCTGGCCACATTATGTACCACCCTAATTTTGTCTTACAGTCTGGTCAGGTACCTGGACTCAGCCCAGAGGTGTGTCAACCCCAAATGTTAAGGTAGGTCTAATCCCTGGCCACATTGTGTACCACCCTAGTCTTGTCTTACATCTTACATACAGACCCTTCCCTATAGTCCAACACAGTCCTTCTAGAATCAAAAAGCTTCTACGAGCCCTACACTATTTTTGCAAAGTCAGGCTGAGAATGGACAAATTGTATGAAACTTAATCTGACCAACCATCCTAATCTGTTTTACCTGCATGTGCTGCCACACGTAGAGCCTTATCAGTGCTGAAATGTAAATTAACCTTCTGTTATCTTGCTGAAAATCTCTGTGTTTCATAAGTCCTACAGTTTTTAAATGAGTCATCGAGAATGATGAAATTCAACGTGAATTTACAACATTAAATTTTCAGCTGTGTTTCAAGTGAAATTAGGCATTGAGTTTTTTTAATGGTGTCTTGAAATGTTTCTAGTCTGGGGAAAAAAGTAGTGATATGACAGCTTTTTTTTTTTTTAATTGGGTGATGGGACACCTTCAGGGTCTGAAAAGTAAAAATGATCCAGTGGGGTTAAAGATATGAGAACTGGTGCTTGGCAATGAAGAATTAAATTTAAAAAACTGTTCACCTGTTATCTGTAGGTTCATTGGCCTAATTATACTTTTGGATAAGCATTTTAAAATTTGTTTGAATAGAAAACAAACTTCAGGTAATATTTAGCTCAGTGAAACAACAAACAAAATTAAATTAAATTTTGAAAAGTAAATAATTTTTTTTAAAAAGGCATATATTTCACATTGTGTGAAAAGTTTTGTTTGAAATTGCGTATTCTATGTATAAATTGTAACTTCTTTAAAAGTTAATTTATTTTTATCATTAACAAAAACCTTCACCTGAACAGTAAATATCAACACCTGACTGAAAATAACAAGCAGAAATCTTTTTTAAAACTCGCTGATGGGTTTAGTAGTTACCTGATTTTTAATTTAAAAACACTCATTGCCAAGTATTTAAAACCACTATAAGCTACATGTAGCTTTGAGATGTGGCCAGAACAACTGTTGGGCTGGCTGGCCACCAGTTTAGTGTTGTTTAGTTAGCAAAACATGCTGTGTCATGTAACCTGTTTGTTGACAGATTAATTTTAAAAATACACAGAGTTGTTTACTTGATTAATTAAATGTAAAATAGACTGGTGGTTATCTATTGTTTTTTTTTTCCACATTAAAAAATTATCTGCCTATTTTTTTCCTTAAAAAAATTATCCTGCTTTTTAAAAAAATAAGTGCCAACTTACTCTATCATGGTTGTCTTAATCCTGTTTGAGATTTTTTTTTATACTGATTTTCTGTTTTAGAAAAACAATGATTAAGTATTATTTTAATATAGTTGTTGTGTTTTCTTTTATATATAGGCCACTATGTATTTTTAAAAAAGGTTTTTATGTAATTGATTCATTCTTAATGTGAGGGAATTAAAAAATAAAATTATTTGTTAATTATTTCACTGTTTTTTTAAACCTATACATTTTAAATCTCTGTGTAGTTTTTTGTACAAGAAAAAGAAAGAAAAAAAATCTGGTCGGATAGAGGGGATAATTAATTGGGAAGTCCATTAATTGAAATGAATTAATTGAAATTTTTTTTTTATTAATGTTTTTCTAATTTATAAAAAATGGAAATTAAGAAATATAAAACTCCTTGAAATTTGAGGATATTTTTGACATTTTTCTTTGTATTTGACATTTTGTCTAAACCTATTTCCCTAATTTCAGTAGAGTCATAAGATTGGATGTTCCACAATCTCCCCACACTATAAATGTTGTGTCCTCTCTTTAATGCTCACAGTTTTAATGTTGTGTCCTCTCTCTACCAGGAGTCTACTTCTCACAGTTTTAATGTTGTGTCCTCTCTTCACTGCTCACAGTTTTAATGTTGTGTCCTCTCTTCACTGCTCACAGTTTTAATGTTGTGTCCTCTCTCTCTCCCAGGAGTCTACTTCTCTCAGTTTTAATGTTGTGTCCACTCTCTACTTCTCACAGTTTTAATGTTGTGTCCTCTCTTCACTGCTCACAGTTTAAATGTTGTGTCCTCTCTCTCTCTACCAGGAGTCTACTCCTCTCAATTCTAATGTTGTGTCCTCTCTCTCTCCCCCAGGAGTCTACTTCTCACAGTTTAAATGTTGTGTCCTCTCTCTCTCTCTACCAGGAGTCTACTTCTCACAGTTTAAATGTTGTGTCCTCTCTCTCTCTGTACCAGGAGTCTACTTCTCACAGTTTAAATGTTGTGTCCTCTCTCTCTACCAGGAGTCTACTTCTCACAGTTTAAATGTTGTGTCCTCTCTTTACCAGGAGTCTACTTCTCACAGTTTAAATGTTGTGTCCTCTCTCTCTACCAGGAGTCTACTTCTCACAGTTTAAATGTTGTGTCCTCTCTCTCTACCAGGAGTCTACTTCTCACAGTTTAAATGTTGTGTCCTCTCTCTCTCTCTCTCTCTACCAGGAGTCTACTTCTCACAGTTTAAATGTTGTGTCCACTCTCTACTGCTCACAGTTTTAATGTTGTGTCCTCTCTTCACTGCTCACAGTTTTAATGTTGTGTCCTCTCTCTCTCCCAGGAGTCTACTTCTCACAGTTTAAATGTTGTGTCCTCTCTCTCACAGGAGTCTACTCCTCTCAATTCTAATGTTGTGTCCTCTCTCTCTCCCCCAGGAGTCTACTTCTCACAGTTTAAATGTTGTGTCCTCTCTCTCTCTCTACCAGGAGTCTACTTCTCACAGTTTAAATGTTGTGTCCTCTCTCTCTCTCTACCAGGAGTCTACTTCTCACAGTTTAAATGTTGTGTCCTCTCTTTACCAGGAGTCTACTTCTCACAGTTTAAATGTTGTGTCCTCTCTCTCTCTCTACCAGGAGTCTACTTCTCACAGTTCTAATGTTGTGTCCTCTCTCTCTCTCTACCAGGAGTCTACTTCTCACAGTTTAAATGTTGTGTCCTCTCTCTCACAGGAGTCTACTCCTCTCAATTCTAATGTTGTGTCCTCTCTCTACCAGGAGTCTACTTCTCACAGTTTAAATGTTGTGTCCTCTCTCTCTCTCTACCAGGAGTCTACTTCTCACAGTTTAAATGTTGTGTCCTCTCTCTACCAGGAGTCTACTTCTCACAGTTTAAATGTTGTGTCCTCTCTCTCTACCAGGAGTCTACTTCTCACAGTTTAAATGTTGTGTCCTCTCTCTCTACCAGGAGTCTACTTCTCACAGTTTAAATGTTGTGTCCTCTCTCTCTCTCCCCCAGGAGTCTACTTCTCACAGTTTAAATGTTGTGTCCTCTCTCTCTCTCTACCAGGAGTCTACTTCTCACAGTTTAAATGTTGTGTCCTCTCTCTACCAGGAGTCTACTTCTCACAGTTTAAATGTTGTGTCCTCTCTCTACCAGGAGTCTACTTCTCACAGTTTAAATGTTGTGTCCTCTCTCTCTCTCCCCCAGGAGTCTACTTCTCACAGTTTAAATGTTGTGTCCTCTCTCTACCAGGAGTCTACTTCTCACAGTTTAAATGTTGTGTCCTCTCTCTACCAGGAGTCTACTTCTCACAGTTTAAATGTTGTGTCCTCTCTCTCTCTCTACCAGGAGTCTACTTCTCACAGTTTAAATGTTGTGTCCTCTCTCTACCAGGAGTCTACTTCTCACAGTTTAAATGTTGTGTCCTCTCTCTCTCTCTACCAGGAGTCTACTTCTCACAGTTTAAATGTTGTGTCCTCTCTCTCTACCAGGAGTCTACTTCTCTCAGTTCTAATGTTGTGTCCTCTCTCTCACCCCCAGGAGTCTACTTCTCACAGTTTAAATGTTGTGTCCTCTCTCTACCAGGAGTCTACTTCTCACAGTTTAAATGTTGTGTCCTCTCTCTCTACCAGGAGTCTACTTCTCACAGTTTAAATGTTGTGTCCTCTCTCTCTCTCTACCAGGAGTCTACTTCTCACAGTTTAAATGTTGTGTCCTCTCTCTACCAGGAGTCTACTTCTCACAGTTTAAATGTTGTGTCCTCTCTCTCTACCAGGAGTCTACTTCTCACAGTTTAAATGTTGTGTCCTCTCTCTCTCTCTACCAGGAGTCTACTTCTCACAGTTTAAATGTTGTGTCCTCTGTCTACCAGGAGTCTACTTCTCACAGTTTAAATGTTGTGTCCTCTCTCTCTCTCTACCAGGAGTCTACTTCTCACAGTTTAAATGTTGTGTCCTCTCTCTCTCTCTACCAGGAGTCTACTTCTCACAGTTTAAATGTTGTGTCCTCTCTCTCTCTCTACCAGGAGTCTACTTCTCACAGTTTAAATGTTGTGTCCTCTCTCTCTCTCTACCAGGAGTCTACTTCTCACAGTTTAAATGTTGTGTCCTCTCTCTCTACCAGGAGTCTACTTCTCACAGTTTAAATGTTGTGTCCTCTCTCTCTACCAGGAGTCTACTTCTCACAGTTTAAATGTTGTGTCCTCTCTCTCTCTCTCTCTCTACCAGGAGTCTACTTCTCACAGTTTAAATGTTGTGTCCACTCTTTACTGCTCAGTTTTAATGTTGTGTTCTACCAGGAGTCTAGTTCTCTCATTTCTAATGTTGTGTCCTCTCTGTCTCTACCAGGAGTCTACTTCTCACAGT